TACACTACTCCCAACTGCCGAATTCGCCTATAACAATCAGGCTTCTGAAGCCACTAAGAATTCACCATTCTTTGTCGAATACGGTAGACATCCACGTGCAGAACCAACAATAATGGACCCTATAAAGCATAATACGCTAGATTCCATAATGCAGGCACGAGTAGAAGCGCAAGAGCAAGCAAAAGCAGCCATTCTATTGGCAGCCGAGCGCATGAAGTGGTATTACGATCAATCCGTACGACCCGCACCTTTCAAAGTTGGAGATCAAGTATTACTCTCCACTAAAGACTGGCAGACATCGGGAGCCAAATTGGCACAACGGAGAGATGGACCCTTCGAAATCGTAGAAAAACTAGGACCAGTCACATATAGACTCAAAATGCCGCGACAATACGGCGTTCATCTAGTTTTTCATGCGTCCAAGCTCACGCTTTACCACAAAGATGAAATACCAGACCGCACTCTCAGACCCCGTCCTCCTATCAAGAAGAAGACTGGCGAAGAATGGGAAGTCGAATACATAGTCGACTCTCGTGTCATTCGTGGCAAACTTCAATATTTGGTGCATTGGAAGGGTTATTCTAAAGCCGAAGAAACTTGGGAACCCGCAGCAAATTTGAAGAAATCTCCGCGTCTCATCAAGGAATTTCACAGAAAATATCCTGACGCACCTCAACCAATATCTCTCATTGATACCACTCCGGTCGATGGCGTTTTTCCACCAAGGAGAACAGGTCAAGTCTACGACCCCACCACTGATACCATTCAGATATACGACCAGGATAGAGATGATTGGGATCATTCTAGAGATCTTCAAATTACATTAGACAATCCAAATGCACAAGCACCAAAATATGCCCATGAAGACGATGCTGGAATGGATTTAGCCGCATCAGAACCAACAACCATCCGAGCACACTCAAGAGGATTGGTATCCACAGGACTTCACTTTACAACACCTCGAGGGACCTATGGTCGAATTGCACCACGAAGTGGGTTAGCTGTCAAAGGCATCGACGTAGGTGCTGGTGTTATCGACAGAGGGTACACAGGCGAAATCAAGATTTTGCTAATCAATAATACAAATGATGACTTCACAGTCAATTTGGGCGATCGAGTTGCTCAACTTATCATGGAACGTATTATTACCCCCGTCGTTTCACTGGTTGATTACCTCAAACCCTCAGCCCGAGGTCACCGTGGATTTGGTTCAACAGGCGATAATTACTTCCAGAAACCACGTCAAAAGCCAGATTCGGGACGAACTGTCTAGAAGGGGGGGTACTGTCACAGATTTTCACGTTTTCACCTCTGCACGTGACCAAGACATCATTTGACATCAGCGCTAGGCTGTTCAGAAAGGAACGAACCGGTACGCGAAGTACTAACAGTCCTAGGCGCCCCGAAGGTCCAGGTCTGGTCACGTGACATACCACGTGATATCAACACATGTGACAAGTAGCGCTGGTATTAGGTAAGCCTAACTTATACAGTAATATCATCCCACCTAGAAGCCACGGTCGGACTCCGGAAGAATCCAACGATGGGGATACACGACACCGGAGATATGTCCTTAAGGGGATAATAATTCACATACACGAGGTAGATAGCTACCACGCCACCGGAGATGAAGCCATTACAGGCAATACCATTCCCATGGTCTTACTAAGTAGTTCGGAGGTTCGGCATGCATGACACACGTAGTCTGACAGGTAGTGGTAACCAATCAGACAATGTCCATTAGCTAGCGGTTCTGGGGTATCAGGTTACCAAGGGTCCCTCCGCTCATGTATATAAGCCAGAGCTCTGAGACGCATAAGTCCCCCAGACTTATTCTCATCTCTGCTACGCCTATCCATATAGTGTCACCAGCGACCACTCGCAAGTCGCTGCTTTACCTTGATCATCTTTGTGTCCATCCTTACTTCGACAACAGACAGTAAGTGTTTGATCATAAGGTCATAGGCTTAGTCGGCGCTCTGCGTCCTAAGTTTGTGATATAACTGGTGGAAGGCGAACCATGGCTCTGTCCATCCATGGTCCCTTTGGGCTATGGTCACAAGAAACTTCAGATGATAATGCAGCAATGGGTGGCTGCAAGTCATTTGGCTGTAATGCCTGAAACGGATCAGGGTGTCACGACTTCCAGATCGATGAGTGTTACATTCGGCTATAAGAATGCCTCCAACTGGGAAACAGTTGAAAGCTGAAATGTGAGTGTGTGTGGGTGTAAAATGCGATTGGTGACTTCTGTACTCGCGAACTGTGGTGGGTGATGGTCTGGGCTGTGGCACGAGGGCTTGCTATATCTGGAAAGTGCTGATGAAGCACCGACGATGAACCTCTAATTGCCTCTGAACTAGCTCAAGCACTGATGAGCAACCCCTACTTGCCTCTGAACTGGAACGAGCACCGACGATGAACCCCTGGGCGTCTCTGAACTGGAATGAGCACTGACGATGAACCTCTGGGCATCTTCGAACTGGAACGAGTGCCAACGATAAACTCCTGGGCACAAGTGAGGCTACGGGGTCCGATGGGGACAGAATCCTGGTTTGAGACTCGTGACTGGTGGCGTGCGAGCAAAATGCGATGGCGTGAGATACGAGAACGTGATAATGTGACTTATCTGGCTGAAACCCGAGTCGAGCTAGAGGCCACTGCTGGGAGTGCTGTCTCTCTCAGTGTCAAGAATCCCAGAGACATAAAATGTGATTGCAGTAGACATAGATGTGGTCAGACATGATACCCTAGCATAGACGAGATGAAAACTGAGCACTGCTGCATGGCGAACTCCATGTCGAACTCTCTTATTATTTCTATGTACAGTGTAGATTATATAGCAGATCGGAAATGAGCCAGCTGAGTCGCTGAAATGTGTTTCTGATCATTCATTGTGTTTCCGATCTATTAAAACCTGTTGCAAAGCTCGTCCCTGCCCCCTCTCCATATCATACAGTCGGGGAACTGAAAGTCCGGCCCTGTCAGGGTCCGTCGGTCTGCTACCCTATCTTCTGTCCGGTTAGCGCACTTGTTTGTTTCTGAGTCACCTTACCAGTTGTGTTCTGCTCTCGCACTGTACCTCATAATCGGCTATGCTTCCTTGTGGCTTGCTCATCATTTCTGTGCCTCATGTTCACCTTCTGACCCCTTCACGCAGTTCCATGTTCCCAAGCTGTCAGTAAAGTATTCTTTGCCCACTCTGGACTGCTCCAGCTCGGTGTTTGTCTTTCCGGATTACGGTGACTCACTATCCGATTGTGCGATAGTCGGACGCAGTTTCTGGCGTTTTCCGATCGCAAAATATCTCAGTGCGTATCACTGTGCCACGCTTTTTTTTATGTCTGACTGTCCGGTGGCAGCAGGCTACAGGACCGCACTTCACTGGATGTTCACTGCATACTCATCAGTCCCCAAAACACCTACCATGTCCATCCGCTCAGCCATCGCAAGGACCGACAAATGCGAGATGTTTTCGCGACACGAACAACTGCACCTTGTACCCCAGCGCTCAGTATAGATGATGGTCGATGGCCTTCCAGCTCTGCATCACCTCACCTTGTGAGCCTGCGCAGCTTCTGTCGTGCCGTGCATGGCCTCACGTCAGCTCGGGTCTTGACCGTGCTCACCACGAGCCTCAGCCCTTTTTGTGTGGTTGTTTCTCTGCGGATTTATCGATCCATGATCTAAATTGCTAAAAATGCTCAGACATATAGACATCTAGCTCTGAATATGTCTCTGAATCATACACCATTGCCCTGAAATACAGATCATGCCATATTACTGAAAGCCATTGCATATGCTTACCATATATTAGCAACTCCACCTCTATAGTAGCCATGGCACTCCTTGTCTTCAGTCAGCATGTGTGGTAGATCTGTAGAAATAACTCATGAGCAAATATTGTGTACTCAGAGTCATTCTGATTATCCAGAGGCCCAGACGTCCACCATTAACGTATGTGCGTAGGTCATAAATAAAGTGATGAATAAATTTCATGGTGTTCAGTATCATGAAGCCTTGTCATAAGAAACGGGCATAGATGACGTCTCCTACATACAAATTTGAGCGTGCGACCATCAAATCTAACAAATAAAATGAACTATACTGCTTGGCCCGTTAAACAAGGAAGTGAACTGATAGTCACGGGGGACCTGACAAAGGTTCTCAATGAGCGATAGATGTCCTGGACTGGGCAGTAAGGGCATGCGATGGGTGCGAAAGATAAGTTGAGAAAGCAATAGTAGAACACAGAGCTGCAAGCATGGTTAGCATACACAGGGTCTTCCGCATTTCTATGAGGCTGAAGGGTTAGAACGTACGATAGATGGAGCCACGAGCCAAGCGATGCATGTCATCAATAATGTCCCTGTTGAAGCTAGTAGTATCATGTTTCTGAGAGGATGGCACAGCACACATTTATAATTATCAAAGATGTGACAAAGTGAGATTTAGGCATACAGTAGTAAATAAATTGCTACGTCTCGCTCACCAGAGCTGATGTGTCAAGAACAGAGTGCCACCACTCTCCTGCTCACATCCCATGTGGATCCTAAAAACATATAGAGTCAATCAGCTCCACAACACAACGTCAACAGCTTCTCTGAGCCATTTCTTGATGATTGAACACTTTATGAATGATTGGTCAGGCTCGGCGATAACTTCCAGCAGTCTTCCGTTCTAAATTGCACCCTTCAGCCATTTGTTGTGGAATAATGATGTTCGATAGGTAGCCACAAAACATTCCTTGCGCCACAAATGCGACAATCACGTGAATGGACCAAGATAGGCACGTGATACATTGCGACGTGACTTGGCGCTGTGACGCAGAACACTCACCAGTTCATAATATTTCCTTCTCAAGGTTCGCCTGAAGCTACAGGTGGCCAATATGCCTAGCTTGAGCACAAGCGAGATACCTAGTGTCCAGAAATATATCCAAAAAAAACTGATTGTGGATACTGTGATGGGTATATGCGATAGGCCGGCCGTGGGCCTTCCTCCCGACAGATTCGAGTCGCCATGCTCATGTGTTTCGAAGTGATTGTTTCCATGCCACTATGCCCAAAGGCATGCGCGAACGGCTCTTGGAGTGGCAGGTCGAGAGCTCCCGAGATGAACGAGTCCCTGCCCACTCGATGTACACTCCGATTATATCTCGTTCGGAGTAGCGGTGTACGAGTTGGCTAGTAACACCCTCCATCGCTGGATGCATGGTCCTTGATTCACATTTGGGATGAAAACGGCGAGTACGACGCACTTTGTATTCACCAACGAATAAGCAAGACGGGAAGGTACCTCCTCTGTCGTTCCTTCTCCGCTAAGTATGACGCGCGTAACGCGGTATTCATGTGAGATGTAGACGAGGCGGGAAGCGCACACGGTACTGTAACGGCGAGCGCCTGGGTGCGTGGAGGCAAGCGAGGCGTCGTACGCGGCGGTAAGTCTGTTGCAGTGAGCGTCACAATCTGCGTCGCTTGCAGACAGCAAACGGGCAAGCGAAGAACTCAGAAGTCTGTTATAACGTCCGCTGCAAGATAACGCGAGCATCAAGAATATAGCGCCGTGCCCTGTACGCTGGCTCGCATAGTGTTCTTCATGCAGCTTGAGGCGGCGTGCTTCAGACGTTCACGAGCGGTCGCAACCGATGTGCTGTCATGAAACAGTGACGCAGATGCTTTGAAGTGACAGTGAGGAGGTTTTTCTGCAGGTCTGGGGAAAGACGACTATCACCACGAACCAAGGCAGCCTACACCGCACGTCGGGTCTCCCAGAACCAGCTTTCCGAGACAGCCCGCAGCGGACCTCCGCTTGCGGTTTCGTGACCCGCATAGAATGCGGTCGGGGGAACACGCGGAAAAAAAGAGCAGGATGGCGGGTGTCGTTCGGAAACCCAAAGTTGGAGCGTGCCAAGGGCTGCCTCCTAGAAAGAAATGTCAACGAAAGAGGCCCATGTAAAATGTCCAGGCGCATCCAAGTGCCATCGTTGCGTCTAACGACGTTGCGGCCACGCCGATTGCGGGGAAGATCACGATGGCTGAGGAGCGCTGAGGAGAAAGGATGACCCCGCGCGCAGACGCGCCTCGGCGTGGGGGGGCGCCAATCAGGGCTTGCGCATTTAGCGCAGCCGAGCCTCGCAGCTGATTCGGATGCGCGCCGCTGGAGGATGGAGAGAGCGCGAAGATGAAGCGAAGTGAAGATCGGTCGGGTTCGGGCAGTTTGCTCGCCGGAGAAGTGAAGTTTCTGAAATTTATTTCTAATGGGATGAGAGTCGCCAGCTGCTGGCCATCGGCGGTGATGCGGTGCGCGATGACCCACCGAGCGGGTTGCGTCCTTGACGTCCTTGGGCGTCGGCCGCATCCCTTCGGCGCCACCGCTCCCTGAAAGAAATAGCTTGTGGAAGAGGCCAATCGCAGGGCGCGCGTCACGAGCCCATCCCGTTTAGGAAGGTCGCCTGCCATAAGCGATAGCTGTAGTCGGTCCTGCTCGTCGAACGGCACTCCCTCTTCACGGTGTCAGCTCATGCTTCGCGTAACTTCACGCTTTCCGAGATGCTACATAAAACCAGTGGCGTTATAAGGTGTCTTCATTCCCTCCTCTCGAGTGCAAGACGTTGCTGCGAACGCTCTTCCCTTTGTCACATAGATTTCTTTGTAGCCACCGCCAAACAAATAAGCGGCAACAACGCGCTCAGCGCTCGACCCCACGTGTCGGCGTAAGAGCGGGGTAGCGGGCGTATTCGGCGCGTTCGTCCGACAGGGCCAATCACCGTACATAAATTCGTCACACGCAGCGGCCTTTGCCGGCGACGCCTTAAACTCCTCGTCCTCCCTCCTCCCTCTGTCGCTTGTCGACACCCACCACGATGCTCAACCTCTCCACTCGCGTCGCAAATGTGCGGCGGCAGGCCCAGCGTATTGCCGCAGGCATGGCCACCGTTGCGCCAAAAATCGGCGACACCAAGGTCTCGATGAGCTTGCTTGAGCCCAATGCCTACATCAACTATCAGCGCATCGAGGATAACCTCGCCATTGTGCGCGATAGGTATATGCGCTCATTCGTGTGGTTTACGCGTCGCTCATTGTTCTGTTCAGGCTCAAGAGGCCCCTGACGCTCTCTGAAAAGATTGTATACGGTCATCTCGACGACCCGCACGGTCAGGACATAGTTCGCGGCGAGAGCTACCTCAAGCTTCGTCCCGACGTGCGTCCATTCCGTATCGTCACCGCCGCTATCGCTCACTTAGTCCCCCACAGCGAGTTGCGTGCCAGGACGCCACCGCGCAGGTACGGATCACCTGTGTCCTCGGGACAAAGCTAGAAGTCGATTGACGTCACATCATGTGCGCAGATGGCTATCCTCCAGTTTATGTCCGCCGGCATGGACACTGCCGCCGTCCCCGCTACCGTCCACTGCGACCACTTGATTGAGGCCCAGGTCGGTGGCCCCAAGGATCTCGAGCGTGCGATTAAGACAAACAAGGAGGTTTACGACTTCTTGGCAACGGCGACTGCCAAGGTGCGCACGCCCCTATTAGTCCAATGATCGCTCACTGACGCGCCCCGCAGTACGGTCTCGGTTTCTGGAAGCCCGGTTCTGGTATCATTCACCAAATCATCCTCGAAAACTATGCATTCCCCGGTGGACTTATGATCGGTACGGATTCGCACACACCCAACGCGGGTGGTCTCGGTATGGTTGCTTGCGGTGTCGGTGGTGCGGATGCCGTCGACGTCTTGGCTCACCTGCCTTGGGAGCTCAAGTGCCCGAAGGTCATTGGTGTGAACCTCGTTGGCAAGATCAGCGGCTGGACGACTCCCAAAGGTACGCATTTCATATTCATGTCTCTGCCATGTGCTGACCTTCGGCCCCAGATGTCATCCTTAAGGTTGCGGGCATTCTCACTGTCAAGGGCGGTACCGGTGCCATCGTCGAGTACAAGGGTCCTGGTGTTGAGTCGCTTTCCTGCACGGGTATGGCAACGATTTGCAACATGGGTGCCGAGATTGGTGCAACGACAAGTCTGTTCCCCTTCAACCACCGTATGGTCGACTACCTGAACGCGACGAAACGCGGCGAAATCGCTAAATACGCGCAGTCGTTCGCACACAACCTTCAGGCAGACAAAGATGCCGAATACGACCAGCACATCGAGATTAACCTGTCCGAGCTTGAGCCTCACGTCAACGGTCCCTTCACACCCGACTTGGCGACGCCGATCTCGAAGTTCAAGGAAGCTGTTGAGAAGAATGACTGGCCTGCTGAGCTCAAGGTTGCTCTCATCGGTTCCTGCACCAACTCGTCGTATGAGGACATGACTCGCTCCGCGTCGATTGCTCGCGAGGCTGCGGATCACGGCTTGAACACAAAGAGCAAGTTTACTGTTACTCCTGGATCCGAGCAGGTTCGCGCGACCATCGACCGCGACGGCCAGATTGCGACGTTCGAGGAGGTTGGTGGTATCATTCTCGCGAACGCGTGCGGTCCTTGCATCGGTCAGTGGGACAGACGGGACGTCAAGAAGGGCGAGAAGAACTCCAGTAAGCATCTATTGTTTAGATGGCAGTGAAATTGGTATCTGATGTTGTCCCCGCCCAGTCATCACTTCATACAACCGTAACTTCACCGGCCGTAACGACGCTAACCCCGCTACCCACGCTTTCGTTGCCTCTCCCGACATTGTGACTGCGATGGCGTTCGCGGGCGACCTCCGCTTCAACCCCCTCACGGACACGCTTACTGGCTCAGATGGCAAGCCGTTCAGGTTCAGCAGCCCCACCGGCAAGGAGCTCCCACCCAAGGGTTATGACCCCGGATTGAACACTTTCCAGCCTCCTCCGAAGGACCGTGCCAGCGTTCAAGTCGCAGTCGACCCGAAGAGCGACCGTCTCCAAATGCTGAAGCCCTTCGCGCCGTGGGATGGTAAGACCCCTGAGGATCTCCCCATTCTCATCAAGGTCAAGGGCAAGTGCAGTAAGTACCGCTTTTGAGCATGCAATTGTAGATCAGGCACTGAGGAAGGACGTAGCGACGGATCATATCTCGGCTGGTGGACCCTGGCTCAAGTACCGTGGACACTTGCAGAACATCTCTCGTGCGTATTTCTCTACTGCTGCTTGGACCGCGCTCTGATTCTCTTATTCGTGTTTGCGCAGAGAACTGTCTGATCGGTGCTATCAACGCTGAGAACGGCGATGCGAACAACGTCAAGAACCAGATCACTGGCGAGTATGACGGTGTCCCGCAGACAGCTGCGTACTACCGCGACCACGGCATCAAGTGGGTCGTCGTCGGCGATTACAACTACGGTGAAGGCTCCTCGCGTGAGCACGCTGCGCTCGAGCCGCGCTTCCTCGGCGGTCTCGCCATCATCACCCGGTCCTTCGCGCGTATCCACGAGACAAATCTGAAGAAGCAGGGCATGCTCGCGCTGACATTCGTGGACCCGGCCGACTATGACAAGGTGCAGCCGGACGACCGCGTGTCGATTCTTGGTCTCCAGGAGTTCCAGCCTGGCAAGAACCTCACGCTCGAGCTTAAGCATAAGGATGGGTCGAAGGATAAGATTTCGCTCGCGCATAGCTTTAATGAGGGGCAGATTGCATGGTTCAAGGCGGGCTCTGCGCTCAACCTGGTGTGTTCATTTTTATCCTCCTGTGTTCAATCGTCTTGCTCATTATGTTATTGCAGATGGCCGCGCACGCAAAGGCCAAGGCCCAGGCCCAGGCGCAGCAATAGACGCATGCACAGATGCAGACGTGGACGCTGGCCTGTCGCCTGTAGAATGGCGAGGTAGGGGGGGAAGAAAGTATCGCATAGCTGATTAGGTTACTAGTATTGTTGCAAGTGTATCTGAATTTGTTTCTCATTATTCTGCTTTGTTTTTTCGTCTCTGTGTCCGTCGTATGCAAGCTGTGTATAAAGCTAGAACGAACGAAGGTTTGCGATAGCCTGCGTGTGATACCTGTTCCTTGAATATCTGTGAGTTTCTTCGACTGATCTGTTCTCCGTCGAGTGAATCCTTCGTAGGGTGCGTTGAGCGAACCGTACACAAGATAGGACGAGATGTCTCGTCTGCAAGTTGAAGTTGTGCTTACTAGCGGTGTCGCGAAGGGTGCTCCGAATGCGCTATAGCGGATGAGCAGGCTTGACTCCGGCGACTGGCTGCTGGTCGTGCAGAGGCGAATTTCACACCCAGGGCCGTCACTCACGGTACGGAACGAATGGACTGAGTGCGGATAAATATCAGAGTTATGCGGGTAAGGAAAAAGCGAGGTATGCAATAGTAGTACATAGGCCGAGACAGATAGAAACGTACAGAGATGGTGACGGGGGATGCATATGTGGGGCGAAATAAAATATAGGGTGGATCGCTTTGGTACCTAGAAGTGCGGAATGAGTTCTACCCAAGAGATGGCTTTATATGCATCGGGGGGAAGCGCGCGGAGGGTCGTAAATGCGATGACGAGGAGGATGAGTCGGGAGAAAACGTATGGTATGAGGGCGATGACACCGAAAATAACGGAAGGCCCTACTAGTGCAGCTGCCACTATTTCGGGTAAAGACAAATTCGGTATTGCTAAGATACCGGCCACAGACGCCTCAAAGGCAGGAATACAAGTGATCACAAGCGAGAGTATTCGCCATAGGTATTGCTCCTCGACCGTTGGAAAATCGGAGAACCATGCAGTGCAGTGAATGAGTCCGAAAATCGTAGGCACCACTAACATACAGGCTACATCGGCTGTGATTGCTACAAAAGGACTGACGTGGTCCGCGTCTGAGGCCCGGTAGCGATGCCACCATTGTGCATGAAAAGGTTGAGCGAATATCAAGGCAGTAGGGACCAATATGATGCTTGTAACCGCCCATACTGCATACAGCAGCCCACGATAGAACACGTTGCTTCCGTCTCGAATCCCCTCAATCGCTATAGGATATAAGTCGTCAATGAATTCGGGCATGAGTTCGTATCCTGCGTCCCAGACTAGTTTCAGCGGATGAAGCAAGTTTTGTAAGAACGTCCTTTCCTCAGATGGAATGGAGTGGCAATGTACTGCGAGGCGTGTTTCAGCTCAGCCGTACAGTCGATAACCAGGATACAGTACTCACTTGATATCCTCGGCCCGACATGAGACTCGTCATGAGACTGGACATCGATAGAGTGCGAATGACTGTGCAGTAGACCAAGCTCGACCTCGCTTGCATTTGTCGGGCAACCTGCCTCAGACTCCACTGTCCCTTGTGCATTCGGTACATCCGCCACATCCGCGATACTGCCCAGAGTCACGTTCGCTGCGACTGTAATAGCGTTCGGATGTTCATGAAGGACAATGGGTACGTCAACGCAGAACGGCTTCTTCAACCATAACGCATACATGGCAATCGCCATGATTGTGAAACCGGCCGTAAAAATTTCTAGCTCCGTAATGGGGAGACGTTCGATGAAACGGGCAAGGACCTGCAGCGCGAACCAGAAAGTCTGAACGACTGCGGCCGTTTTAGAGAGCCAGTTTGCTTTGCTTTTGTCCTGGATTTCCTCCTCCGATATATATGGGAACTCTATTATGTTTTCGTCGATGAGGATAATAATATCTTTGGCTTCGAGCTGCTTTGTGCTGCGTTCCGCGGGGTTGCATAGCACAAAACCTCCCATCAGAACAAAGAAGCCATGAGTAGTCGTCCAGCCATGCTCTGGAAGGTCTCAATGTCAGCCTAAGCCTGAGGGAAGTCCAACTGAAGGGACTGCACATTACCTTTGAACACATGCATCCGAGCTATTTTGCGAGCGTCCATATATTGGAACGTCGCTATGTAAATGTAGATCTCCGGGGCAATGATGGCACTAATGGTGAACCCTATACGGCGAAACTTCTGCCACCAGGGGTCCTCTCTGTACGGCGGAATGTCGGGGTGAACAGCAGTCCAGACGCATGCGATGATGGTGGCGATGCAACTGGATACGATGCTCAGGAGCGTACGACAGTCATTGAGTTTATCGCAAGATGGGGAAAGGTCCTCGACGGACCGAATGTCGGCGATGGGCGCGGCGACTGAGTGCTGACTGAAGTAGTGAAGGAACACGAGAGCGAGGAGCATGGTGTGGAGCGTCAAATGGCTTCTCGAGATGCGATGGACTATAAGGCTGGCAAGGACACGCAGTGGGACCGAGCCCCCTTATAAGAGTGGGCCGCGCACATAACTACGAGCATTGCAGCAACGGCGTAGGACTGGGACCAGTCCAACATGCCTGAACCATGTGTATGAAGGCGATAGCGAAGCGGTTCATCCTGATTGGACGTCTCAACCGTGTGTCTTGATCCATGAGCTGTATGCATTCTGGCCAGAATTTGCACACTGCATCGACTCGTTGTTGGTGCGTTGAATTCGGAAGCAATGCCATTCTGGTGTGGAAGAGAGCCGCATGAAACATGCATGCGTACTTCAATTGCAAATACCACACGTTGATCCTGCGATGAGCGTCGGAGATCCAGGTCGCGATGCTCCACCTGAGAATGCACCTCATACCGATATTTCGTGGTAATGGCGACATGCTCGTGCATTGGCATGCCATTGGGCACGGGAGCTCCAGGAGTGGAAGATGCTATGTGATAGTCAACAGAGACATGCTGGCATGCGGAATTGAACAAGTGATTTGTGTCGAGGGAGTGCTCGTTTACATTCTAAGTCAAATAGGGACGCAGACCCACATCACGTTTGCACAGATACAGGGGAGTTCAGGGCTGGCACACGTACATGGGTTTTACGCATAGGTCGTTTCGGGAACGCGGATGCGGATAAATGGATTATATCAAATATGCCTGCGCAGTCCTCAATCAATGTACAACACAAGTAGATATGCAGCGTATGCAACCATATAGACCGACCTTATCTAACTTCCGCTTCACAGGCATCCCATTCTCGCCAGGAACCGTTATATACACATCGTCATACGTGTCGTCGGTTGGCTCGGCATTGCGTCGCTCGTTCTCGGATGCGACGCGGAGTCGAATTATCAAGAGGAGAAACGAGCAGCCCAGGTAGCAGAGGCCGATCAGTGTCCATGGGACGCAGTTCCTGCACCGGCGACAATAAGCGCCAATGAGATGGTAATGAAACCTTAGTCGAAGGGTTGCTAGGTCGCCGTGGCTTGTACTTCTCTTGCCACATCAACGGTCCCAATGTGCTGCCAAAACAGTATGCGATGAGCACGCCTCGTGCAACCCGCCATGACGCTCGAAAGCCAAGAGAGGGAGAGAACGAACCCCGTCGTGCCAACGCCTGTCCCCACGGTGAATAAAGCGCAAATTACACACACCGCATACCACACCCCAAACACGCACTTATCAGCCACTGCGCGTACAGCAGTCCAATTTAGTTGCTCCACGGCAGCAGGTTGACGAGCAGCACGCCAACGAGGTTCCGAATGAACTTTACTGCGCGTGCATTTTCCAGTCAGGCAGCGAGCCGCACGCCCATCCAGATAGTGACGATTTTGATGATGCCGTCCACACAGCCGAGAAGTGTCGTCTGTAGGTAAGTGAAGGCGAGAGAAGGTACAACCATCTGCCCTTGGGTCGTGAGGTGGTATTGAGTGCGGAGAAGAGGGCGAAGACCCACGGCCCTGGGCCAAGCAGCCCCTGTGGTTTCCGTGTGAAAAGGCGGACTTAGCATGGAGGCTTTTGAGGGACTGAAGAGCGTGTACTGTGGGTCCGGCGATTCATATCACCAGACTAGTATAGATGAAAAAAAGACATACCTTCAGGCGTTGTACAGTCGCCATACATTCTTCATTGGTCAAGAACCATGCATTTGTGGGAGAGTCGGGGAAATGAAGGCTTTAGAAACAATCATTGAAAGCTTCGAATGGAGACCCGTGTAATCAACTCACCAATAGACCATGACAGGGAGGAATGTCATAACGCCGGTGATTGTCACGAGCCTGACGTACGAGATGACGCTGTGAGTATCGGTGGCGCGAAAACCCCGACCATTGCCATGATTCAACGCCCTTAGTTCTAATATGCAAAGTTCGGAAGCCAATGAAACTAGATATGATATGTGCTGATTGCATGGAGTTACGAGACATCCAGAAATTATATTCTGTTGCTCTACTCACCGGTCCCATTCATCAGAACTTACAAGACATGAGCGACAGGTCAACCACAAAAGAGAACCCACCCACACTAATATCCCACTCGCAGCGTCTGCTTGTTAGGAGTACGGAACATAGAGCTGACGATCATGAGGCCCGCCATGATAGATCCTTCACACATGCCGAGTAGCAAGCAAGCGACGAATAACTGCGCGAAGTCCTCGCACGCGGCATGCATCGTCAAGGTAGCGCCCCATATGAAGATGGTCGTGCTGAAGGAAAGCGGCCATTAGATACGATATATGAAGATGATAAGAGCAGGTTCCTCGTACATGTTCCCACCGGAAAGCATTGCAATGCGATATTCTGACCATACTTGAATACGGGGTAGCTAACGTAGAAGACTGTTCCGAGCCTATGGGAGCATGAACATGTGAACGCACACACGATATTGTATCTCACCGGTTGTACTTGTCAAGGAAGGCTCTTCAGCAGGAACACACCGAATTATCAACAAGCATACTCGTTCGTAGTCAAGTATTTCGCTCCTCTGTCAAAGGCATAGACATAAAATGAAAGATCCCCGAAATGATATGGGATTCAGTGACAAACCTAATACCAAGGATTGCAGCACTTTCGAGGGTGGTTTTGTCCATGATCTGTATCCGGTACGGTGCTACATTCCATCCACATTATTCAAGTGCATGTCAAGTACACGTAGCGTTCCCGAAGGCCAATACATGGTACCATGCGCAGAGATAGGACCGACGTACTGCACATGAGAGATAGAATATGCAAGTCAATCTTCTCGCACCCGATCGGCCTCTATGGGGTACAGTGTATCCGTGTTTTCGGAAATGAGCTGGGCCGCAGTATCCATAACTTCGCTTGATATAGCGATGTGCCCATCTTTGAACTCATCTTCATCGTTTATCACTTCATTGGCATTGGGTCCTAATTCTTGTAGCAGGGCGTAGCACGACCCCCCTCGTAGAGTGCACCGACCCGCCTTGTGTGAGAATATACTTATAGCATGCAACGTCGTGTCTTCTACCGCATTGCGCAAAAGAGTAGAAACGTGGGAAAACAGGTGCGATCACGACTGCGCCACAGACGCGTAATCGCACGTGACGAACTTGCCCTTCGCGACTCTGCGTTCGCAAGTGTGCGCCGGCGTGCTGCGACGAGCTCCGATTCGCCAGCGACTTGTTTAATGATCTCCCACTGACGCGCCCCGAAGTACGGTCTCGATTTCTGGAAGCCCGGCTCTGGTATCATTCACCAAATTATCCTCGAGAACTATGCATTCCCCGGTGGACTTATGATCGGCACGGGCTCGCACACGCCCGACGCGGGTGGTCCTCGGTATGGTTGCTTGCGGTGTCGGTGGTGCGGATGCCGTCGACGTCTTGGCTGAGCTGCCTTGGGAGCCCAAGGTCATCGATGTGAACCTCGTTGCCAAGATCAGCGGCTGGACGACTCCCAAGGTAAGCATTTCATACTCGTGTCTCTGCCATCTGCTGATTCTCGCCCACAGATGACATCCTCAAGGTTGCAGGCACTCTCACTGTCAAGGGCGGTACTGGTGCCATCGTCGAGTACAAGGGTCCTGATGTCGAGTCGCTTTCCTGCACGAGTAAGGCAACGATGCGTGCGGTCCTTGCATCGGTCAGTGGGACAGACGGGACGTCAAGAAGGGTGAGAAGAACTCCAGTGAATACTTGTTGCTTAGACGGCAGTGAAGTTTGTATCAGATTTAGTCCCTGCGTAGTCATCACTTCGTACAACCGTAACTTCACCCGCCGCAACTATGCCAACCCTCTGCCCACGCTTTCGTCGCCTCCCCCGACATTGTGACTGCGATGGCGTTCGCGGGCGACCTTCACTTCAACCCCCTCACAGACACCCTTATTGACTCCGATGGCAAGCCGTTAAAATTCAGCAGCCCCACCGGCAAGGAGCTCCCGCGCAAGGGTTATGATCCCGGATTGGACATTTTCCAGCCTCCTCCGAAGGATCGAGCCAGCGAACAGGTCGCAGTCGACCCGAAGAGCGACCGTCTCCAGATCCTGAAGCCCTTTGCTCCCTGGGATGGTAAGACCGGTAAGCGCCCCTCTGGAGCGTGCGATTGGAGATTAGGCATCGAGCAAGGATGAAGCGACGCATCACATCTCGGCCGATAAACCCTGGCTCAAGTACCGAAGGCTCCCTGAGAACATCTCTCGTGCATATTTCTCTGCCGCTGTTTGGCCCACACCCGTCTGATGTTCTTGTTTGGCTTCCAATGTGCAGAGAACTGTCTGATCAGTGCCATCAATGCTGAGAACGGCGAGGCGGACAAGGTGAAGAACCAGGTCACTGGCGAGTACGGCCCTGTCCCGCAGACGGCCGCGTACTACCGCGACCACGGCATTAGGGGTCATCGTCGGCGATTACAACCACGGTGAAGGCTCCTCGCGTGAGCACGCTGCGCTCGAGCCGCGTTTCCTCGGCGGTCTCGCTATCATCGCTCGCACGTATCCACGAGAAAAACTTGAAGAAGCAGAGTATGCTCGCGTTGGCATTCGCGAACCTGGCCGACTACGACAAGGTGCAGCTCGACGGCCGCCTGTCGATTCACGGCCTCCAGGACTTCCAGCCCGGCAAAAACCTCACGCTCGCGCTTAAGCATAAGGATGGGTCGAAGGATGAGATTCCGCTTGCGCACAGCTTCAACGAGGGACAGAACTAATGGTTCAAGGCGGGCTCAACGCTCAACCTGGTATGTCCATTCCTATCCTCCCGCGGTCCGGTCGATCATCTGCTCACTGGTTTGTTGAAGATGGCCACGCACGCGAAGGCCAAGGTGCGGCAATAGACGCGTGCACTGACGCGGACGCTGGCCTGTCGCCCGTAGAATGGCGGGGTATGGGGTTAGAGCGTGGTGTCGCTGCCGGTGGAAGAAAGAATTATCGCATAGCTGATTAGGTTACTAGTATTGTTGCAAGTGTATCTGAATTCTTTTTCATTATTCTGCTTTGGTTTCGTCTCTGTCCGTCGTATGCAAGCTGTGTATAAAGCTAGAACGAACGAACGCTTACAATAGCCTGCGTGCGGTGGTACTTGTTCCTCTAATATCTGTGAGTTCCTTCGACTGATCTGTATACGCGGCATGAACCCTTGTGTAGGGTGCGTTGAACGAACCGCTCACAAGATAGGACGAGATGTGTCACATCTGCAAGTTGAAATTGGGCTTACCAGCGGTTTGTCTCGCGGGGGGGTGCTCCGCATGCGCTGCTGGTCGTACAAGGAGACATTTATCAAGCCCGGGACTGTCACTCATGGCGTGAAACGAATAGTTTGAGTGCGGATAAATATCAGATTTATGCGGCAAGGAAAAAGCGAGGTATGCAATAGTAGTACATAGACCGAGACAGGTAAGAACGTACTGAGATGGGTGACGGGGGGATACATACGTGGGGCGCAATAAAATATACGGTGGAATGATGTGGTACCTAGAAGTGCGGAATGAGTTCTACCCAAGAGATGGTCTTGTATGCGCCGGGAGGAAGCTCGCGGAGAGTGGTGAATGCGATGGCCAGGAGGATGAGTCGGGAGGGGACGTATAGTAAGGTGGTGATGATAACGAGGATAGTTGAGAACTGTTCCAACGCAATTTTCACTATTTTAGGTAAAGGCACTGATTGAGATATTGCTCCGATACCGGCCATACACACCACAATGACAGGAGAATACGTGATCACAAGCGACAGTACTCGCCAAAGGTATTGCTCAGTGACCGTTGGAAAATGGGAATACCATGCAGTGCAATGGATGAGTCCAAACAGTATAGGCACAACAACTGCACAGGATGTAACGGCTGCGCTTAGTACCGCATCGCTGATTGTGTCATCTAATGAGGAGCCTCCATGCCACCATTGTTCAAAAGTAAGTGGAGCAAAGATAAAGAAGAAGGGGGCCAATATGATGTACAGCACGACCAGTAGCGGCCAAATGACCGCCAAGACCGCACGCGGCAGCCCACGATGAAATGAGTTTTTTTTGTCTCGAATGGCTTTGATATGTGCATGAATGGGCCCACGAATGCGTTCGTATGCTGAGTTCCAGATTAGCCTCAGCGGATGAATCAGGTTCTGTAAGCACGTCCTTTCCTCACGTTGAACGGAGTGGCAATGTCCTAAAAGAACTACATGAGTTCTGCTGTGCAATCGATGATCATCGAATAGTACTCACTTGATGTCTTCGACCCGAGGTGGGAGTGGACGGCAGTAGAGCGCGAATAATTGTCCAGTAGACCAAGCTCGACCTCGTTTGTATTTGTCGGATGATCTGCCTCCTCCACTGTTCTTTGCAGGTTCGGTGCATCCGCCGCATTCGCGATACTGCGGGCCAGAGCATCCATTATGGCCGTAATAGCGTTCGGATTTTTATGAAGGACAATTGATACGTCAATGCAGAATGGCTTCGCAAACCATAACGCATACATGGCAATCGCCATAATTGTGTAACTTGCGGTAAAGATTTCTAGCTCCGTGATAGGGAGGCGTTCGATGGGACGGGCGATGACCTGCAGCGTGAACCAGCAAGTCTGAACGACTGCGGCCATTTTAGACAGCCAGTTTGCTTTGCTTCTGTCTTGGATTTCCTCCTTCGATATATGTGGGAAGTTTATTTCGTTGTTTTCGATGAGGCAGATTAATTTATAGTAGTCGAGCTGCTTTGTGCTGTGTTCCGACGGGTCGCATAACGCAAACCCTCCCATCAGAACAAAGAAGCCATGAGTAGTCGTCCAGCCATGCTCTGAGATGTCTCAACGTCAGCCTAAAGGAAGTGAAACTGAAGGGACTGCATATAACCTTTGAACACATTCATCCGAGCTATACTACGAGCGTTCAAATATTGGAACGTCGCTGTGAAAATGTATATCTCCGGTGCAATGATGGCGCTAATGGTAAACCACATGCGGCGAAACGTCTGCCACCAGGGATCCTCTCCGTACGGCGGAATGTCGGGGTGAACAGCAGTCCAGACGCATGCAATGATGGTGGCGAAGCAACTGGACACGATGCTCAGGAGCGTTCGACAGTCGCTGAGTTTATCGCAGGATGGGGAGATGTCCTCGACTGACTGAACGTCGGAGATGGGTGCGGCGACTGAGCGCTGACTGAAGTAATAAACGAACACGAGAGCGAGGAGCATGATGTGGAGCGTCAAATGACTTCTCGAGATGTGATGAATTATAAGGCTGACAAGGACAAGCAGCGCGACCGAGCCCCATTATTGAAGGCGATGGCGCAAGAGCCCATGTGATGCTGATCGGACGTCTTCACTGCGATGCTCGACTGGGAACGTACCTGATACGGGTATCTCGTGACAATGCCATGCCCTGCAATGCCATGCCATGGGGACGGCAGCTCCGGAAATGGAGGATCCTGTTTAAGAGCCCGCAGAGACATTTTGGCATGCGTAATCTGACAGCTGACATTCTGCGGCGGTGTAGTCGTCTGCGTTCTAGCTCAAAGAGCGGCGCCGAAGCTGAGAGACCTATGCCACATTTGCACAAATATGGGTGACGCTCAGGGCTTGCGCACGTAAACGAATGCTCTCGAGGCCGTTCAAGCCTCTCCGGACCCTTGGCCAATGCAGTGCCGCCCCAGTTCCCATGCGCTCGCCACTCTGGTCCGCTAGTCCGTGCTCTCCGCCGCTATTGATAATCTCCAACCAGAGTTCTCCGCTTAGCGCGGCCGTCGACCTCAGCACCCTTCTCCCCCGCTTCCATTGCAGACTCACCTGATGCGGCGGCCTCTTCGAACCGCTTGTCAAAGCATGGCTCGTTCCATGAGCGCGGATGCGGATAACGTGTCCAACAAATTAGATCAGAGATGTCTGCGCAGCCCTCAATCAATATAGGATATGCATCATTGCAATGGCGGCTGTGCATCTGTAGATAGGCGCGGTGAGGCAAGAACAGCAATGGAGACAAAGAATCAGCTCACAGGACATATCAGAAACCACAGTTCTGGATGTCCGTAGTCTAAGAATTCCCGAACAGCGGAGACGCGCATCAGTAGAGATCCGGCCTATGGAACCACACAGACTAACCTTATCTGACTTCCGTTCCATAGGCATCTCATTCTCGCAGGGACCATTATGTACACATCGTTATACGTATCATCGGGCGGCTCGGCATTGCAGCGATCGTTCTCGGATGCGAGGAGGAGTCAGATGATCAGGAGCAAGAAGCGGGCAGGCGAGGTAGCAGAGGGCGATAATTGTCCACGAAACGTGGTTCCTGAAACCGCTGCACCGGCCACAATAAGCGCCAGTGGGATGGTGATGAACGCTAGTCGAAGGGTGGTTAGGTCACCGTGGCCTGCACTGCTCTTGCCACATGAACAGTCCCAGAACACTGCCAAGGCAGTAGGCGATGAGCATGATGGAGTTCACAGTAGTTCGCTTGGCGTGTCCTGTCGTGACATTCGACAGCCGAGATAGCGAGAGCACGAACGCCGTCGTGTCAATGCCTATCCTCAGCGTGAATAAGCAGAGATTACGTACACGGAATGCCGCGCCGCAGACACGTACCGGTCAGCCACTGCGCGCACAGCAGCCCAGTCCAGTTGGTCCACGCAGCATCTTGACGAGGAGCACGCCGACGAGGTTCGAATGAAGCATGCTGCGCCGATTTACGCGCGCGCCTCTTCTCGTCACACGGCGAGCCACACACCCGTCCAGTTAGTGGCGATTTCGCTGATGCCATCAACACAGCCGAGGAGCATCACCTGCAGGTAGGTGAAGCCGAATGAATCTACAATCATTTGCTCCTGGTTCGTGAGGTGATTCGGGACGTTATGAGTGCGAAGAAGAGGGCGAAGAACCACGTCTTGGGGTCGTGCAGCGCCTTATGGACTCCGTGTGAGAAGGCGGACTAATCATGGAGTCTCTCGAGGAACGCGGAAGCGCACACGGTTTCCACCTTGAAATGCTTGTTCTCCATGTCGGTCTGGTTCTTTCTATGTTTTCAGCAACGGACTAGTATAGATGAAAAAAATGTACCTCCATGCGTTGCATGGCTACCACACGTCCATCGTTGGTCAAGAATTGCATTGGTAGGAGAATCGGCGTAAAAGAGCCTTTAGAAGCACTAACCCGAAGCTTCGAATGGAAATCCGTCTTATCAATGCACCAATAGACTATGGCAGTGACGGATATCGTAATGCCGGTGATTGCCACAAGCCTAGAGCATGAGATGAGGCTGTTAATATAGGTGGCGCGAAGACTTGGGAATTCTGACCATTGTCACGGTTCATAGCCTTCAGTCCTGATCGAAGCTGATGAAACCAGACATAATCTACGCCAATTTCACGGAGTCGTGAGACGGCCAGGATTTATACTCTGTTGCTTTATTCATCGGTCCCATTCATCAAGCCCGAAAAGAGGTGAGCGACAAGTCAATGACCAAAGAGAAATCGCAATCACCAATATCCCACTCGCTATGTCTGCCCGTTACGAGTATAAAAGAGAGAGCTGACGATCATGAAGCTTGCGGTGATATATCCGTCAAATACGCCGAGTATGAAGCGAGCAATGGGTAATTGAGCAAAGCTATTGCACGAGGCATGCGAGGTCGAGGCAGCGCCCCATATGAAGATCCTTGCGTGGTAGCTGGAAGCTGATGAGAGCACTTACCTCATCCATTTTCTTACTGGAAAGCGTTTCAGTGCCATATTCTGAGGATACTCAAATATGAGGCAGCTAACGTAGAGGACTATTGCGAGCCTGTACGATCATAAGCATGTGGACTGGTACACGCAGACGATCCCATATCTCACCAGTTGTACCTGGCAAAAAAGGCTCTTCAGCAGCAACACGCCGAACTATTGGACAGCGCACTCGTTTGTGGTCAAGTGCGTCGCTTCTCTGTCAAAGGGATAGCTACAAAACGAAAGATCCTGAAAATGGTATGGAATTTAGTGACCAAGCTAATACCAAGGACTCCGACTGCAGCACTTCCGAGCGTGGTTTAGTTCAATGAGGTGTATCCAGTACAATGCTACATTCAGTCCACATTAGTTGAGTACATATCAAGCGCACGCTGTGTCTCCGAAGGCCAATGCTTCGTATCATGCAGGAGAGATAAGACAGACGTACTACGATGAAAGGCGGAATGTGCCAATCAATCTTCTCTCGCACTCGATCGTCCTCTATAGGGTCCAGTGTATGCGTGTTTCCGGAAATGATCTGGCCGCAATATCTAATACTTTGCTTGATACAGAGATGTGCCTAACTTTGAACTCATCTTCGCCGCCTGTCACTCCATTGGGTCTTAATTCTTGTAGCGGGACGTAGTACGAGCGCTCCCATAATGGGTACCGACCCGCTATGTGTGCAAACAAACTTCTAGCACGTAATGTCTTGTTTTATAACAGTTAAAGGCGTCATATTACAAGAGCTCATTGCAAGAGGGTAGAGATGTGGAAGGCTGCTTCGCGACTGCGCCACAGGCGCGTGAGGCAGCCTCACGTGACGAACTTTGCTCGTCCTGAAGTTTAAACTTCAAACCAAGCTGCCGCTTCGCGGTATATGTCCTGTCACCGACTCTGCTTTCGGACCATCGGTTCCTGCACGAACGAGGACATGACCCACGCCGCGTCGATCGCTCGCGAGGCTGCAGATCACGGCTTGAGCACAAACTGGATCCGAGCAGTGTTCGCACGACCATCGACCGTGACGCCCAGATTGCGACGTTCGAGGAGATTGATGGTCTCATTCTCGCTCATTCATGCGGTCCTTGCAGTGGTGAATGGGACAGGCGGACGTCAAGAAAGGCGAGAAGAATTCCAGTAAGTATCTGTTGCTTACACGCTAATGAAATTGGTGTCCGGTGTTGTGAGTATAAGGAACGAATGTTTTCCTGTACGAAGGCTGATTCATGAGCTCAGTCTCCGCCTAGTGATTCCTTCAGCAACCGTAACTTCACCGCATCCCGCTAACAACTGCAGTACCCACGCCTTCCTCGCCTCTCCCGACATCGTGACTGCGTTCGCATTCGCGGGTGAGCTCCGCTTCAACCCCCTCAGACACCCTTACCGGCTCAAATGGTAAGACATTCAGGTTGAGCGACCCGACCGGCAAGGAGCTCTCGCCCAAGGGCTACGAGCCCAGGCAGAACACCTTCCAGCCTCCTTCAAGGACCGTGCCAGCGTACAGGTCGCAGTTGACCGGACGAGCGACCGTCTCTAGATGTCGAGGGTCTCCCCGTTCTCATCAATGCCAAGGGCAAGCGCAGTGAGTACCCTCCTTGAGCATGTGATTTGGAGATTAGGCATTGAGGAAGGATGTAGCGACGGATCACACCTCGCCTGTTGGGCCCTGGCACAAGTACCGAAGACTCTTTGAGAACATCTCTCGTGCGTATTTCTCTGCCGCCGTCGGCACACGCCCGTCTGATGTCGTTGTTTGCGTTCTGCACAGAGAACTGTCTGATCGGTGCCATCAACGCTGAGAACGTCGATGCGAGCAACATAAAGAACTAGGTCACTGGCGAGTATGGCGGTGTCCCGCAGACGGTGCGTACTACCACAATCACTGGATCAAGTGAATTGTCGTCGGCGATTACAACTACAGTGAAGGCTCCTCTCGTGAGCACACTACACTCGAGCCACGCTTCCTCTACGATCTCGTTATCATCATGCGGTCGTTCGCCCGTATACATGAGGCAAAATTGAAGAAGCACGGCATGTTCGCGTTGACGTTCACGAGCCCGGCCGACTACGACGCCGTGCGGCCCGATGACCGTGTGTCGATTCTTGGTTTGCAGGAGTTCCAGCCTGGCAAGAATTTGCCGCTTGCGCTTAAGCATATGGATGGCTCGAAGGATGAGATTTCGCTTGCGCATAGCTTTAATGAGAGTCAGATTGAGTGGTTGAAGGCGGGCTTTACGCTCAACCTGGTATGTCCATTCGTATCCTTCCGCGGTCCGGTCGATCGTCTGCTCACCGCTTTCTTGTGAATGGCCGCGCATGCGGAGGCCAAGACGCAGCAACAGATGCGTAAACAGATGCGGCCACTAGCCTGTCGCCCGCAGAACGGTAGGGGTAAGGAGTTAGAGCGTGCTGTCGCTGGAAGAAAGGATTATCGCATCGCCGATGAAGTTACTCGTATTGCTGCAATTCTTTTCCATTATTCTACTTTGTTTTCGTCTCTTTGTCTGTCATATGCAAGCTCCGTATAAAGTAGAACGAATGAACGTTTGCATTAACAGCCTCTCGTCGTTGAGATTGGGCGTGTGGTGGTACCGTCTCCTTGAATATCTGTGAATCCTTCGACTGATCTGTTCACCGTCGAACGAGCCCTTCGTAGGGTGCGTTAAGCGAACCGTTCACAAGATAGGACGAGATATCTCACATCTGCAGGTTGAAATTGCACCTACCAGCAGTTTGTGTCGTGAAGGGCGCTTCGAATGCGCTGTAGCGGATGAGCAGGCTTGACCATGACGACTCCCTGCTGGCCGTACAAGGAGACAATTTCAGACCCGGAACCGTCACTCAGCATACCAGAATGACTAGCTTGAGCGCGGATAAATATCAGGTTTATGCGGGCAAGGGAAAAGCGAGGTATGCAATAGTAGTACATAGGCCGAGACAGGTAGGAACGTATGAAGATCGTGACGGGGGATGCATATGTGGGGCGAAATAAAATATGCGGTGAAATGATGTGGTACCTAGAAGTGCGGAATGAGTTCTACCCAAGAGATGGCTTCATATACACCGGGAGGAAGCTTTCGGAGAGTGGTGAATGCGATGACGAGGAGGGTGAGTCGGGAGACAACGTATAGTATGGCGACGATGGAAGTGAAGATGGATTTTAGTGCATGCTTCACTATTTGAGGTAGAGAAGAAGAATTTGAAGATGTCACACCGATGGCGATCAAAGGCGCCTCAGGGATAGGAGAACAAGTGATCACAAGCGACAGTACTCGCCAAAGGTATTGCTCCACGACCGTTGGAAATTCTAATGACCATGCAGTGCAATGGATGAGTCCGAAAAGTATAGGCGTCACAAGCGTAGACGCATACGATACAAGGGCTATGATTGTTTTGAAGCTGTCCTTAGGCTCGTTTGAAACCCCGGGGAAATGCCACCATTGTTGATGACCAGCTTGACCGAATATCAAAGCAATAGGGGCCAATATAATGCTTGTGACCGCCCATACCGCATACTGCAGCCCACGATAGAACGCGTTTCTTACGTCTCGAATATCCTCAACCTGTATAGGATTAAAGTCGCGAATGAATTTGGGCATGGATTCGTATCCTGCGTCCCAGACTAGTTTCAGTGGATGAAGTAGCTCTTGTAAGAACGTTCTTTCCTTGACCTGGACGGAGTGGCAATGTCCTAAGAGACCTGTTTAAGCTCTGCTGTACAGTTGAAAATGAGGAGAGAGTGCTCACCTGATGTCCTTGGCCCTGGGTTAGACTGGACGTCAGTAGAGCGCGAATGACTGTCCAGTAGGCCAAGCTCGACCTCGTTTGTATTCGTCGGCCAATCTGCCTCTTCCACTATTCTGTTCAGATTCGGTGCATCCGCCGCAATCGCGATACTGCTCAGGGTATCCGACGTGACCGTGATAGCCTTCGGCTGTTCATGAAGGACGATTGGTACGTCAATGCAGAACGGCTTCTTGAACCATAATGCATACATGGCAATCGCCATGACTGTGAAACCGGCCGTAAAAATTTCTAGCTCCGTAATGGGGAGACGTTCGATGAAACGGGCAAGGACCTGCAGCGCAAACCAGCAAGTCTGAACGACTGCGGCCGTTTTAGACAGCCAGTTTGCTTTGCTTCTGTCTTGGATTTCCTCCTCCGATACATACGGGAACTCTATTTCGTTTTTGTTGATGAGGTTTATAACTTCTTTGGCGTGCAGCTGCTTTGTGCTGTGTTCCGAGGGATTGCATAGCGCAAAGCCTCCCATCAGAACAAAGAAGCCATGAGTAGTCGTCCAGCCATGCTCTGAGATGTTTCAACGTCAGCCTAAGGAAAGTTGACCTGAAGGGGCTGCACATGACCTTTGAACACATCCATTCGAGCTATTTCACGAGCGCTGAGATATTGCATCGTCGCTATGAGAATGTATACCTCCGGTGCAATGATGCCACTTATGGTGAACAGCATGCGGCGAAACCTCTGCCACCAGGGGTCCTCTCCGTACGGTGGAATGTCGGGGTGAACAGCAGTCCAGACGCATGCGACGATGGTGGCGATGCAACTGGATATGATGCTCAGGAGCGTTCGACAGTCGCCGAGTTTATCGCAAGATGGGGAGATGTCCTCAACTAACCGAACGTCGGCAATGGGTGCGGCGACTGAGCGCTGACTGAAGTAGTAAACGAACACGAGAGCGAGGAGCATGATGTGGAGCGTCAAATGGCTTTTCGAGATGTCATGGATTATAAGCTGACAAGGACAAGCAGCGCGACCGAACCCTATCATTGAAGGCGATGGCGCAAGAGCCCAGTTGACGCTGATCGGACGTTATAACTGCGATGCTCGACCTGGAACGTACCTGATGCGGGTATCTCATGACAATGCCATGCCATGGTGCACAGCAGCTGCGGAAGAGGAGGATACTGTGTAAGAGCCCACAGAGACGTTCGGGAATGTGGAATACAACAGCTAACATCCTGTGGCGGTGTGGTCGTCTGCGTTCTAGCTCAAAGAGCGGCGCCGAAGCTGAGAGAACCATACCACGTTTGCACAACTACGGGAGACGCTCAGGCCTTGCGCGCGTGAACGGACCTTCTGGAGGCTGTTCGAGACTCTCGGGCTCCTTAGCACATCCTGTGCCATCCCAGTTCCCATGTGATCACCACTCTGGTCCGCTAGTCCGCATTCTCCGCCCCTGTTGGCAAAATGGCGACCCCATCTCCAACCAAAGTTTCCGCTTAGCTCGGCCATCGATCTCAGCACCCTTCTCACCCGCTTCCATTGCAAACTCACCTGATGCGGCAGCCTCTTCGAGCCGCTTGCCAAAGCATGGCTCGTTTCATGAGCGCGGATGCGAATAACGTGTCCAATAAATTAGATCAAAGATGTCTGCGCAGTCCTCTATCAATATACGATATACATCATTGCAATGGTGGCTGTACATCTGTAAATATGCGCGGTGAGGCAAGAACAGCATTGGAAACAAAGAATCAGCTCACAGGACATATCAGAGACCACAGTTCTGGATGTCCATAGTCTAAGAATTCCCGAACAGCGGAGACGCGCATCAGTAGAGATCCGGCCTATGGAACCACACAGACTAACCTTATCTGACTTCCACTCCATAGGCATCCCATTCTCGCAGGGACCATTATGTACACATCGTTATACGTATCATCGGGCGGCTCGGCATTGCATCGATCGTTCTCGGATGCGAGGCGGAGTCAGATGATCAGGAGCAAGAAGCGGGCAGGCGAGGTTGCAGAGGGCGATAATCGTCCATGAAACGTGGTTCCTGAAACCGCTGCACCGGCCACAATAAGCGCCAATGGGATGGTGATGAACGTTAGTCGAAGGGTGGCTAGGTCACCGTGGCTCGCACTTCTCTTACAACGTGGACAGTCCTAGGGTATTGCCAAGCAGTAGGCGATGAGCATGACGGCATTCACAGTAGTTCGCTTCGCGTGTCTTGGCGTGACGTTCGACAGCCAAGATAGCGAGAGCACGAACGCCGTCGAGCCAACGCCTGTCCTCACCGTGAATAAGTGCAGATAACACACACCGAACGCCACGCCACAGACACGTACCGGTCAGCTACTGCGCGCACAGCGGTCCAATTCGGTTGTTCCGCGGCAACACGTCGACGAGGAGCACGCCAACGAGATTCGGAATTAAATCTCCCACGGAGACGCACGCGCATGCGTCTTCCAGTCGCACGCGAGCGCACGCCCTCCAGATAGTGGCGATTGCAATGATGCCGTCGACACAGCCGAGGTGCGTCTTTTGCAGATGTATGAAACTCAGAGACGCCGCCATCATTCTGCTTTTGGGTCGTGAGGCTGTTCAATGGAACATTGTCGAGTGCGAGAGAGACGGCGAAAAACCATGTCTTGCGGTCATGAAGCGCCCCGTGGACTCTATGTGAGAAGGCGGACTACGCATGTGCATGAAAACTCTCGAGTGACTGAAGAGCATTCTGTTTGCCCTTGGAATGCTAGTTCTCCACGGCAGTCTGGTTCTCCTATGGGTCCGGCGATTCATGTCACCGGACTAGTATAGATCAAAAAATACATACCTTCAGGCGTTGTACAGCCGCCACACGTTCTTCGATAGTCCAGTTCCATGCATTCATGGGAGATTTGAGGGACTAAAGAAGCCTTGAGTGTAACTAGCTGAGGATTACGGCGGTGACGAATGTCATACATACTACGGTTGGCACCCATTCTGCTTCGCAAATCATGAATAATAATTTGACTTCCGGGTAGAACCACTTCAGATCTTAAGCATAGGTGCGCAAACACCTCAGCTGACCTGATGATTGAAAAGATCACCGACAAGTACGGAGGACTGCCCAAACGGAAGGGATGTACTAATGCAAAAAATCTTGTCACCATCAGTCACATCTTGCGGTCAAACTCCGACGACGGCTTGTGTCGGCACGCTCGGCAAATTGCTTTATTAGGCAGGTGTGATGCAGGCTACTTACCGACGCATACATTATCGAAAGGACCCGGGCAACTCCCATATAGGAGTGTCGCAAAATAGCATATTTGAGGGGCCCCAAATCGCGATTTCCTTGTCACGGATTGCATATTTCAGACCTCGGAGGCCCCCAAAACTCCCAAAAGACCTTATCCTTATCGCAACTTAGCATATTTTGGGGCCCGATGGGTGTCGGAGATTCCGGTTTAGGCATGTCTGGGTGGTTAAACACTAGTATTATTGATGTGACAAGCCATTGATGCGACAAGGTCACCATGTAGCCACATATTGACATAAAAATAAATGATTTCCTGACCGAATAGCCATCATAGTATGTACATGCGCACGTTGTGCTGCTTGCGTAGCTCTCCTTGAACTCATGGAGCTGGATTGTCACATCCGGAAGATACGGAATCTGCAGTTTGCGCATTAAGATCTTCTCGTTCTGATCCCAAATGAATAACAAGAATACCTGCAACATTGAACGTGTTTGCGGCTTTTCTTCGAGATGTCACCTTTCGTGACAACAGCATTGATGAACATCAGCTTGATACGCACTCCACGTAGCCTCTTTATTATCACAACATCATTATGTGAGAGTAGTGGGCTGTCTCGCCTCACATAATGATGTAGTGAGTAGCGGACCATCTCCGAGTCGCAAACAAATCCGTATTTTTCTGATTCTGACATAGGACGTGACGTATCGTTACAAAACGTGACATAGTCACGGGTCTTGTCGCACTTTGCATACTGGAGGCCCGAAACTTTGCATATTTCAGACTCGTTTCGAAAGATTTTTGCGACACTCCTATATGGGAGTTGCCCGGGTCCTTATCGAATCAGTGGTCGACCATGAGGGTGCATTCCTAAAATCTGTGGCTCGACATACAAATCACAACTGAGCTGTTCCGAACCGTATTGAGACATCATTTCAGACGACGTTAAGAACATGACGCGTTAATAACGACGAGCACGCAACTCGTTGGCGAATTGGTGGTCGATGATAGAAGCCTCGCTGTTGGGTGCTTGTCGGAAAATGCATAATCCCCAGCTTGATCTCAAAAGGCTTTAATCAGAATTTCAACGCTCGCTGGGCACTTCAGAATGCACCACAGTGCTCAAATACTATCGCAATGCATCTGCGTTAATGTTTTCTGAATCTCAATAAGACCGAAAAGCTCATGCAATGCGGCGACCGATGCGACCAGTAAATTCAAGCAGTAAATGCAGCGCCAGGGCGACGTAGCGCCAACATGTGACACCGGCCGCAAAGCGGCGGTAGCGTGCTGCAAGCGCCAAATTTTTGACTGGCAACAGTTCCTCCAAGTTGTCAGACAGTCACATCTTGCTCCACCTTGTCCAGTTCTCAATCATGGCTCACCCTCTCGTGTGGCCTGGAAGATACTACTTCTATCCCATTGGAAATACACCCTCTGTCTGTCTTACGAGAGATATGCCTCCTGAAGAGGATGCTCATATTCTGCTTCTTGGATGCGGCGATCCGCGCAATGTACTGTACACGGTCTATAACGAGCCGTCAAACAGTGAGATCCTTTCGTTATTGCTATGCACAGTATCATTGTCATATGTAATATTCCACTTCTCTCACGCAGGCATCAGAGCTCTCGACTTTACGTGCTGTGACATCGAACCAGCGATTCTTGGCAAGCCTCCTTTACTCTCAACTAGAAATCCACGTTGCTTACTGACGATACGATAGCGCGCAATGTCCTATTGCTCACAATGATTGCCGATAAGGAGCTCCCTCAAACTGTCATATGGGACACCTTCTTCCACTTCCACCTCGACAAAAACTCATTGTCAGCACTGACTGTGCAGTGCCAAAAGCTCATCGAGCTTTCTGCCACTCTCCGCGAATGGAATGAGTCCGCATATGGACAATTCGTTCGGATGTCTACGGAGTACACATTGGTGGAACTACGGCGCCATTGGTCTCTTTACGTCGACATGCAACACCTGCCGCGTCCCAAACTCGACGAGTTACGCGAGGGGTTCCGGAAGATGTCGAAGTCTACCTTGGATAAGTTTAGTGTCAATGCCAGCTCCGCGCGCTCTGCTGGTCCGCTCATGTTGGCGGCAGTGGAGACCTCTTCGGATCTGTTCAGGCAATTCTGGAAGACTGGTGTTACCTACACCGATCCGAAAAAGATCTCAGCTGCAACGTCGCTCAATCCCACATTCTTCCATTCCCTCGCAGGTCAGAACTGTTCCATCCATTACGGCATTGACCCGATGGTTCCTTTCCACCTCGCCGAAGTCTATGGGAATACCAGACGCAAGCCGTCCGCTGCGGACGTTGTGAAGGCTGCGAAAGCCGAGTTCGAGAAATGGTGCTCGGCTTTTGCAGCGCTCCTGTCCCCTACGTCTAGCAAAAGGGTGGTTGTCCGCATGATCTGCGGAGATTGCATGGCTATATGTCAGGCGCTCAGGACGTTCGCGTTCACCGAATCTCTGAGCCCTAATATCCCTGTTGCGCAATGGAAGGCACAGGTCATTCATCTCGAAAAAGAGGAGTACATCTCGAAGCGCGCACCGGCGTTGTTCAACGTCATCGACACATCCAATCTTATCGATCATATTGGTCTTTTGAACATCCTCATCGCTGCAGTACCTATCCTATCGCCATCAACGCCTTCTAGCGTTCTCTACACGGAATCTCTGCTGTTCCGAGGGGAGGACGCTACGAAAGAGTTCATGGAGTTGCTTTACGCAGACCTCACGGCAATTGGCCTCTTATTCGGAGTATGCCCCATCGATTACCTATCAGGATTCACGTCGCGATCGAATTCGCATGAATTGATGCTACATATGGCGACCAAGAGAAAGTCGAATCAGTTCCATCAAGTGACAACATGGAAAGCTCCGGTCTCCGGTGACGCACTTTTGGCTCGTTCTGGAAGGCATGCGGCATCTCCGTCCTGTGACTCGTTGCAATTGGGAACATTCCTTTATGACATGTACCATGAAATATTTCAGCAGGAGGACGCCATGAATTTCTGGCGCTTGAACCAAGGAAATTTGACGAGGGCCTTTGCTTCCTCCAATATTCTTCACTACTCTCGGGAGAGCTTCGTTCTACTTCTGAAGCTCGTTAGGGATCGACTTAGAATCCCAGAGGAGAATTGGTTGGAGGTCATGGATCGCTTCTTCGACCTTCAGGATGCCGATCAAAGTGCTCCCATGGACCGCAATAACATGCAGGAGTTTTGCGCTCAGCTGCATCGCCATAGTGTGTACACAGCGCCGCACATGAAGCCGACACCGCCTAAGACCGGCATTTTCTCCTCTTGGGACTCTGTGCCCACGCTTGTGCGCATCATCCTCATTGTTCCACGCGAAAAGCTGTCGATACTTGAAGAGTCCGCAGAACAGATTGGCACGCCTATCTTAAATTGCGACATCAGAGGGAAATGGTCGCACAACATCTATTCCTCCGTTCACGTCGCATACGGGACAGTAATCAGGATGGGGACAGGTTCCGGTACCTGGGCCGTATTTACGGAGGATAGCGCTGGGGCTCGTGGATCTTCGTCCCTTGTGGCATCTTTCACTATGTCGAGCTGTCTTCTCACCGACATCGAACCTATGGAGAATTTTCTAATCCGCCTTTCGGTTCGGAGCACGCCCGCTTCCGCCGTGTTGGTTTCGAAACTTGGCTTGGAACTTACCCTCTTCCATGCTAGGCTCATGGACCAATCTGCAGTGATCGTGCTGCCTGAACGGCCATTGCCTACCCGTGCGTTATTGCATCGCGAGCCCGCGGATGACTCCCATCTACAAGTTCAAATCGGACCGTGTACAAACCTTCAAGTGACATTTGACGAGCAATGCGAGCTTGTGACATCCCTGACATCCAGGATCTCCGTCGACGATGAGGAAGTTCGGAAAAGTTTCAAAAATGGCGCCACACCGTCCATTATCCAGCTTTCGCCTTGCACTATGCGCCTAGGGATAGGCAAGGGTATTCAAGATGTCGCGTTCCCGTTTCCAGTTATAGGAAGCCAGAATAAGCTGCGCTTGGCTAGGACATCTATGTATGTGGAAGTGAGTCATGCAACCCGTGCTGATATAATGGTACAAGTCTCACGCTGTAGCGATTGCAGGTTGTCGTCCCTCCATATAGCCCATTGAAACCCGATGGCATGAAACTGAATCCATGGCCGGTCACTGTTAGCAGAGGCATTCTTGGTCTTTACAGTATTCATCGTCTAAATCTGGCCCGGATGCCCGTTCTCGATATCAAGGCCTTCAAGCTAGATCAATGGCTTAACTCACACCTCGGATCCCAGATGTCCTCTCGAGAACGTTCTCTTCGAAAGAAGCACGAGGAGGACACCTTGATGTACATCAAAGATTCCCTTCATTCCATCTTCGTTCGCTCAGCTGGAATACAGGGAGGCCCTGCCGGCAGACTGTTTGCACTGCGCGACAACGCAACAAACAATTGCGACACTGTTCTTTTCGTCAGCGATCTACGATATGACCTTCACTGCCATACCGTCATCTGCGATGCGTTCGTTCTACCGCTCACACACGACTTGCTGTTCACGATTGAAAAATCGTTCGCGAAGCTGGTTCACGAAGGACAGATGAACAACATTACTGTGTACGGCAATGAGATGGCCGCCTGGAAGCAGCTGTTGCCCGTGCTCGTTGAACGATGCAGGTTGTCTTGGACACATGGCACCAATTGTGAGTATAAATCCGAGGGGAGAATACCACGGTGCGAAGACATGGAGAAGAATCCTCTGTGCACTTGCGGACAGGGCCAAGACACGGAGCCCATGAAACGGAACAAGTTGTGGAGCCCAGTGGCTCCTTACGTCACGCGGGTCGCGCTGTCGCCTCTCTTCGTGGTATCCTATTTGGAAACTATTGGACGAGATCCTGCAGCACATAAATGTTTCGTCTGTCGTGGAAAGGGCAAGCCAAAACTGTTGGCGTGCACGGGATGCCTGAAAGTTCGATATTGTTCACGGGATTGTCAGAAGAAGCACTGGAAGGTGCATAAACTGCAATGTAAGCGGTAACTGACTCTCAGCAGACTGACGTTGTGCAGCCGTTCTTGTGATAAATGCTCTCGGGACGATATATTTTGTGTCTCGTGACATATAAATTCATGAAACATTGATGTGGAATTGAGCGCAAAAGACCGCTATGTGAGAATCGCTGCCAGGCTTTTCCATGGTCATACTATTGTCTAAGGATGAAGGGAGTCGAATATGCCTATCAGAGAGTGTTGGCGTCCCTTGCAAAAATCCAGGCGTCCCACGGCATCCACTGCGACGGCATTAATTCGTATCCCTTGAGTTCAAATCCCAATTTCTGGTATATAGTGACCTAGAAAAAGCTCGATAAGATGCAGGAGACAACGTATAAAGGTGTCGGATCAAATGCGTACATTGCGCTCGGCAGTTGTCGCAAGAGCCATCGTCGCGCCGAGCGTTTTTGCCTATGCGTGCCAAATCGGTACAGCGATCATCAACGGAGCTGCTCATAACAGTGAAGAACATGCCTTCTCGAATGCGACCTCAAACATGGCCCTCGCGACACCCTTTCCTTGGTATTGTGCCTTGACGAATGCGAAGCTGCACCAGTAGGTGTTCAACTCCGTCTGTATCAGAATGTCACAACGATGGCTGTCAGATCAGATTCAGGAATGTGATAATCCGTCGCTGCAAACTGACTGATTCTATCCCAGTCTTGCTGTCGATCATTTTGGGGAAATCTTTTGCCATCTAATGTGAATGGCGATAAGCGCTTAGAATCATGCGACATGGACGGTCGAATAGCTCACCGTCTCAGCAAAGTATGTTTTCCCTTCCTCAGTCAAGGTAGCCCATCTCAAGCTGCTCCTTTCCACTGAACATTCGCTTACGTTAACATACCGGAAGCACAGAGAAGACAAGATACAAACGTATCATATAGGTTTCTGCCAGGTGGAAGCCATAGCGTGAAACCAGCGAGCTTTCCACTTTCATCAGTGGCAGTATACATGTCTCCGACGACCAAAGCGATGGGTTTGATCATGGCACGTGCCATACTCGAAATGAGACTACGATCGCCCACAACCAAGGAGACTGCGAGAGGATCTACAAGTCCAGGTCATCTTATTGGACGAGCTCATGCAAAAACTGGGATTCTCGCCTTCGGGCATGAGATCAGAGAAGACCTTGACGGCCTCTTCTACAAGATCCTCTGCTTCAAAGTTAGTATGCCGCCGAATGGGCTGATGTCATTGAGCATACCTGTAGGCTCGGACACATATTGAACAGTGATATTGGACGGTGACATACTCTCTGAGCTCCACGTACACGGCAATTGCTCAAATGGATGAGGGAAGCAGTCTCGCTCCTGACAGAGTTAAGTCGAGGTGCGCTGATGATCACTCTAGGAGTAAACACGGCTCTTATATTGCCGCATCCCAAGCCTGTGCAGTGCATGAGCCCCAGACCGGAATGGCTAGTACGCCGCATCGGATTTCCTTGATGACGATGAAACAGCGGAGTACGGGGCTACTGGCTGTCGGATGGATGAACATGTAGCTTCATTGTTCAAGCGCAGGATCGCGCACAAAGATCGACGGCGGTGGACCTACCTGGACCCAGTGACTCGTCGGAAGGCACATTCGGGTTCGCTGTTCGCGGCGAAGGCTCTGCATTTAAGGTTTCACGACGCGTCTCCCCTCCTGACATTGATGGCAGATTTGCATATATGTGCTTTTCATGTTATCGATCGCGCGGATCAACAGCGCTTGTCAGAAACTATCGATGTGGCACTCTAAGCTCAAGTCCTCATCATGCAACACATCCGATTTCGGTGGGATGGTGGCCGCGAATTATTGCCTAATGCCTCGCAAGTACAACAGTTGACCGGGCTATGCATTGGGTGTGTAAGGACAGACTGTGCGTCCTAGCAACCCATTATGTTTCTTCCACCCATTGGAGTCATGGCCACACACCTAAGCCAACACATCAGACATCCACACTTAACCACCAATATGCGCTGTTCGCGCCATCACTGTGTCCTGCTAATTATAAATAGCATTCGGCCGGATGACAAAAAGAAACAGACTCGGAGATCGCTGGGCGGCATCGGGAAATTGATCAGTCACCACCCGTTCCGAAGAATTTGCAAGGAATCGAATTTGTTCACAAGCAGCTGCCAGTGAATGGTCTCTGCACTCTCCAGAGATCCATTCGGTCGCTGGTACGATATGTCGCGACAGCCATGCCGCATACGTGTGCATAGCAGGCATCGTGCGTGCGGGACATTCAAGTACGATATCCCAGCAATACAAGCGGGAACAAGGAACAGGCGACTGACATCGCACGGCATTCATGCCTTGCGTGCGGCCGTAATGCCTGGCGGTTCGATATTGCCTAATGGCATGCTCGAAGCTGGTGTTGTGAGAGGATTGTCAGGCCATTCGCATCCAATCTTGATCACGTTTCGGGCATGACTTCGCGATAACCTTACTCATTCAACCTAGTCTCGATTCATAACGGCGTGCTTTAAGAGAGGACGAGCAACGCTCCGCCGATGTGATCTGGGGGAGTCTTGTGACTGGGAGGCAGGACCGCATGATAGCTCGCGCATCAAGTTGTGGGCCGATCGCGCGCCTGATTGAAGCCGTTTCACGGCATAGGTTGCAAGGCCGTCATGTTCTACGCAGGCCCGTGCAGGACACTAGGGATCAAAGATTGGCGAAGAAAGTTGTGAATGACGATGATTTGAGTGATTTGTTCGGGACAGAGTTTTATCTGAACGGTCCGGTAATGCTGGAACTAACTATTACCCTGTAGTACTAGTGTATATGAAAGAAAACTTACGCACTTTTGCCAAAATGTCCCAAGCCTTTGTCATAATCGATGAGATCGACCTCCGGAGATAGAGCCTACTCAGTGGTGATCTTCAGAGACCACACAACTCCTGTTAGAGAACCTGATGATGGCAGATTCGTTATCATTATCATGCAACAAAAGGAATGCTTGCATACAACGAAGTACAATGACATCTATAGACATGCACCATAGCTACGGACTATGCTATTAGATGCCCGGCTTGTACGGCTGCGACTCACAACTGCGGCTCACCTTTTGAGAGTGTCGACAATCTTATGGCCTAATTCGAGATGTCATTGTGATGGGACTCGAGACGCCAAAATACGATGAGCAGTGACGAGCAATGCTGAGACAGAACAGTGCCGACCAGTTCTGACGGATGTTCACAGCGGTATAGGTAACATAGAGCCCTCTGTAAATCATGTGTCCTGCGATATTAGCGCCATCCATGCGGATGGCTCTCTTTGACGTTTTTCAGTGAGGGTAATCGAGATCCTGAGCGCTGATTGCTCTTCTATCAGTGATTGCATCAGTCATTATGATGTATTCATGGGAAGAACAAATTTCTAATATGCGTTGCCCGTCCCCGCTGTGAGGCCGGCCATGGTTTGTAAGGCTCAGTCACTCAGGCGAGCAAGGATAGTACTCACAGGACCAAGAAAACGCCATCACTGCTAATTCCGAACGCGCATGGCGATTGCCGTGAATCATATACCGGAGGACTCTTTAAACAGTCTCGAGCGGGATACACGGTCGCCCCGTCCTCACAGTGAATCATCCATTCGCAGACACCCATCCCACACTGCGAAAGTTACATAGCGACCTTCGACGGCATGGCTGTGGGCCTCATTCATGACTCTCCGAGTCTCACCGTGGATATGCAAGACATCGTCGAGCGCTGGCTGCGCCAGTTCGCTATCGCCGCCTCCTCGGGAGACGTTGGGGCAACCGTCAGGACCTTCGTTCCCAACGGCTGGCTACGCGATGCCCTCGTCTTCACGTGGGACACGCGCTCTCTGGAAGGACATGCCAAGATCACTGCGTATCTCGCTGACACGCTCCCCAACGCCCGTCTCTCCGGCTTCAAGCTTGACGAGCGAGTGTGGTTTCGTCCGGAACGAGTGCTGGACGGCGCTGGTATTAGTGCAGGGTTCGTGTTCGAGACTCCTCGTGCATGCGGTCGGGGTTATGTCCACTTGATGGAGGAGACCGACGAAAGGGCAGAGGAGAGCCAGGACGATCTTAGCTGGAAGGCACTTTCGGTTTTCATGATGCTTATAGAGATCAAAGGTCACGAAGAGAGCGGCTCTGAGGCAGGTGTGTATGGCGGCCATACCCTGTCCTGGGAGGAGGTATACGGTGCGCGACGTACGAAGATCGAGGCCGACCCACATGTAATCATCGGTATGTGACTGTCTTCCACTAGATTCATTACATAGGTCTTCACATACACATTCGCAGTGGGGGCCGGACAGACAGGTTTGCAAATCGCAGCACGCTTCTCAAAGATGAACATTTCGGCGATCGTCGTGGAGCGGAACAAGACCGTTGGTGACCAGTGGAGGGAGCGCTATCCAACGCTATCGCTGCACACGCCGCGAAACCACCATACTTGTGAGTCCAGCGTCCTGCTCCTGCCGAGAGAGGTACTTAGATTGCCTCTGGCCGCTCGCAGTCCTGTACCAGTCATATCCGGTCAACTGGCCAGAGTATACTCCCCGAGACAAACTCGCGAACTGGCTTGAGCAATACGCCGTGTCGCAAGACCTGATAGTCTGGACGAACTCGCAAATAGCGTCCACGCCACGCCCGACCTACGATGCCGCCAGTAAAAGGTGGACAGTCACCGTCAATCGCAACGGCAACCCTGTCGAGCTGCGCCCAAAGCATATCGTGATTGCGATCGGAATGCTCGGCGAGGCGCGCATACCAACGATCCCGGGTCGAGAGACATTTGTAGGGAACGTTCTGCACGCTAGCACATACGGAGGAGGGCAACCTTACGCAGGCAAACATGCGATTGTCGTTGGAGCAGGGAACACCGCCGCAGACCTCTGCCAGGATCTTGCCTTTCGCGGTGCACAGGTCACAATGATCCAGCGATCATCAACCTGTGTGCAATCGATAACGTCAGTCAAAGAGGTCATGGACAAAGCGTACCCCAACGACGTACCTCTGGAAGTGTCAGACTTCAAACTCGCCGCAATGCCCTTGGGTTTGTTGAGAATCTTCGCGAGGCAGAGGACGGCACAGATGTGGGAGAAGGAGAATGATCTGCACGCAAAGCTGAGGAAGGGCGGTGTGAGGCTGAACATGGGAACGGACAATTCGGGACAGGTCTTCTTAAGAGTTGAACGTGCAGGAGGTGAGTCGATAACGGTGTCTCCGGTCGGTTGAAATGATGACGTATCGTGTGTGATTCTCTTCTCCACATTCCTCTTTACTCCCCGCCTCATGAAACGAGTTCTTTATAGGGCATGATGTCGGTCTCGCCGATATGATCGAGTCAGGACAAGTGAAGGTGAAGGCCGGCGTGGAGATAAAGCAGTTCCTCGAGAAGGAGGTGATCTTCACTGATGGAACAACGCTACCAGCCGACGTAGTGGTTCTCGCGTATGGTGATTCCCCCTTCTATATCATGTGACTGCTGATACGCACCGATGGGCAGCACGGGATACATCGACCCACGCGAGAGTTTGATAGACACCTTCGGTGCCGATGTCATTAGACAAACGAGCCCACTGTGGGGTCTCGACGAGGAAAATGAGGTCAAAGGATGTTTCAGGCGTAGCGGATACCCAGGAGTGAGTATATTCGCCCGTTCGCTAGCATCATCTGACAGATGATTTTTCACGAAGCTATGGTACGGTGCGGGCGACTTCGCCATGGGCAGGTTCCTATCTAAACAATTGGTAAGTAGTGTTCATTGCGGCATTCTTCATGTCTGACGGCTCCTGGCTAGGCTTTGCAAATCAAGGCTATAGGACTTGGCATGATGGACTGAGGTCCTTGCCCACTGATATTGATCTACATGCCCGGGTCGTTCGTCCTGAAAGGGGTGTTGTTAACAGAATAGCGAGAGGAAATTTTGGAGATATACTTAGGGATGTTTCTTCGCATAGTAGGTGCTGTGCGAGGATACCGAAGAGCATCGGTAGTGTACCATTTCCGTGTGCCTGATTGCGAATGGGCGGTACGGCACGTTCGATAGATTCGCATGTACTACATGTATTATTCTCTGGGCCGAGAGTGCAGAGCAAATGATACACGTCAGCGAGGACATGCAATTGATGACGGCCACAGACGAGGTCGGCGCAGAGATCTCAATCTTCGGTAAGGAGAGCTCATGGCCAGCAGCAGCAACGAATATCTGTAGTGACTCCGTCCAAGGTGCAGCATAGAATATCAGACAAATGCAGAGCAACCAGAAAAAGGCTCAGAAATCAGCTCCGAGCTGTGCTGCGAGTTCAGAGGTGTCGGCGAGAGAAACTCCGCACCCGACTAGCGCCCCGAGCTCACCAGTAAAAATGTCACAATTACTTATTTAGTGCTTTCGGGTCATTTCTTCCTTATTTAAGTACATAAGATCCCAATTTTTACATGCCAGACTGTTGACATGCAGAATGCGTCGGGATCTTCTTGTACCTACCCTCCGTTATTTCAAGGAGACCACAACTTTGTTGCTCACGTTTTGGAAGTGCCGACAAAGCGTATTGCTTTATTTGGTCGGATATCATTATATCGATTTCGATGGGTGACGTTTTTTTACTGAGCGCCGAGCGCCGATTGCTCTTCAGATCAGTGATTGCATCAAGCCATAATGTATTCCGAATACGAAGGACAATGCTCTAATAGGCGTTGCCCGTCCCCGCTGTGAGGCCGGCCATGGTTTGCAAGGCTCAGCCACTCAGGCGGGCAAGGCTAGTACTCACAGGACCAAGAAAACGCCATCACTGCTAATTCTGAACGCACATGGCGATTGCCGTGAATCGTATACCCGGGGACTCTTTTAATCGGTCTCGAGCGGGAGGCACGACCGACTCATCCTCACAGGTTTCTCGTGCACCATCCCTTCGCAGACACCCATCCCACACTGCGCAAGCTATATAGCGATCTTTCTTCGGCAGCATGGCTCTGGGCCTCACTCACGACTCTCCGAGGATCTCCGTGGATATGCAAGACATCGTCGAGCGCTGGCTGCGCCAGTTTGCTACCGCTGCCTCCTCGGGAGATGTTGCGGCGACCATGAAGACCTTCGTTCCCAACGGCTGGCTTCGCGACGCTCTCATCTTCACGTGGGACACGCGCTCTCTGGAGGGACATGCCAAGATCACCGCGTATCTCGCTGACACGCTCTCCAACGCCCATCTCTCCGGCTTCAAGCTCGACGAGCGGGTGTGGGTTCGCCCACAACGAGTGCTGGACGGCGCTGGAATCGGTGCAGGGTTCGTGTTCGAGACTCCTCGTGCACGCGGTCGGGGTTATGTGCACCTGATAGAGGAGACCGATGAAGGGGTTGAAAAGAGCCAGGACGAACTTAGCTGGAAAGCACTTTCGGTTTTTATGATGCTGGACGAGATCAAGGGCCATGAAGAGAGCGGCCGTGAGTCAGGCGTGTATGGCGGCCATACCCTGTCCTGGGAGGAGGTATTCGGTGCACGACGTGCGAAGATCGAGGCAGACCCACATGTGATCATCGGTACGTGATTATTTTCCACTGAGTTTTTCACATAGGTTTGCATATGCACATTCGCAGTGGGGGGTGGGCAGACAGGATTGCAGATCGCGGCACGCTTCGCAAAGATGAATATTTCGGCGATTGTCGTGGAACGGAACAAGAACGTTGGTGACCAGTGGAGGCAGCGATATCCAACGCTATCGCTGAATACGCCGCGAAATCACCACACTTGTGAGTCCAACGTCCTGCTCCTTCCGAGAGCGGTATTTAGGTCGCCTCTGGCCGCCCGCAGTCCTGTACCAGTCATATCCGGTCAATTGGCCAGAGTTTACTCCCAAGGACAAACTCGCGAACTGGCTTGAGCAGTACGCCGTGTCGCAAGACCTGATAGTCTGGACGAACTCGCAGATAGCTTCCACGCCACGCCCGACTTACGATGCTGCTAGTAAAAGGTGGGCGGTCACCGTCAACCGCAATGGCAATCCTGTCGAGCTGCGCCCAAGGCACATCGTGATTGCGATCGGCATGCTCGGCGAGGCGCGCATACCCACGATCCCCGGTCGAGACGCATTTGTAGGGACCGTTCTGCACGCTAGCAGATACGGAGGAGGGCAGCCTTACGCAGGCAAACACGCGATTGTCGTAGGAGCAGGAAACACCGCCGCAGACCTCTGCCAGGATCTCGCCTTTCACGGCGCACAGGTCACAATGATCCAGCGATCATCAACTTGCGTGCGATCGATAACGGCAGTCGAAGAGGAGATGAACAGAGCCTACCCCAGCGATGTCCCTCTGGAAGTTTCAGACTTCAAACTCGCCGCAATGCCCTTGGGTTTGTTGAGGATCTTCGCGAGGCAGAGGACGGCACAGATGTGGGAGGAGGAGAAAAATCTGCACGCAAAGCTGAGGAAGGGCGGTGTGAGGCTTAACATGGGAACGGACGACTCAGGACAGTTCTTCTTAAGAGCTGAACGCGCAGGAGGTGAGTCGATAACGGTGTCCCCGGTCGGTTGAACTGATGGCGTGTCGTGCAGGATACTGTGATTCTCTTCTCTTCTCTCAACTCCTCTTTCCTCCCCGCCTCATGCAATCTGTTCTTTACAGGGCACGATGTCGGTGTCGCCGATATGATCGAGTCAGGACAAGTGAAGGTGAAGACCGGCGTGGAGCTAGAGCAGTTCCTCGAGAAGGAGGTCGTCTTCACCGATGGAACAACGTTGCCTGCCGACGTAGTGGTTTATGCGTATGATGATTCCTCCTTCCATATTATGCAACTGCTGATACGCACCGATGAGCAGTACGGGATACATTGATCCACGCGAGAGTTTGAAAGACACCTTCGGTGCCGATGTCATTGAACAGACGAGCTTATTGTGGGGTCTCGATGAGGAAAACGAGATCAAGGGAAGTTTCAAGCGTAGCGGATACCCAGGAGTGAGTATACCAGCCCGTTTGCTAAGCGCATCTGACAGATGATTTTTCATAAAGCTGTGGTACGGTGCGGGCGACTTCGCCACGGGCAGGTTCCTATCCAAGCAATTGGTGAGTAGTGCCCATTGCGGCATTCTCCATATCTGACGACTCCTGGCTAGGCTTTGCAAATCAAGGCTATAGAACTTGGCATGATGGACTGAGGTCCTTGCCCGCCGATGTTGATCTACATGGCCGGATTCTTCATCCTGCGAGAGAATTTGCTAGAAGGAGTAACGGGAGGTGCCTTTGGAGGTATACCTAGCGATGTTTCTTCGCATAGTAGGTATTGCGGGAGGATACGAAAGAGCATCGGTACTGTACCATATCCGTGTGTCTGATTGCGAATGGGCGGGATTCGCATTCACTACATGTATTGTTCTCTCGGTCGAGAGTGCAGAGCAAATGGCACACGTCAGCGAGGACCTGCGATTGATGACGGCCAGAGACAAGATCGCCGCAGAGTTCTCAATCTTCGTAACGAGAGCTCAGGGCGAATAGCGACAGCGAATATTCGTAGTGACGCCGTCCAAGGTGCAATGCAGAATACCAGATAGACCCAAAACGACCAGAAAAAGATATCAACTCTACTGCAAGGTCAGAGGTCGGCGAGAAAGACGCACCTGATTAGCGCCCGGAGCCAGCGAGCTGTGGCACGGGCGCGTATTCAAGCGTTAGCCTCCATCAATCTGCTGTTGTGAAGCTAAAGTTCAAGGCATGCCGCTTGAGCGCAACAATGTGGTTATATTCAGCTATACGCTGCTCTGATATTTCAAAACTATGTCGTTGTTGCACAATGCCATGGCCAAAGATCAACAACCGCACTCGGATTTCAACTAAATATACATAGACCTCGAACGTCTAATTTCTCTCTTAACGTCGCACCGGTGCCCTTCCCTCGTCAATCACACTCGAGATTCAGTCGCAATAATGCGGCACTTATCTCCTCAGCTCAGGATGCCCAATTCTATTGCCTTGATCTGCAAAGCCTGTCGAATATGCACGGTCATGGGCGAGATGTAATTATTATATCCACAAACCGACTCACCAGTTGCTTTGACAGAAAGCGTACGGTAGTGAATTCTCCAGCACCGTACCAAAGCTGACCGTCTTTCTTTAGCAAGCTGTCTATAGATCAGAAATGATCATGAGCGCACCCCCGGATGTCCTGTAGGCCTATAGCATCCTCGAATCTCTCCTTCGTCGTCTAGTCCCCATAACGGGCCAGTACTTCCTATGATTTCCTCTCCAAATATCTGCTTCAAGTCCTCCCGAGGATCCAGGTATCCCGTACTGTCCGTAGCGCCATCAGCATTGAGAATTCGAGCAAGGCAAGCTGAGCGTACGCGAAGATGACTAGATCAACATCTTCACTCGACTCGTCAGTGAAGATCACTTGGCGTTCCTGAAAACGGGCGATCTCGACACCTTGCTTGACTTTGACTTTGCCCGAGCCGATAAGATCTGCAACGCCCACGTCGATCCCTGTACCACTTGAATATGTATATCATGTCATCGACTGAATTGGCTCACATCCTCCTACGTTTCATCAAGTAAGTGCCCCAAAGAATTCTCAATAAAACATCTTTTAAACCGCACCTCCGAATCGTTCAAATATCAGAAGCTGGATCCCGGATCCATCTCGGCCCATGTTCAGCTTCACACCGCCCTTGCGGAGCTTCTCATGCAATTCTTTCTCCTTATCCCACATCTCAGCCTCCTTCGCCTTCGCAAACGCCCTCTGCAAATTTATCGGCATCGCGAAGAACTTGAAGTCCGACACCTCCAGCGGCACGCCGTCCGGGAACGCGCGATAGTAGTCCTCCGCGATCGTCTTCTGAGCCACGACGCAGGACGATGAGCGCTGCACCATCGTCACAGCCTCCGCGCCATGTACATGCAAGTCCTGGCAAATGTCCGCGGCTGTGCTGCCCGCACCGACGACTAGCGCGCGCTTACCTGTGAACGGCTGTCCACCTTTGTATTGGTCCCCGTTCATAATTGTACCGCCGAAGTACTCGATCCCAAGTACAGCAGGTATGCGGGGCGCTCCCAAGGTACCTACTGCGATGACGATGTGGATTGGATGGATCTCTACCGGTGCTCCATCTCGATCGATGACAACCGTCCAGGTCTTGCTGACAGATTCGTAGGTCGGGCGCGGATGGGCCATAATGCTGGAGCTTGTCCACACCACCAGGTCCTGCGACACTGCATACTGTGCAAGCCAGTTTGCAAGTTTGTCGCGCGGGGTGAACTCCGGCCAATTCGTAGGGTACGCCTGATACAGGACTTGAGGGAACGTTTCGTCACCTCTAATGCTGAGACGAGGGACCGTCATGCCGTTCACTCACATGTGTGATGATTTTTAGTCGTGTTCAGGGACAGAGTTGGGTATCTCTTGCGCCACTGGTCGCCGATGGCAGCGTTCCGCTCGATTACCAGCGTCGGGATGTCCATCTGCTTGAAGCGTGCGGCGATCTGCAGGCCCGTTTGTCCCGCACCCACTGCGCGCAAGCGCGCATGAGGAACTACACATGTTACGAACTTGGTTCCGCGCATCACTCACCGACCAAGACGTGCGGGTTACGTTCAATCCGCGCCCGTCGTTCTGCATTCACTTCCTCCCATGATAGCGTGTGCCCTCCGTATACGCCAGCCTCGGGACCTCGCTCCTCATGTCCCTTAATATTCTCGAGCATCATGAATACCGACAGCGCCTTCCACTGCCCTCGGTCGTCCGACTCTTGCAACAGGTAGGCATACCCTCGTCCAGTCGTCTTCGGACTCTCGAACGCGAATCCCGCACTAATTCCAGCGTCGTTCTCCAGGACGCGCTCTGGGCGCAGCCACGGGCGCTCGTCCAGCCTGAAACCCGCGAGGTTCGCTTTGGCCAGCGTGTTCTCGAGATATGCCGTGATCTTGGTGTGGCCTTCCAGCGAGCGGCTATCCCAGGTAAATACAAGAGAATCACGCAGCCAGCCGTTCGGTAGGAATGTCTGCACCGTCGCGTCAACGTCGCCTGAGAAGACGGAGACAGAAAAGCGTTGTAGCCAGTCCTCGGCGATGGCATGGGGATCCATTGTCTCTCAAACGTTGGTAGAATATCAATGAAGTTATGGTAAGTCTCTCGCGGTCTCGGGGACTCTTATCTCTGTAGGTCATGGCGAAGCTGTCGTAAGTCGCTAGGCTTGAACATATGTTTTACGTTATGAAGCGAATAGCGTGAGCATGACCCGATGCCGCGCACGCTGAAGCCTAAAGGTAGCAATCAAGTTGTTCAGATATCGGACTAGCGTTCCAGCTTGGGAGGTAATGCGCCGATAGCGTCTCATTCGTAATTCGAGACTCGAGTGTCTTCTCGGCTGCGGAAAAAAGGGTTCGGCGAATGCCACTGAGGCTCGCACCGCCTTCAAGCGCCGTCGGCGCCACTTGGCATTGTGTGAGCGCGGAAAGGAATTACATTGAACGACATGAGTCTATTCCGAGCGAAATCAAGCACGGGGACACTGAAGACATTTCAGGAGTGGTGTTGTGGCTGCGAGTAGATCACAGAACCGGAGCAACCAGACGAACAATCAGCTGGGGGGAGGGAGCCCGAGGAACTCGCGACAGGCCTCCCGCTTCGCCGCAGTGTCTCCCTTGATCGGTTGATTGTACGATTTCAGTATGTGCTCGTATCGTTCCTCTGCAGAAGTGTTGATGAGCCCAGTAGCCGACGCGAGACAGCAACAGCAAGGCATCTTCGGACGCCTTCTGTGCATTGTCAGACGAGGATAAACTCACTCGTCAGATGTTCAAACTCTCCCTTCGTGCCGGGGAAGTTTGGCGGAGTTTTCCCGTTCGCCATCACCAGTGGCTTGATTTGACCTTTGTTGTTCGCGATCGCAGTGTTTCGTAGGCGAGCGTACAGCCAAGCTTGGCTGCAGAACACAAATCAGTCCTGCGGTATGCGACCGACTTGGGATTGCATGGAAGGATCGACGTACTCGAGTCTAATCGTCTCTAAGGTCCCATCGACCTTCTTTTGCAGGTCCTTCATTGCCCCTGCAAGGCCACGTTCTTCCGGCTGTGCACTCCCGGACTCTCGTGACTCCTCCTCTACAGCCGAAATGTCATTCGACGTCGATTCCTTTCCGTTGGCTCGCTGTATCTGCTCTTGAACAGCATCCAGCTGATCCGCGAGTCGCTCCTGCGTTCGCTCGATAGCATCCAGCCGCGCTGTGAGGTCTGATATCGCCCTTGCTGTGTCGGAAAATGAGGCGAGATCACCATTCTGGTTGCCTCCAAGGCTTGCTGGCACCTCCACTGCTGCGAGTGCCTGGGACGCGGCAGAAATTTGCCCGGCAATCGCATTGAGCGACATAGACAGCCTTTGAGTCCAAGCCAAGGCTGCAGAAGGATCCGCGAGGGGAGGAACGGCCTCAGCTGTCGAGGCAAGCTCGGATGTGCCAGGCATGGGTAACGAGGGGTTCGCGTGGAAGTGCTCTACGAGGGTAATCAGGGACGAGGTGCTTGTTATAGGAGGCGTAGCTGTGGTCGGTACCGAGCTCATGGTCGGGGACAGAAATATCTGCAGTCTCGGCGCGCTTGTGGCAGAGGATTGGGAACGTTGGGAGCTCTGGCCTGCTCCTTGCCGTCCAGGGTGAGATGTACCGCCAACCCCAAGTACTCAGAACGCCACGCTCCTGTGTCAGCGGGTGGGCACTGCGGGTCCGTACATGGTCTTGATAGAGATTTCGACAGACAGAGGCACGCGGGATCTCACAGAAGATGTGCGTTTCGTGTGAATTGCTGGAAGAAAGTGGACATGCCGAGTCTCCGGTGAGAATATCTGTACAGAGTTTGTCGGCTGCATCACGTAGGACGTGGGAGACAATTTCCCGGCCCAGAGGAACGGAGATCAACATGTTATGGTCGGCGGCGCGGGTGTCTATCGTCGGTTCGTTGCGATGAAACCGCGGTTCTGGCCTCCCATTGTCGTAAGTCCTCCTGCTGACCTGCTGATACTAGTATCAGTGTATCAGTACCAAGTACTTGTGACTCACTCGCGTTGTGCGGCGCGTCTTCCGCATTACCTACCGTCGGTGTCCTTCGATGACTCCTACTGATGGACTCTTGAAAAAGTCCGATAGCATTCAATCACGGTGGTTGAACCAGAATGAATAACTTTCTCTTCTGCATGAAGGAGAGGGGTGGTGCAGGGGCAAGCACAAGTGCAGTGAATCCAGGCTTAGATGTCCACAAATTGATATATATGGCAAAAAGGAGCCTGAGCGCTTGAATGGAAACACGTTTTGCTTCCGACAGTCGTTGCCTCAACTTGATGGGGCAACGCGTAGGCTGCGCTCTGTGTCTACCGTCTACTACGTCTACCACCATGCTACATCGGGTTCTCGAAATCACGATATGTTGCGAAGGAAAGCGGTGCATAGAAGTGTTGCATAGCCGGCAAGCGTCTAGGGTCACCGCCTGGCAGCCTCATGTCCAACAAGAGCATAGCTATCATGGCCCACATCTGATATATAATGCACTCCGTATCTGATCTAGTCGTGCACCGTTGCGTCTCTCAACCTCGCCCTCCAGTCTCTGTCTCCGGTACTCTTTTACATCGCGATGACTCACGCCACGGTACAAGTCGATCATATTTACGCGGACCAGCTGTTCAAGTGCGGCGAAGGCCTACCTCTTTGGTACCCGGAACCTAGCAAGCATGGCGAAGTGCTCATTGGCGACGTTGGGTTCATTGAGCGAGGCAGATTCTATCGCCTGTTCAATGCTATGCGCAGCGCAGATGACGAGCTGAACAGAAAATATGGTGTTCCCGGTGGGAATCAGTATAAGCCCTTCGTCACGTCAGAGTATAATTTGGCAGAATATCAGAATGCGCTATCTCCTGGACCGATATGCAGCAGAAGTCTGAAGAGGGTTGAGATGCAAGGAGAAGTTGCAGCGTAAGTGTTATCCGGCAGTCGTCCCGCGGCGACAAGCCTGACGTATGCGCACTAGCCACGGATTCAATGCAGCCTTACAATATCATTGCACTGAGGATCGAGGTGCATTCATAATCCTTCAGGATCCCGCCACTAGAAAGGAGCTGCATCGTAGCCGCAGAATGGCAGCATATATGAGTCGCAACTTGAAGGAGTGGTATCATTTCGCCTCGGAGAAGCTAGACGTCGAAGTGACTCAGGAAGACATCATGTTCGTGCGCGGACATGTCAAGACCACCCAATGGGAGGTGGGGACCATCACTCATAGTGGTCGGGATGCCAAGGTGTCCATTGGTGCCGACAGCGATATTGCCAGCGCATCGTTCTCTGTACACGTAGCGCGCCATGAATCAGGCAGCCTCCAGAGTAGGAAGGGTCCGCCTGAAGCACTGGAGCATCACAAGCATAAGAATATATCGCATCACCACTCACACTCGCACAAGAAGAAGCATCAGGAATCCCAGTCCGATGTTCCCGCTGACACTGATGATGAGGCACTCGCTTCCTCTTCTCGGAGGTCTCTTTCGCTAGCTGAGCCAAGCACATCGTCGGTGGCGCTCCCTCTTTCGCCGTCGGTTACGCAGGAAACTCCATCGAAAGGCTCAGACGCGAGCAATCCAGTATTGGACATGCCTCAGCAGCGAGCCAACGAGAATGGCTTGCCGATGAATCAGTGCATTTTCCTGCATTACTATCGATTGAAGAAAAGATTCTTCCCTCTACTGACGAAGCTTGAGGCTGCGGCAGAACCTCGCGACCCATCGGCTCCCGGAGATGATGACGAGCCCGTCATCGAGGAAGTGCCCGCGATACAGAAGGTAAGTGTATCTCTCGTAAGGCGAGATGTTTCATTCACGTCGCCTCTAGCCATATGACCCTCTGAACTATGTGTTGGACTATATCCTCGATGTATGTGACTGGTTCTGTATTTGTGATGTCTCTCGCTGATCCCCAATGTCAGCATTCCCAAGCGGAAACTGCAGTTGCTACAGATCGGGATCTGATAGACATCTGCAAAGTAGGTCTCTCTATTTGGGTAGTCATACATGCGCCTGACGTCCTCTCACTTCAGGGAGAGATTCCTGATGACATTCCTGCGTTCCTAGAATCGGTACAGCCACAAATTGAAGTCAACGAAGAAGGGCGTGAGTTATCTCATAATGTTTGCATAACACGTAGATGCTGAATACGCGATAGTTGGCATGCTTTGGTTCCCAGATGATGACCGTCCAAAGGCATCCGAGGAGCTCTCCTCCGTCGCCACAGAAGTCGACGAAAATCCTACAGAACAACCCTCTGGTGCAAACCAGCCACCCATCGAGAATAACAACCCGCCCAATGGCCCTGAGGCGGAGACACAGGATGACGAGCAAGGCGAGAAGAAGAAAATCATGAATCGCATGAGAGCTGGTCACCTTCTTCAGGGATCCATACTACAATTGCCGAACGACGCGCACTTGGGTAGCGTCTCTTCCCTCGCATTCTCCCCGAACGGGCAATTAGTCGCGGCAGGCTTCGAGGACGGCTCCATCATTTTTTGGAATGCTATCACTCGCGAGCGCCTGAATTGTGTCCGAAACCACACCGATATCGTCTGCCAGTTGGAGTTCTCTCCGGACAGCACAATTCTCGCATCAAGCTCACGCGATCGTGCTATTATCATGTGGGATGTAGCTACAGGGCAGGAGCGCGCGCGCTTGTTGGGGCACGAAGGATTTGTCAACTGCCTCGTGTGGGCCAATGATGGACTTACACTTGCGTCAGGATCCGTAGACTTCACAGTGCGCCTTTGGGACGTCGAGACCGCTACCTTGCGTGCAAAATGCCAAGGCCATAATGCCCTGATCCTCAAGCTAGCATTCTCGCCGGACGACTCCAAGCTTGCGAGCGCCGGAGCGGATTGCGAGGCGCGCATCTGGGACACTCGCAACGGGACCTTGCTCACCGAACTCAAGGGCCACGAAGGAGTCATCTACACGGTCGCCTTCTCACCCGATGGACGACGTGTCCTTACGAGCGCGGACGATGGCAGCGTACGCGTATGGAATGTCGCCACCGGTGACGCACTGGTGATCCTGCGGGAACACACAGGTGCCGTATGGACGGCGGTGTGGTCTTCGGACGGGAAGCGGGTCCTGAGCGCTGCTAGTGACCGTGTCGTTCATATCTGTGACTCATATGAAGGCGAACGTGTAGGCGGCGGAGATTTGAGGGGAACGGATGGCCTGGCGCATGCGCCGACTTTCTCGAAGGACGCGAAGTTCATTGCGGCGGGTGGAGAGGACTACAAGGTGAGGATATGGAAGGTTGACAACGACAGCGCGTTGGCGGATCTCGACGGACACCAGGAAGCGTCCAGCTACATCAGATGGGCTCCGGATGGCAAGAGCATCGCTTCCGCTGCTGAAGACGGAGTGGTGAGGCTGTGGAACTTGCCGGCATACGGGATTGGATCAGCACAAGAGCAAACGGTGGCGACTGAGTGAGTTGCGTAACGTTCCAATACTGCGTCTGAGGCGCGGTAAGCAGTCATACGATTCTTTGAGGTGTGCTGTAGTCTCGATGTTGTCACTATATACCCGCAATAATCAGTCATTCGGATACGTTGCTCGAATTGCAGTAGTCGCATTGGCGGGAGGTGCGAGGTCGACTTCCAGGATGTCTCACTTTAAAACTGCGATGTACCCGGTTTTTGACTTCAAGCAACCGCTACGAAGCAAAGGGTTGTTTGAAAGTGATGCACTAGATGGCGTAATGCTCTAGTTGTTGAGAGTTCGGTAGGGGAGAAGGAAAAATGAAGACCAAAAATAATTCCGACACGGGGAATCGAACCCCGGGCTATCGCGTGAGAGGCGATAATGTTAGCCACTACACCATATCGGATGACATCAATATTTGATTCACAATTTCTATCTAACAGTGAATCAAAAACTACTGACATGCTGCGCAATTGTCTAATCGTCAAATAGTCTTGTGGAACGAATGAAACTATGCATAATGGAGAGCTCGGCGCTGGGCGCTGCTCACTCGAGACTTGCATCTTGCCCGCATTCCTTCGACACCGGCAGGTCCTCCATCACGGAGCGTGCGCAAGGTCTGTCCTTCGGCTCCCGACTCCAACACTTCTCCATGAGCTGCCATATCTGATCCGACAATCCAAGAGCCTTTAGATCCGGAGAGTCTGGGCGTGAAGGTCGATGTCCCGAGATAATCTTGAGAATGACCATCGCGTCTCGGGGACATTCGTCGAAGGGAACACGCCCCGTGAAAGTCTGGCTCGCCACATGCGTGAGTCAAACAGCAATAGCATTGGCTTGCTCGCTTACCTCCCACATAACCATAGACAATGCATAGATATCGCCTTCGCAAGATGGCCGCGCATGCTCAAGTCCGGCGGCTTCCGGATCGAGTATCTCCGGCGCCATCCATCGTACGGTGCCACTGAGACTAGTCGTGGTATGGAAAGATCTTCCTCCTATAGATCTGGGAACACATATCACAGTGGCAAGGCCAAAATCTGTCAAGCATGCTACCCCATTGCCGTCGATCAGTATGTTGACCTGTTCAAGCGCATGGTCAGTAGCGACCGGCAACGTATCCCACAACGCTTACCCCCTTCAGATCTCCATGAACGACGCCCTGTGAATGCAAATATTCGAGGCCCGTGGTAACGTTCCGAATCTACAATGCTTTAAACTAAACGTCGCCTTTCGCGGGGAGGATCGAACGGAGCTTACCAATGCCAGGCGATCACTTCCAGGGTTTGTTTTCAAGAAATCGACGAGGCTCCCATTCTCCATCCACCTGCTCAGTATGCACATATCATTGGCTTGGCTATCCAGTATGCCGAGAAACGGCACGACGTTGGGGTGCACCAGGTGTCTCCACGTGACCACCTCTTTGAAGAAACCCTGCGAGATCACAACACTTGCATCACCACGCAGAACAAGGAGATGAGCATTGAAGACTCACTGTTCGCAACTGCTCCAGGTTATCTCCGGAAATTCGAATGCGCTTCAAAGCCACTTTGGACCATTGGTTCTCCGAGATGAGCTCTCCAAGCCAAACGTCGCCGAAACCGCCCGTTGCAACTGGTTGCCGACTTTTGTTTGTAACTGCAGTAGATGGCAGATAGCATGAATCCGGTACAAATCCATATTCGGCACAGAGCTGCCTGAGTTTTTGTAACAAAACGCTGCTTGAATGATTGTCGAGGGAGCCCCCATCCTCAAGAAGAACCTATTGGAATTGTTCAATGACAATCAGAACAAATTCGATCAGGTTGGCTCACGAGATCGATAAAGTCTATCAAATCGGTAGCATCTTTCTTTCTCAAATGGGAAGGCACCTTCAACTTATCCTCAGATAACAGAAAGGCCTGCATCACTGGTGCGAGACCAGATATTCTCGATCGCAACTGATCCGATATATCATAATCCGAACGTGCCTGCACCAAGCTCTGAGTAGGTACATTTGTTTGTCTTCGGCGTAGGGCCTCGCTGCCAGGAACCGATATCCTTAACACTTCCCTATCCTTGGTGATTTCTTTCGGCACAATGACGCACCTCGAGACACTCCCGCTGGCAGATTTCCCGAGCTCAGGGACGAATTGCGGGTAAAATCCATGCATTGCGTGGATGCCGTGTTTGCATTCCTCGCGAATCATTTGACCAAGGATCGGACGCAGCGCGTCAAAGTCAGACTGATGCGCGAATCAGTACAACAGTACTTGGAGCAGCTCGTCGCATAGTATATGTTGCGGAATGGAACCCCCATAATCATGATACGACCAGGGGAGGAGCTGCTTTATGGCTTACCTTGATTTTGCAATACCTATCGCTGTTGAGATATGTACCCCTTGGGACATCGAAAGATGGGAAGGCCGTCTCAGATGGCTGCGAAGATACAGCGGAGACAGGCATGATGTTCTCGGATTGTACGATGTTCATGTCGAGCATACACCAAATGAACCGAGGGGGAAAACTACACTGTTTGCTTGAAACGAAAGTCGTGGGGGGAGAAGTTGTCACCGATAAGACGGAGCTTGCGTGGTGTCCCAGACACAGCGTGCGTTAAGAACAGCGCTAGATTGATGACCATTTCACCTGTACGGCGTCCGAGGTCACAGCCTACAAATCTAGATAGAAGCATACGCGATAGAGCGATAATGCCGTCCCAGGAACTCTTTGGCAGTACTTCACAGGTGAAACACCGCCAAATCTTCACCGGTGATTTGCTTGTGCATGGTCCGCTTCAGCTTCAAACTCGAACAAGAATACTTGCTTTGACATTCGTTCTTGGCGAATGGTAAAAAGCAATGAAGTCTCTCTGCTTAGAAACCTTTCTCCCGGTAGGAAGACGGTCGTGCGTTTGACCCTGAACATGCGTAAGCTGGCTGGTAAGATCTGGATGAGAAGATGACCTTAGATGGCATGAGGCTCGGCGTCAAGAGTCTTTCGCCAGCCGGTGTTCTCTGTCTCCTCCTTACAGCCACTGCTTGTGCATGTGTTTCTAGGCAGGCGTAGCTGGCGCTCACGGCAGTACTGCTGGCTAGACTCTTCGTCGCGATAGCGGCTGAAGTTGTGGGCGCTTCGAATTTACCAAGCGACATGAAGTGAACAAGGGGGCTTGTCGAACCGAACATTAAAGCTGGGACATCAATGCATCATGATTGAGATCTGAGACTCAGTTGGTTGGCGTAAAACGGAAAGATAGCCCGAAATAATTCAGGAAGACTGAAATAATGTTGATATACTTTATCATGACTAAACAGAGATGTATCTTGAGAAACGTTAAATTTGATTTCTTTAATTAAATCGGATGATAGCCATCGACATGAGCTTGGCATCCTCTCAGCCTTGCACTGCGCTCACCCTTGCACTTCCTTTGCTCTTCGATATTGAGGAAGACTCTCAGCGCCCTCAGTTGGGTACAAGTTGCCATAAACAGGATCAGCCAGGAGTCCGAATATCTCGATAGCTGTGCATTCTGACAGAAGACTACCTCTACGTGCATATTGTTGTCAATGCCATCGGAAATAGCATTCTCCGCCAGAGCATGCCGGCAGGAGCATTATCACGCGGTCCATGACAGCCCTAACTGTACTTAACGTCTGGAGTGGCTAGCGTTTTGCGTTTTCGCCATGCTCAAGTGCATAAATCTGGCTGCTCTGCTGTGATGGCGCTCATTGTGCTTCTCAGCCATCTCGGGAACGCCTTGGCCACCGAACGCATCTCCACGTACGCTCTTCCCTCCGTTTCTACTGCAACATAACACTGGATTTCTCGAAAGGCCATGATGGGCGCATCCTGTTTCTGGGTGTAGACTTCATCTCGTAGGGCGTACTTTTGTCATGGAATATCCCCATCCGAAGACACGTCTTAGGCACCCCACATCCAGAACTACTTGTACCGTTCTATTCTCGAGCGCTGGCTTGCGCATGCCATGCATGAAGCTGTCTTACGGTGGCGACTCAACTTTCGTGAGAGCTCCTGCAATAGTCATTAGACTTGTTCCATGAATGCTGATGCTTTCCTTCCACGAGTGCAGGCCTCTCTGAACGTCGACTGCTTGCGGCGGCAAAGCAGTGTCAGCTCCAACAGCCGACATTCGGCGCGGATAGTCCCTCTTTTCTGTAACTATACTACCTGGGATTACAAAGCCAAAGCTCGACCGGGACGCTGTGGCGCGTGTCTGAATACTCAGCCTTCTGGAGACTAAGGAAGATACTCGGAATATTATGATGCTGCGGCTCTCGTAATTGGCTTCGCTTCTCTGTCCCGGATCCTCTTCCACATGAACTGCCTTCCATTGCATCCCGGCCCAAGGCGTCTGCCGCTCGTATCGCTTGATCGACCTTCGCTGAATGGTCCAAGTAGTGTGGTTGCTTTCTTCGCGAAGACCATCAGATCGATATTAGTCAAAGTATCCGATGGATAACTTACTGGCCATGCTCAACAGAAGGTGAGTCGTCTGATGATGCCATGTACCAGTACTCGACGCTCTGACAGCACGTCTGTCTCATCTCCCAATCTCTTGACCGTACCTTACGGAGAGTAAAGCGGCAACATCGTGGCTACCACCGAACAGCGTTGTTCACCAGGAACACTTTGAATGATATTTGCCCTCTGCGAGAGAGGAACGCACGAAACTTCTGGTTGAAACCGCACCGTTCTGGCTGAGGCGGTATTGAATATATCAATAGGCTTTTAACCAATTACTCCCCAAATCCCAAGTTACTTGCTTACGTCCATCCGAATGTACAGGCATAATGCTGCTGGTGATAGACTACGGCTTTTGGAACGACCATTTCACCCACACGGCGAAGGTGACGAATTATCACTTTGCAAGCTGGCGCAGCGGACCCGACGCTTGTGGACTCTCTATCGTATTATGCGCCAAATGGTTGCTAGATACAACAGGTCCGTGCTGTGGCTGCGCTCACGGTTTGTGACAATGGGACATTTACGTTCGTGGTTTCCGGGGGCAGAGTTCAAGCACTGGGGCTGGAGATCTGGCCTGCAAACACGATTGCATGAGATGTGCTGCTCGAACGAGCCAAGAAAAGCATGGTATACGCACTCTCAAGAGGGTCGATGCATCCGCGATGCTGAGGGAATCCGTGGGCACTTGGGATATCCAAGCTTTCCCTTATTCGCAATTCTCGACGTGCTGGGAATGTCAGCGCAATAGTCTACCACAACACAGGATGAGCCGGAAATCAGAGATGCTGCTGCGGTGCTGTTCGGAGCTAAGTTCCCTCTATATCTTGTACACCTTCTGAAAACTGATGCGGATCCAGTTTGGTAACTTCGCGTCCAACGACCCAATGCTCATTTGCTATGGCTCCGCCCATACACTGATAAGTCCTGAACAGCCGAGCTCTCGTGTCCCAGAGAATAAAGTATGGTCTCTATGACCAGCTTACGCATCATACCCTGGTCCGGAGTTAGAAGATCCCTCACCAATTGAAACACGTAGCTTGCGAATTCGGGTGCCTAGGATGTACTGTTGCTCACGTTTGTTATAGGCCTACTGTACTGGCCAATCGAAGATGACAAATGCCGTGACTAATGTATCTGCTGCATGACGAACGTTGCCGATCTACTTTAAAATAGATGTGACTTGAGGCGTAACGGGTGCAATACACATTCAATTGTCCCTGAATCAAGGCTAGACATCATGTTGCTTCGCGATAGCTGAGTCATGTTTCGCTTAATCGTTTGCGGTCATTGGTTCACTTTGCTCATTGATACAGATTGGTGCCAGCCTCGTTTTCACGGCCATCTGCCGCTTCGCATGGCTACCACAACGAATTTGTAAGAAACCCCAATCCCTGTCCCATTAACTTTCCCTGACGCTATCTTTTGTGGCGGTGGAGAAAGCGCTGGATAAACGAACGTTGCCGAAGTACAAGAAGGGACTTACGCATCTGGACTCGATATATCCTGTGAGGAGTTCAGACTCGGCAGTTGTTCATGATGGCTCGAGAAAACAGCTCCTCTCATTTCCAGCATGCAGCTTGCATTTTCTGCAGGATGGTCAGCCAACGCTGTGTCCATTCTCATATAAGTACTGTCGACTGCAGTCATGAACAACCAGCCACCTATATCCGACACTGAGCGTCACCATGCTGCAGATACGTCATGTAGAACGACACACGAGGGACAATCTTCTTCCATAGACCCCATGGTCCATTCAACATAGTTGACATGATCACGAGGATGTCTCCTAATGCAAATGCAAACGATATCGTGCGGAATTGATACCGAAGTCCTGACTTCGATAGTCATTCATTACGTGCACTATACATTCGTTTTTGATCAATTCCGTTTTCTGCAGGCTTCTTGGTCTCGCCTCCGAGCATTCCACGGAGGGAAAAGTAGGGATCTTAAATCGGATCGTTGCTGCCTCATCGAGACTAGGATTGATCAGTCGCTACGCCGTCGACATGTATAAAGGAGAGTATGGGCTAGCATTGCAAGTTGTCGGTAGTTGCTCTCATCGAGAACATGAATCGTCACGTATGGGCTGGCTGAGCCACACTCTTTCTGCTTGTGATATGGCTCATCTATAAGAGCTACATGGATCGCAAGCGTCGCCTTCCGTTACCGCCTGGTCCGAGTCGTCTACCCTTCGTCGGGAATGTCCTTCAAATCCCCTTCGATTACCAGCATGTTACCTTTGCAAACTGGAAGAAGCAGTATGGTATGTTCTGTGACGCTCGAATAGAGGATGGCCTACTAAACTGACGTCTGAACATAGGGGATCTTATCTACGCGCGCGCGTTCCAACAAGACGTAGTAGTCCTCAATTCTACCAAGGCTGCCCGGGATCTATTGGAGAAACGGGGTCAAAAATACTCTGATCGGCCACGCATGGTCATGTTCAATGAGTTGTATGTGATTCAGTCAAGCATGGTTGAAACGTTTACAATGTCCACAGATTATACGCCTTCTATCCCGCCTTGCCAACCATGCCATATGGAGAACGATGGCGCCAACACCGTGGCTGGTACCAAATGGCCCTCCAAAGTAGTGCTGCACAGGGCAGCTACCATTCCTTGCAGCAGAAACAGTCGCGAAGGTTCTTCGTGGAGTTGATTCACAGCCCGCAAGCTTTCATGTCTCATGTCAACAGGTTTGCATGGGAAAAACGATTTCATATTCAAGTTGTGATTCTAATATATAAGTAGATTGATTGGTTCCACATTGCTGGAGATAGGTTACGGATATGACGATGATGAGTTTGTACGAATGGCCGAAAAGGTCAATGTTGGCGTGTTCGAATCAGGTGGTCCTGGTGCGACCTTGGTGGATTTCTTCCCTGTCCGTATGTCGCAGCCATTTATCGTGAATTCGGTCAATTCTACATCGTCCTCGACAGTGAAATACTTGCCAACCTGGTTACCAGGTGCAGGCTTCAAACGCAAAGCCTTGGAGGTCAGAGATGCTGGTGTTATATCAAGGACGATCCCATTTGAGCGAGTCAAGCGAGAAATGGTGCGTCTGTATAAGGTCAACCTGCATACGCAACTTACAGTAACCGCAGGCGTCCGGATTGCCAGGTCTTCGTTTGTGCGGAGCATCCTTGAGAAGGCCGATCAGTCAGATTTGACGACGTTCGAGTACGACGTAAAGGGCGCTGCAGCGACGCTTTATGGAGGTAAGAATACTACCCCGATCATTGCGTACTTACAAGACTAATGCACTCCGAGCTGGAACGGACACGGTAGCAGCCAGAATCATGTAATTTGTATTGAACTCATCGCTTTCTAGACCGTCACTACAATCACGTCGTTTATTCTTGCTATGGTGTTAAATCCGACGGTGTTTGACAAGGCGCAAGCTGAGATGGACACTGTGATTGGGGATTCACGGCTTCCAATCTTGGATGATTGAGACTCTCTACCCTATCTCGAGTGCATCGTGAAGGAGACATACCGGTCAGTGTCCACAACGTATAACACTCCTACTAAAATGACCCACCCAACACCTAGCTGGGCGCCTCCCGTACCTTTAGGCATGTCTAATCTGTTGACAGTTGTTGATAACCACTGACACCGTCGGGAAACTTTGCCTCATTCGCTGATGGAGGACGACGAATACTGAGGCTACCATATTCCGGCTGGAGCTACGATCTTACCGAACGTATGGTACGTGGCTGAGCTGATTGATGTGTATCGTAGCTAACATGTCATAGGGCAATGACGCGCGATCTGGATATCTATCCCGATCCAGAGATCTTCCGTCCAGAGCGCTTTCAAGATATAAACCCAGATGTTGCGGACCTGATGGATCCGCGAAGATTAGTGTTCGGGTTCGGCAGGCGGTAAGTGATAGGTCTCAACGTGAGATTATAAATGGTGTCATGGCCGCTCTCGTACAGACTCTGCCCTGGCCGGGTTCTCGCAGATTCGAGCATCTGGCTGGCAGCTGCAGGCATCGTGGCGACTATGACAGTTTCCAAGGCGCGCGACGCCTCTGGGAACGAGATTACGCCGTCGGCAGCCTTCTTTTCGGGTACGGTTAGTTGCGTGAGGCATGTTGCGATGACGTATCAATCGAAGCTTAACTGGGAGCTAGTCATCCGAAACCCTTCCAGTGTGACATCCTGCCTAGATCTGAGAAGGTTATAAGCTTGATCATGGACGAAGAAGCCAGATAACCGCTGGGTACCCTCGGTTGTTAACTAAGTTCTGAACATGACACACAATGTGATGAAACTAGGTTCTCTGTGTTCCATTGCCAGACTTGCTGACAGACTCAGAGTGGGAAGCGAAGCCACCAAACGTTGACGAAAGCTGATGTTGTCTTCAATCTTAAGACTCAAATCGCCCAACTTCCGCATCAACTATCGTAATTCTTTCGACCTGACATGGCGAGTAAATGATCAACCGAGATTGTAAAGTGCATCTGGACCAGTAATGCACTGTCAGGCTGTCAAGAGACGTCCTCAGCTGACTGTTATCTTCATAATCTAGGTTCGCGAACAGCTGGTTCTGATATTCGCTGAATGAAAGGTCTGCATCGACGGCTATCGCTTCCATGATCTGCCCCGCCTTGTTCTCATATTGGCATATCGGCAAGAACTCTGCGCATGTGCAAGCCCAGGTTGACATGATTGGTCCTATCCCTGCTGCTTGAAAGCTAAAGATCGATTTCTTGTAGCGAGTTCAGAGTCTTCAGATGTGCTCAAGCGCAAGAAGCGTATGGAGACCTTCTTTGTAGGTCTGCAGCCAGAGATGAGTCATTTTTATCCACGCAGAGCAGATTCGAGGAGCGCAGCACTTTTCTCATCCTCATTAGCAGCGCAAGCGGTGTTACATGAATCTCGACACTCACTGCGCGGGAGGTTGACTTACGTCAAGATGTACATATGATGTCGGTTCGGAACACTTCAAAACTATTCCTCAGTGCTCTAGGAATGCTCACGCGTCTGATACTGTTCCTGACTGTGAGTACAATCATCAGCCCTGTGATAAGATTCGCATCTGAGTGCACCCGATTCATATGAGAGAACTTGGTCATACGTGCTATTACGAGGAGGTTCAATGCCGAATCTCGGAAGGTACGTCTTCGCCTGTGCTTCGTGTTACCAGCAACATTCGCTCAATTTTGGCAAGACAAATCGTGCAGCACAATGCAATACATTCGTTACAGAACTAATTTCAACATCTGGTCTTCTCGCCTGTCTCGCAGAATGAAGTTCTATACATGTGATGTGGAATTCTTCCGGCCACCTGTTCTCGTGAGTATAAAGGCGTAGGGATGTGCAGAGGGTCGTTGCAGCTTGAGAGCATCATCACACACTCATTTCCTGCCATGGATCATCAGATAGGGGTGGCCTGTCTGGCATTTCTGCTGATTCTCGTTCGATTGGTCTACGTCAGCTATATCACTCCAAGGCGTCGTCTTCCATTACCGCCGGGCCCGAGTCGTCTGCCCCTCCTCGGGAACGTTCATCAAGTGCCGTTCGATTACCAACACTTCAACTTTGCAAAATGGAGGAAGAAATATGGTCAGCGTCGACAATCATGAGGTTCAGAGAAAGCATAATTCATGCTGACGCCTATATCACGATTAGGGGACATTATTTACGCTCGCGTTTTTCAAAAGGACCTCATTGTTCTCAATTCTGTCAAAGCCGCACGAGATTTTTTAGAGAAGCGTGGCCACAAGTACTCCGACAGACCAAGGTTTGTGATGTTCAACGAGTTGTAAGTAGTCCGCACAGGCTCGCTATTTTTTGTATCAATTGATGATGCGCTTAGGTTGTATGTGTTCTATCCTTGCTTAGCAACGATGCCGTATGGAGAGCGGTGGCGTCGACATCGTGGTTGGTATCAGGCGGCTATCCAGACTAGGTCCGCACTAGATGGTTATCGCCCACTCCAAAGAAAGAGATGCGAAAGCTCCTGATGGCATTAGTCCGCAAACCTGAAGCCTTCTTATGTCACATCAGCAGGTTCGCTCATGAGCAGCTCATGCTCACCTGTGCTTGATGCTCACCCTAACACAGGAGTGCAGGCGTTACATTACTGGAGATAGGATATGGATATTGTGACGATGATTTCATCCAGATGAGTGAGAAGGTCAACACCGACATATTCGAATCAGGCGCTGCTGGAGCCACCGTGGTGGACTTCTTTCCTGTCTGTGAGTAGCAGTACGTTTTGGTTTGAAACACAATGCGAAAGCTTTGACAATAACCCTCAATAGTGAGATTTATTCCTGCATGGATGCCAGGTGCAGGGTTCAAGCGCAAGACCATTGAGATCGAAGAAGCAGGTCGCATTGCGAGAACTATTCCGTTTGAATGAGTGAAAAGTAATATGGTGAGTTCCCAAAGTTAGTATATGATGAGCGTGTGCTTACAAGAGTAGTTATCTGGCGTCGCCAGGCCTTCCTTCGCGCAAACCCTGCTTGAGAAGGCGGATGGGTCACATACCGAGTCGTTTGAATTCGATCTTATGGGTGCCGCGGCGACACTGTATGGAGGTAAGAGTGGTGTCAGGCGCATCTCATATACACCAGGCTGATATGCTCGAAGCTGGCACGGACACGGTAATGGTAAAATCCGCTGTAACATGGCTTCCGCTTATCGTCCTTTAGACTGTGGCTACGATCACGTCGTTCCTGCTTGCCATGGTGCTCAACCCAGCCGTCTTCGATAAAGTGCAAGCTGAGATGGATGCCGTTGTCCATAACAGACGGCTTCGTGATAGAGATTCTTTGCCATATCTCGAGTGCGTCCTGAAAGAGGTATACCGGTGAGTTTTATACTTACTTCTTGAAGCTGCTGTTGAAATCGTGCAATGGGTAGGTGGTTCGCTCCTGTGCCTTTAGTTACGTTCTGTCAGCTGTGTATCCCACCTGATGACTATTTACCGCGTCTGCTAGGTCTTCCTCATTCGCTCGTGGATGCCGATGGATTCGAAGGTTACTACATTCCTGCGGGAGCTACCGTCCTAGCGAACATATGGTGAGCCGGAACTAGTCACGTCTATGGTGTCATGATCTGATGTGCAACAGGGCGATGACCCGTGATCCAGAGATCTATTATGATCCTGAAGTTTTCCGTCCAGAGCGATTTCAAGATGTTCAGCCAGACATGGCTGACCTGATGGATGCACGTAAGCTCGTGTTTGGATTCGGCAGGCGGTAAGCGATGATCTTCGGACATGGATAACCAATTGCTCATCGTCCTCTACTGTAGAATCTGCCCGGGACGTTCTCTCGCAGAGTCAAATGTTTGGCTGGTAGCTGCAGGTATCATGGCGACGATGACAGTTCGCAAGGCTCGCGATGCCTTTGGCAACGAAATGATACCCTCAGTGACATTTCTTTCAGGTACGGTCAGGTGCGTGTAATCTGTCGTGCATGTGTTACTTCAGGGTGTGAAAACTGACAAACGGCCAGTCATCCGATGCCCTTCCAGTGCGACGTCCGACCTCGATCTGAACAGACGGTGGCTCTCATTATGAAAGACAAAATCGGATAAACACGCGGGACCGCAGCTTACTTCAAGTGACTCCAACCTTTCAGCTTAATGACGAACGATTCTATGCCTTCTACACGATTCTATGCCTTCTACACTGTATACGGATGATGGAATGTAATGCATCCAGCGCCTTGTGAGCACACCTTTGACCAACGATACAGACTTGAATTCGAACCACGCAGGAGCGGAAGAACCTGACTTGTGACATGAAAGCGTGAAATTCGAGAGGACTCATAAAAATCCACTCCTCTTCATGCTTTAATTTTGTACCCTGCATCGAATTCCTGCTTGATGTTCAATCTTTTCGACTGAGTTATTAGCAGTGATTTCAGGTCAGCAGGAAATTTGTAACATGTCACCTTTTGAACCCATTGCGAACACCAAGAATCGTTTCGGCGCATGCAGATTGCTTATCATGGCTAATTATGCTTGCAGTGCTCGATACCCCTGGTTCCCGACGTGAAGAGAATTCCCGGTAGATATCATTCCTGGATGGGCAGTGAGTGAATACTCTCAAATGCCCCGGTCAGAATAGCACCTCCCTTAGCTCATGGTTACTCATCAGTGACGCATGCGATGTTCAGCTATATGCTTGCGAGTGCACCGTTCTGGACCCTGCCATTGGATCATCGTTCCGAAGCTTCCGAGTCTCCTCAGATGTTATCACTCCACGTGAGAGTCAGTGATTCCTGCGATGATATTGAGAACGGCTTCATTCCTGCTCGAGTCCAAACCTTTTAAGCACAATGAATGGCGGTATTAGACAGTTGAGCGCTTGAGCGCCGTACCTCCGTGATTTCCGATCATTAAGTAAGCCTACCATGACACTTCTAACCCGTCTAGCCTTTATTCGCTAACGAATGACCTTCAAGGCAGCCTTGGCTGCTCACCAGGCCACCTTATGCGGGAGATACTGCGGGGACGTGTAGATTGAGCTGATCTGATGACGCGCTCAATTCAACTACTCTCTACAGCTCCCGCATATTGCAGCCTTCGCGGGCGTCTGCATCGACTTTCCGCGCAGTGATTTTATCTCTTTTAAAGGTTATGTTGTCGAGACTGCGTGAAGCGTGCGATCACGATTCACAAGCCACTCAAGCACTCGAGGCACGGTCTCAGCCAACATTATCCACCGTATTGATTTCATCCAGAAATGGATCGTCAGCTATGGGTTGCCTGTGTGGCAATTCTCCTGATACTCATTCGGCTACTCCATCTCAGCTACGTCAATGGCAAGCGTCGCCTTCCGCTACCACCAGGCCCAGACGGTTTGCCATTGATAGGGAGTGTCCTTCAAGTTCCTTTCGATTATCAGCACGTCACGTTTGCGAAGTGGAGGAAGCAGTATGGTTCGTACCACAGATCCTACATCAATACCTTTTCTCTCAATTCTTTGCATCCACGCAGGAGATATTATCCACGCTCGCTTCTTTCAGAAGGATGTTATCATTCTTAACTCTGTTAGAAGTGCACGAGATTTGCTGGATAAACGGGGCCAGAAATACTCCGACCGACCGCGTCTTGTAATGTTCAATGAGTTGTAAGCAGTCACAGATCTCGCGGGCGTCATGTAACACTCTACATAGGATGTACGTTTTCCACCCCAATTTATCCACGATGCGTTACGGGGAACGTTGGCGTCAGCATCGCGGCTGGTATCAAACAGCGCTTCAAACTCGGAATGCGTTGAACAGTTATCAACCCCTGCAGGAGAAGGAGGCACGGAAGTTTTTATCCGCCTTGACCTGCACCCCTGATGTTTTCATTTCGCATATCAGCAGGTTCGTGGATGTCGCATATGCCTTTTGAGTCTCTGCTAACATCTTAACTGTGCAGGTTTGCCGGTTCCACACTGCTGCAGATAGCTTATGGCTATAGCGACGACGAATTCATTCATATGGCAGACAAGGTCAACACTGATATCATGGAAGTTGGAGGTGCAGGCGCAACGGTAGTGGACTTCTTCCCCATCTGTGAGTAACTGCTCCTTTAATATTGTTATCTCGATATACTTGAAGTCGCATTTAATGACAATTGACAGTGAAATATCTGCCGACATGGATGCCAGGAACAGGATTCAAGCGCAAAGCCTTGCAGGCCAGAGATGCAGGCCTCATCTCAAGAACTGTTCCATTTGAGCGGGTTAAAAAGGACATCGTATGGATAAGCACGTTGTTGTTGATGCGCTCAATTCACATCAGTCACAGGCGTCTGGAACCGCCAAACCTTCTTTCACCCGCAACCTTCTCGAGAAGAACGCCTCCGTCGACTCTGAATCATTCGAGTTTGAAGTCAAAGGGGCAGCCTCGGTGATTTATGGAGGTGAGAACATACAAGGATTTCGTACTCATCTCAAGACTGACTCGCGTCTAGCTGGGACAGACACGGTGATCACATATCGTGGTGTAATCTTTAATCTGCTTATCATGTCCTAGACCATCACCTCAATCACTATATTCGTCCTTGCCATGGTGCTCAACCCGGAAGTATACAAAAAGGCGCAGGCAGAGCTGGATGATGTGGTTGGAAGAAAGCGGCTGCCGAATCTCAGCGACAGAAACTCCTTGCCGTATCTAGACTGTGTATTGAAAGAGGTATACCGGTAAGTGACTGCGCGTACGTTCACTGCTGTTGTTGACGGACTGCACTCGCCAGTTGGGGCTCTCCTGTTCCTCTAGGCAGGTCGTCTCAGTTGTCGGCATTTGGTGAGAATTGACAGCATCCATAAGGCTTGCCACATGGGCTAGTGGAAGACGATGAGTACCGCGGCTACCATATACCCAGAGGAGCGATGGTCTTAGCAAACATCTGGTCCGTAGTATAGCGCAGATCAGACCCACATCGCTGACCAGACATCAGGGCGATGGGGCGTGATCCGGAAGTCTATCCTGATCCGGAGATATTCAGTCCAGAGCGTTACCAAAACGTCCAGCCAGACGTTGAAGATCTGATGGATCCACGGAAAACGATTTTCGGCTTCGGGAGGCGGTGAGTGTAATATTAAGGATGCAATGTGGTTGCCCTTACATGCTATTGTGTCAGTATCTGTCCTGGCCGTCTTCTTGCGGATGCGAGCGTCTGGATAGCGGCTGCAAGCATCCTGGCAACGATGACAATAAGCAAGGCTCATGATGCCAATGGCAACGAAATTGTGCCGGAGGCAGCCTTCGTCTCCGGAACAGTCATGTGAGTACATTTCGCATTGATGATCGATGACGCTCGGATGAGGTCTCATCGGAAGCCAGTCATCCGAAACCCTTCCAATGCGACATTCGACCACGGTCTGCGGAAGCTATGAACCTGATCATGACAGAGGCCCATGAATAAGCGGTGAGGCCCTGTGTCGAGTAAGACCTTATTGACATGTTCATTACTCGTCCATGATGTATGATTAGTGATGTTATCATATCATTTTACACTGCGAGTGATACATAGCTGCCAATCACGCATGAGCGGACACATACAGGGACATGAGACTAAAATGTTGCACATTGTCGTAGTTTCGACGTTTATCACGATGTGACACCCACACAACCTTCATCCGCCGGGAGTGGCTCTGGCACTCTTCATACAACCCAGAATATCCATCGACCAGGTTCCTCAATTTTTTTGCTGTGGTTCGAACGATAATGATCGTTCCATTTCTTACAGCACAGCCTCACACATCGCTAGGATCTCGGTTTGGGCCATATAGTACTGCGAGCGGCTTATATTGGTGGACACAAAACCTGCTCCTTTGTGGCCGTGGCCACCGCACAAATGCTCGGCTGTGGATCGGCATTGGTTAAAAAGCGGTGAAGGTGCCACTCGGATAAAACGCACGGCAGGCACTCCCAACTATGATCTATTGTTTTGCCACAAATTGAACCTTCGTGCCATCATCGATCATGGCCCAAGCGTGATCGGCTGTGTCAGCCTTGTTTTCTGTCTTATGTGGCATTCTCATCCGTGGCCATAATGGAAGTGGACAAAGGGAGCACCTCGCGTCGTGTGTTTGTATAAAGACCAGGCCTTTTGCGGTTCACCACGAGCAACACCCTCGAACTGCATTTCCATCCGAAGGACGACATCTCCTTCTCATATATCGTCAGCACTCCCAAGCTCCCCCCGGCTTCGAGTTATGCAGCCAATGATAGAAGTCACTGAAGAAGGATGTCAGTAACGTCCACTGTGTCTGCTCGCCATTCTATTACTGACCAATTAGCCATGCAGGTGTCCAGAGGACGTCAAATGATACTCACCCGGTTTCCGAAAGCGCCATTGCAAACGCTCACGAAGAGAACTCTGATAGAATTCAAGTCCCCCCAGACAGCGACAGGGCCCTCAATGACCCTTCGGAGGATACGACGAGAGGCGATCGCAATGAGAGGACAGAGTCGATGGTTCCCGCTCCGGTCGTCCGCCATATCCAAGGAACTAGACTGCAAGCTCCGCCCGACGCCAACTTCTTCTCTCTTGCTTCCCTGGCGGTCTCCCCTGACGGGAGATACGTCGCAGTAGGCTCCGAACAAGGCTTCGTCTTCGTGTGGTATGCCGTCACCCGGGAGCTAATGTATCGCTTCGGGGATCACATTAATCCCGTCTACGCTCTGGAGTTCTCACCAGACAGCTCGGTTTTGGCGTCCAGTTCACGCGGATGGATTGTTGTTCTGTTCGATGTTGCCAGAGGGACAACAAAGCTGGCTGTTCATTCGAGCGATGAAGTTTCGTTCCATTTCTTCGCGTGGACCAGTGATGGGCGCACACTCGCATCGGCCTCAATGCGATCCATGATTTGCCTCTGGGACATCGATGCCGACCCACCGTGTATGCGTGCACAATGCAAAGGCTGTTTCGCTGCAACCATGGGGATAGCCTTCTCACCTGACAACTCAAAGCTTATGAGCACCTGCGCAGATGTGTCCGTATATATGTGGGACACTCAGAGCGGGACCTTGCTCAGCAAATCCAGCGATCCAGATTATGATGGCATCATTTTAGTGGCTGCTTTCTCTCCCGATGGACGGCGTGTCCTGACGGGCGATGGTGGTGGCGATGCTCGTATTTGGAGCGTCGACACTGGCGAGGTGCTGACAACCATCCCGCAACTCCCCATCGAAGTGTCGGCGGTGACGTGGTCTCCAGATGGGAAGCGAGCAATGAGCGCATGCAACGAGGGTGTCGTGAACACCAGCTACCCAGACGAAGATGGACGCGTGGATTCAGTGCATTTGGACGGCGTGGATCGCTGGCCAGTTTTCTCGAGCGACGGGAAGTTTATCACGACATGCGGAACGGACGGCGACATGAGGATCTGGAGGGTCGACGATGGGGCACTAATGGCAATTCTACATGGACAAAGCCGACCTCCTCTATTCATAAAATGGTCTCCTGATGGCTCGATCATCGTTACGGGCGAGCTCGACGGCTTAGTGATGCTGTGGGATGTATCGGAGGTAGATGATGCCTGACCACAGTATTGTGATATGAGGGACGTGGATAAGAAATATAAGATGGCGGGAAGCGTGCGTAGTCATTGCTATACGTATTCAGGTAGCCGGCGGAACGTTCGTAATACTATGAAAACGAATATCTTTCATTTTATGACCCTGGTAACATTGGAAAGCGTGTGCGTACATTCCTAAGACTCGGGGATAATTCCCTTGAAATTCAAGCCACTCACATCCCAGACGGAGGAAGAGGAGGTGCCCAGTGACCAACTCCCGACCGCCACCATTAATGAAGCTGATCATGACTATAAGCACACGAGCAGCGGTGACACATGGTACTATGGGTTGATCATCGTCGAGGTACCAAAATTGAAAACGAACAAATTCCCCCATGTCTGCGATTTCTGCCAAAGACTATCCTAGCTGCCTGGATGACAATACTTACGAGCGTCGACAATATGGACCTGGCCGCGATCAGGCACGCGTCAGCTATATCGTCATGTTGTATAAAACTGGCAACGGATGCGGCAACTTCGATCTTCCTATCCTTAATATCACACAACGCATCAGCGAAGAAAGTCGCCCGAGCATCGCAGAAATGCCCTTCACAACCTCCCACTTCACAAGCGCGGTTTACGCCATGAGCGCCAATCCAAGCACCTCTCCGCTGCTTCTTCCAAGTGTGAGCAGCGCACACACGGACCCATCCCCCCTCATTTCTTTCTCAATGCACCATGCGGAGCACATAAAGGTTGCGCAGAGACGGGATAGAAAAGTCGTACGACGTCCGGGCATGTGACGGAAGAATGTGCACAAACTCACTTCCAGAAATCTCCAAGATGGCCGCAGCGGAGCCTAATAGACCCTCGCCTCGCAAATGATTAGTATAAAGAGCATTTGCGAATGGCCCGATGAAAGTACTCTCTGCACTGTTCTAGATTGCGATATCGGTATCACCATAGTGTATGGGCAGGTCCTTGCACGTTCAGCCCGAATGGGAGCTTAAATAGCCAGGAATACGCACCACTTTGCTGCAGAACATCCGGGAAAGACTAGAAACGGCAATGCGATTCTCTCACCGCCCAAAGTATCCAATAGCGTCCACGTCGCGGCTTGTCGCATGTGCTCGCGACATTTTCAAAAGCACGGCAGCAAGAGACTGATGCAAAAAATAAGATACGCCCTATGCATTGAGATAAGCACGTCATCGTATACATCCCGGCTCTACTGGCCCATCAACATGAGTTCTTTGACATTCGAGGCAAAAGCTCACCCAATATGTACCTGTAACTGCCGTCGTCTGAAAGTCCACCGCACAAAATAGAGGATTGAAAAAGCTACAATAGCAACTGCGTATGCTCAAATGGTGAGTGGTTTTGCCTTGAGCAGGTCTTGCAGTGAATATGACATGTTTCGAGCCGATAGTAGTCACAGGTCAGCGAACGCGCGGACTTGGGTTTTCGCACGCTTGTGGCTGGACATGTACCCCAGCTTGTGCGCGCTTGTGGCGCAGTTTTCGCGCTGGCAGGCCATTGGTCCCCGTGTATCCTTCCCCCTTCCTCTGTGCTTCGTTGAGTTAGAGCTCTGAATCAAGCGAAGTACCCGCCAGTATAATAAAACGCACCCGGCTGAGTGTCGAGTAATGGATTTTACGCCATTGATCTCCCATCCGGCCTGATGCTCCGATGCCGCGCCTTCTCTCACGCAGTTGTTGACCGGCTCTACACCTGCGGGTTCTTCGCCGTTGGGATACAAATATACGATACCGGTTGCGATGCCCCTTCACTTCTATCATGGTCTTTCCTCCGGACCCCATGCCATACGTTAGCATCACCGTCGTGCTTATCGTTGTCTCACTTCTCGCGTTCCCTCTCGTAGTACAGCGGAGTAGTAAAGGCAGGCTACCGCCTGGCCCAAAGCAACTTCCGATCATAGGAAGTGCACATCATATTCCACTGCAGTATAAGCAGAATACACTTGCAGAGCTGGGAAAGAAATTCGGTGAGCTCTATGATCGTTTTATTTCGTCCTCTGCTCAACGAACGACAGGAGATGTGATCTATATACGCACTCTTTGGAAACACACGGTTGTCTTGAATTCTGTGCGCGCAGCGCGCGAGCTGCTGGAGAAGCGCGGGTCTACATACTCGGATCGACCGCACTTTGTGCTGATAAGCGAACTGTGCGCAACGAGATCGAAATTTATTGCCTTCACTAAAACGTTGGCATCTCAGAATCGAAGCGTTCGAGCCTCATCTCCCTCTAATGCCATACGGGGAACAGTGGCGAAGGCATCGAAAGTGGTTTCAGATGACGTTGTCAACTAGGGTCGCGCTCGATAGCTATCGCCCTCTACAGCAGCGAGAGGTGGTAAAGTTCCTTGCGAACCTGCTCGAGAACCCTCAAGGATTTGCATCCCATCTGAAGAGGTACATCTATCTCGCTTTAACATTTGATTAGTTGTTCATGAGCGATTCCAACAGATATGCGGCTGGAGTGCTCATGGAGATCAGCTATGGACATACTGTCACGTCCACTGATGATGAATACATTCGCATGGCTGACAAGGCGATGACAGAGATCAGTGAACTCCATGGGCTGTCCATTATCGTACTGAACTTCCTTCCGATTCGTGAGCACACTCGTTTTCATCTGTATAAAATGAGTGCATCGTGTTGACAGCGACACCTGTTATTTTGCAATAGTCAAGCACACCCCGACGTGGCTCCCAGGTGCTGGTTTCAAGCGCGAGGCGTTGAGACTTAAACGCGTAACGTTTGATGCGATGAACATTCCTTTCGAGATCGTCAAAACTGAAATGGTGTCTTGCTATCATTACGTCCTATCGGTCTCTAGTAACGCATTTCTAGGCTGCTGGGACGGCAAAACCCTCATTCGTCAGAAACTTGTTGCTTTCGGATTCCCAATCTTCAAGCGATGAGCAAGAAATCAGAGCAAGCGCCGCTGTGATCTACCTAGGTAAATGAGAACGATGGTTGAATCAATCCTATGCTGATCGCAACCGGCCATCCAGCCGGGATTGATACGGTTCGTCGATAATTCGGCAGAAATTTTCGTGCTGACGGGCATGCCGCAGACCGCTACCTTGTTGACTACGTTGATCCTAGCCATGGTGCTGAACCCTCAGGTGTACCGGAAGGCTCAGGCTGAGATGGACGCTGTGGTTGGACCTGCACGGCTCCCGAATTCTGAAGACAGACCGATGCTACCCTACCTTGAATGTATATTGAAGGAAGCCCTCCGGTGCGTCGTGCATTTACCCATTGACTTGCTCTGTATTGATTCCGGCGCCTGGCTAGATGGAGCTGTCCAGCGCCTATAGGTGAGTTGTTGGCGCTATGTCTATTGGAATCACTCATTCCTTCCATGATTCACCAGGCGTACCACATCAAGTGTCCCAGGATGATGAATATCGCGGCTATCACATACCGAAAGGCTCGACGGTTATATCAAACATATGGTAGGCCATCCCAAGCATTGTGTAACAAGACGTGTCTGATCAAATACACAGGGCTATGTCACGAGACGCAGTGACGTACCCGGATCCCGAAGCCTTCAATCCTGACCGTTTCCGTGAGGACGCCGACGACACGGATGGCATCCTCGATCCGCACATATATACTTTTGGGTTCGGGCGAAGGTGGTGCATCTTGCCACAGGCACATCACGAAAGCTAATCGACCTAAACATAGGATTTGTCCCGGACGTTGGCTAGCCGATTCGAGCGCATAGCTTGTAACGGCAAATTTGATAGCGTCTATGGATATTGACAGGACTCGTGACTCAGCGGGGGAAGAGATCATTCCTGTTCCAGCGTTCGCCGCAGGAAGCATCAGGTAAGGAATGACGCCTGTAGAGAAAGTTTCACGAGGGTACTGAACTCTGTTAGGCATCCGAGGCCGTTCCCGTGCAACATCAAGCCGCGCTCCGAGCAAATTGCACAAATGATTATACAGATGAACGCTAGGAAGGATTGAGCTGGAGACTCTTTGACAATGATAGGCACATGTCTCCACTGTATCGCAAGAGACCGTGACTACAGGTTGATGTCACTTCGAATTGCGAACGTCACTTGCTGGACGAGCTGGGGTTGGAATAATGCTCTATCCCACTACAGCGGACGGATTATGCCACAGATTGCGTATGGGCAGACGCGAACTGTCATATGCATGGAACATGAAGATAATATAACTGCCGATGTATTCGACGTGAGCCCCGGTCGGCCATTGCGATTGAGGCGCGCATTGACTTGTGCTTTTCTGGAGATCCTCTAGTCTTATCCGCTCGTCTGGCCGCGATGGGGTTATCTACCCATGACCCGGCTTCCGGAGAAATGGGACGAATAACGTTTCGGACATTCAAATCAGACAGCGCTAAGTCATTCAATTCACTGCGGCGCCAGTCGCTCAGACTGCCACCGGCTGCAATCGAGGACGACATGCATCGGTATGCTGAATTGCCGAGACTCGGTATATGGAAGACACGGTCTGTCGAGATACATAGATATTTCACATTTCGGAGCCTTCTAACGCAAAATCCGGGCACATTTCGGTCACCGGTGGAGAGAGGCACACATACGCAATGACCATGCGCAAACAGCATGTGAATGCTTCAGGAGCTTACGCAACAAGTCGAGAAAAAAGGCCGTAACGCTAGCTCCTCTTTCTCTGTTCAAAAGATAATCCAGTGAGATTGCGGGAAGCTGGTGTAGTACGCATCCATGTCTATACGTACCCGTTTGCCATTTAGCGCCCGTTGATTATCTTGTATCCAGGGAAGTCGGTCAAGGTCGGTCTCAGCCGATCCTAGAACGCCAAGAATCACTTCAGATGTGTTATCAGTGACTGCTGCTGATAAGTTCCCATTGAAAAAAAAACCAATTATCCGCGCTTCTTCACGTCGCATGCGGGCCAGGTACTTTAATCCCGCATTGACCCCTCACATGGCGGTATGAAGTCCGTAAAGCCGGTGATTAACTGTCACCGGGACTTTCTGGCCGACGCGGTGATATGTATTGCCTTTAGTATGTCGCTCTGAGGCAAAATTGTCTTCACAGGAATCGCAGTAAATTCTCACAGCTTGAGTATAAATAAAAAACCTATCAATCTCGCTGCCTCGCAGCACCATGGCTTTCGACCTGACATCTTACATCGGAGCGACCATTTGCTGTCTTACCATCCTATTGCTTGCCTTCTCTCGCATTTCGAAGCACAGACCAAAGAGATATCTACCGCCTGGGCCGAGGGGCCTCCCCCTAGTAGGAAATGCTCTTCAGATCCCATTCGAGTATCAACAGGATAAATTCGCTGAATGGACCAACATATATGGTGCGCACTCTCGGCTTTGAAGCTTGCGCAGCACTGAATTGACATCAGGGGATGTCATTTATGTGCGCGTCTTACAGAAACACATCGTCATCTTGAATTCGGCGCGCGCCGCGCGTGATCTGCTAGAAAAGCGCGGCGCGATGTATTCGGACAGGCCGCGCTTTGTGCTGTTCAATGAATTGTGAGCACTGGGCATCGGCGGGTTCATGGCAACTAACTGTAGTATCTCAGAATCGAGAGCTTCAAACCCAACATGGCTCTGCTGTCCTATGGCGATGAATGGCGGAAACATCGGAAGTGGTTCCAGATGACGCTTTCCAGCAGAGTCTCCCTCGACAGTTATCGTCCAATGCAGCGGCGAGAAGTGGTTATATTGCTCTCAAATATGCTTCAAACGCCCCATGATTTCGCATCGCACATCAAGCGGTAGGTCTGTCCTTCGCACGCACAGAAACAGCTCCTTATTCTCGAACAGGTACGCAGCCGGAGTGCTCATGGAAATCAGCTACGGCCACACCGTCACCTCCGTGGACGACAAGTTCATTCGCATGGCAGACGAAGCTGGGGCTGAGATCCTCGAAATTGGCGGTGCAGGCTCCGCTCTTGTGGACTTCTTTCCCGTGTGTAAGCACAATCTTCTTCGCATTGTAATCCAAGCCTGCTGACTATCGTGCCCGTTATTGGCAACATAGTCAAATATGTGCCGACATGGTTACCGGGCCCGGGGAGCTTCAAGCGCAGAGCACTCGAGCTCGGGCAGTTCACGAGGAATACGATGAGCCTACCGTACGAGAATGTCAAGGCCGAGATGGTGCTGCGCATTTATCATATCTCATCGAACGCCACTTACACGTCTGCAGGCTTCCGGATCTGCCAGACCCTCGTTTGTAAGCAAACGGCTTCAGGAGGCTTCCCACCCTGCATGTAGGGCAGAGGATGAGGATCGAATTAGAGCAGGTGCTGCTGTGATATATCAAGGTATGAAATATTTTTGTCCTGACCGTCGCTGAGACTCATTGAATCTGATGGTCCTTTCAGCCGGAATCGATACGGTTGGTCCCACATTTGTCAAATTTCGCAGCGCTTATCAAAACCGGTTCCAGACTGCTACTCTCCTGACGTCATTTGTTCTTGCCATGGTGCTTTACCCTGAGGTGTATCGAAAGGCTCAGGCAGAGATGGACATCTTGGTTAGGCAAGCAAGGCTTCCGAACCCGGACGACAGGGCTATGTTGCCATATCTGGAATGCGTTTTGAAGGAGGTGCTTCGGTACGTTCCTAAATAGTGTGTCTGGCTTTATCCAACATACTCTCACCACAGATGGTGCTGTCCCGCACCGCTTGGTGAGTGTGGCACGTTCACTGAAAGAAAAACAGTATCCTCATGCTCTTTTCTTGTTGAGGTGTACCACATTATGTCTCTCAAGGTGACCAATACCGCGATCACTATATCCCGGGAGGTACAATGATAATCCCCAATATCTGGTAGGGTCTCTAGCATTACGGACTGACAGACGTCTGAACAAATCTGCAGGGCCATGACGCGAGACGCGGATGTGTATCCAGACCCAGAAGTCTTCAATCCTGATAGGTTCCGCGAATTTACCGATGACACAGAAGACGCACTCGATCCGCGTACAATTGTTTTCGGGTTCGGAAGAAGGTAACGTGTACAGCTATAGTACTAAACACTTCATTCGAGCTCATCTCTCGTTTGCAGGATCTGTCCTGGCCGTTTGCTGGCGGACTCAAATGCGTGGCTGGTGGCGGCAAATCTTGTGGCAACCATGGATATCCGACGAGAATATGATTCATCCGGTCAGGAAATCATTCCAGTACCGGTGTTTACTTCGGGGACTGTTAGGTAGGACTCCCCGGGACGCATGTTATATATTGCTCACTCGACCTACAGACACCCGCGCTCATTCCTTTGCAAGATCCATCCGCGTTCGAACAAAGCAGTGCAGACTATCAGAGAGTCAAATGATGAAGTGGAAGCTTGAGAATCCCATGTTTCAATGTGTCTCACTATCGAGTGACACTATGCCGATGTAGTAAAGTCCATAAAATTCTGACACTTTATACCAATGCTGTTGCGCTTGAACTGCTCAGGCAGCTGAATGGCACTGTTTGTTAGCTCTTGGAGTTCTCGTTATCATGTCGAAGCTTGTATGATCGCCGGAATGCCAGCCTACATGTCAACTGATCGCGTGTTCCTCGCGCCCATCACACGTCTGCGGCCTTCAAGCATCTGAACATCAAGATGCTTGCATCAAATCGTAGAAAATGGATACTATATGATGATCGATGACACCGGGGGCATGAGCCCATGATTCCGCCGGGAACATTTTGGACACATCACGATAATAGTCACAATGTAACTCTAATGTTACTGATGTAAACATCACGGAATGATTTGAATTATTTCGAGTGAGCTCATTGTGGAATAATAGTGATTAGTATTCAGAAAGACACCAGGATGAGACAACAATTTTGCTCTGGCCAGCATTCATATGATATATTGGGTTCATTTTGAATGGATCTTAAGGGTACATTACAAATGTGATCAACGTGATGTTACGATGAGTACCAGAATGCTTTCCATCATGTGCCGGCTGGAATCATCTTGAACACATCGGGGGTGTCCTAATATGGTTAGCACATTACTATATATAGTAATAACAATTATGCGATCATGATGAATCCATTGGGAACATCTTGAAAACATCATGGCCACTCACAGGTATCATTTGAGATTTTCTCACAAGAAACATTTAGGATGCTATCACAATAATGCTTAAATGCTGTCATCTGCAGCATTGGGGTCTCATTCTTGCATCTTTATGAATGCTATCAAAATTGTGCCGCAATGTTGATGCTTAAAACATTTTAAAACATTCAAAATGATATCAAAATGTATGTGCTAAAAACATTGCATAATTATTTGGACTGTCATTACAATGTGTCCAAAATGTTTTGGGCAGAATCATGGGCCCATGCCCCCGGTGTGAGCGATCAATGTCACCGAGTGGCTCGGGTAAGCACCAAGCGCCGAGCAGCCATGGCCATTTTCGCGTCGCTTGCTGTCATGTTCTTACATACTTACAACCATGTTCCAGCTTCTCACTTATCTTGACAATTCTGGCGACGGAGATACTGAAACGACGAAATGAAGCCTGCCAGCGTTGAGGACTGAAATTCTAGCCAGTAGCCCCGGCCGAGCTCTCCGTCTACTACTAGTAGCAAATGCGACCGCGCATACTTTCCGAGTCTCAACATGGTGAGTCCCACGATACCGTTGTTCCAGCACACGGGAGAAACATGATACCTAAACAGTGAAGGTCGGCACTCGTGTCGACCCAAGAAAAGCACGCTTGTCTACAATAGGTCAACCACGAGAGTTCCTTCTAGCTCATCCAGTGTATTCATGAATACCTAAAGGCGGGCGCGATATTCAGCAACACTATGATAAAACGCCCTCTCACGTCCCCGCATGCAATAGAGAACGCTACTCAGCGTCACGGATATGCTTCTCGTATCCGATAGACGCCTCCTAGCGGTTCAACATCGATGCCCATGGTTGGTCAGATATGGCACCACCAGCGGACCGGGGTCATTCCTATCATCTCGTGAATTTTTCCTTGCCCTTGTGACAATGGGGACAGGTAGCATTGAATCCGCAGGTCCAGCGCGCCTATGGTCCGGCCCTTGGTCCAGACTCCAGTATAAAGAGGCTCTTGACAGTCCTCCAAGTCATCTCATTACGAAACGATGACTACCCTCCTTTCGACGCCATCTGTGAGTCCGGTGCTCATATGTGTCGTGCTGCTCTGTCTGGCACTCCTCCGCTCTTGGGTACGAGCGAAAGGCCGACACCTGCCTCCTGGCCCGAAGCGACTTCCTATTATCGGCAATGCCCTTCAGGTACCGCTCGAATGCCAGGAGCTTACTTTTGCCGAATGGGGCAGCAGATTCGGTAAGCTCTGCTCGCACAAGCGTTGCCAGCAGCTACTCAGGCGGAAGCAGGGGATGTCATCTATGCACGCTTGTTTCAGAAACACGTCATTGTGCTCAACTCCGTGCATGCTGCTCGTGAGTTGTTGGAGAAACGTGGTGCGATATATTCAGATAGGCCTCGCTTCGTCATGTTTGCCGAACTGTGCGTTGCATGCAACCTTCCGGATTATCGTGATCGTTATCTGTGACGTGTCATGTTTCAGAATCAAGGCATTTCACCCGAATATGAGTCTCATGAACTACGGCGATGCTTGGCGTCAACAGCGGAAGTGGTTCCAGACGACCATCTCAACCAGGACTGCGCTAGACAGCTTCCAGCCAGTTCAGCAGCGAGAAGTGGTGCAGTTCCTTTCCGAGCTGCTTCGAACACCTCAAGACTTCGCGTCGCACATTAAGAGGTCAGCGGATTCTGTTAAGTGCATCGAGGATACTAACGTTGGAAGAGTAGGTTTACGGCCGGCATCTTATTCGAGATCAGCTACGGACATACCGTCACGTCCAATGATGACGATCTGGTGGTTAAGGCAGACGAAACCATAACGGGAATTCTTGAAGCCGGCGGAGCCGGCTCGACTTTGGTCGACTTCGCTCCAATATGTAGGGGTTGCGTCATGCTTCTGATACCTATCCGTCCCGTGCAATCGGGCGCTGACCCTTCTTCCTTTCGAACATATCAACAGTGCAGTATATTCCAGCGTGGCTGCCAGGTGCGGGATTCAAACGCAATGCCTTGAAGCTGAGGCGGTCGGCATTTGAAGCCATGAACGTCCCGTTCATGAGGGTAAAGGAGGAGATGGTACGGTTGCTTTGCTAGTTGCGTCACAATGTCTGAACAGATCCAGGCATGTGGCGTTGCGAAACCGTCGTATGTGAGCAGACTGCTCGAGGAAACATCCAACAGTCCTACCCGTGTCGAGAGCGAAAATATAATCAGGGCAGGCGCAGCCCTTATGTATGAAGGTAAGAGCAATAATGGAAAACATCCGGAACAGTTTCTCAGTACACGTTCGTTTATCAGCTGGCATCGATACCGTCGGTATTGCTCTCTTACAATTGAATCGAGGCTCACAGGGCAATTTCAGACCGCTACGACGATCACGTCATTTTTCTTAGCCATGACTTTGTTCCCCGATGTCTATCGGAAGGCTCAGGCAGAGATGGATACAGTCGTCAGTCGTTCACGGCTCCCAACCCATGCTGACAGACCCTCGCTGCCCTACCTGGAGAGCGTGTTGAAGGAGACGTTCCGGTACCCTCCCGCTCGTCTCTATTAATGTTCACTAATTGCTCTCATCGTCTTAGTTGGACCACTCCCGTTCCTCTTGGCGAGTAGCATTCAAGGCTCAGCAGAAGGCATAATTGACCCTTTTGCAGGACTGCCTCATCAAGTCACTGGTGATGATGAATATCGCGGATACTACATTCCTGGAGGATCTATGATCATAGCGAACATTTGGTAGGCGCTTTCTTCACATTCACGGTAAGATATGTCTTATTGGTCTGCTAGGGGTATGAGCCGAGACCCGGGTATGTTTCCTGCGCCAGAGGTTTTTGACCCAGACCGCTTTTGCAAGACTGTCGAGGATAGGGAAGGTGTACTCGATCCTTCTACATTTGTGTTTGGGTTTGGACGGAGGTAGGACATCTATCCGTCAGTGTGCATTATGTATTGGCGCTCACATCGACTGAAGGGTCTGCCCTGGCCGCATGCTCGCCGACTCGAGTGTCTGGCTAATTGCAGCGAATTTAGTAGCGACCATGGATATCGGAAGGGAACGAGATGAAGCAGGACGGGAGGTCATCCCTGTCCCAGAGTTCGTACCCGGGACTGTAAGGTGAGAGTCGGATCTAGCGTTGATCAGCAGCTTTGTGCACAAAACTAACTATGCAAACACGTAGGCACCCGAAGCCGTTCCTCTGTAGCATCAAACCTCGACACAGCAAGGTGTCTCAGCTGATCTCCCAAGTCAGCATTGACAGCAAGTGACGAATCGAGAGCAGAATTGTAGGGCTTTTACGTACCTGTTGAAAGGCTATTAGTTCGAATTGTAGGAATATATCTCGCGATCAGGCGCGCCCTGGACGCGAACGTTTGGTCGCGCGGAACCTATGATTTTCCTCGTCCCTTCTGTTGCTCCTGGACGTCTTGAATGCATTGAAATCTGATGTCACTTGCCTCGTTCACTACATGTTTTTCACGTCGATATGATGTATTTGGCGCAGCGCTCTAGGAGCAGTCCTGCCAGATGTGCAGAATCGTCGTCGGCATCACACGGCAGACATGATGCGATTTATAAATGTGGAAAATAGTGTGGGAATGTCGGCTGATGTCTTACATTTGTGGCAAAGGTTTGCCAATGTAGCATTTAATCAGCAAATGGTGTACATCCGCAGCCAAAGTGAAACATTTTAGACATGAAATGCCATTCTTGCAAACATTTGTCACATGTGTAAGAAATCAGTCGACATTCACACACAATTTCCCACATTGATAAATCGCATCATGTCTGCCGTGTCAGCCTGCAGCGTTAAACATGCGTGATCCGTGACCCGTGACGCATCACACTTCTGAGCCTGCGAACATCCTTTGAACATCTAAATATCGGTATGCTTGCATCACATCGGCGATCTTGAAAAAAAGGAAGCGCTAGCGATCAATGTCATTGATGTCGATGAGCGGCTCTGTTGGATGAGAGCGTCAACGTCACGCATTTTCGTGCGTCGCTGTCACGCTCTTACCCTTCTCACAGGCTTCGACAATTTTGGCGACGGAGATCCTCAAATCACGAAACGAAATCTTTCGGCGTTGAAGACTGAAATTCGAGTCAGTGACCTCGGCGAAGCTCTCCATCTATACTAAATGCGACCGCACAACGTGTGCACTACGCTTATGTGGCTTCTCCAAGGCCAGGGCTGCTCCCTAGCGTCAAATGTGTGAGTTGACTCAGCATTGGAACGTCCGCATTGCATCCGGGTGACTGACATTCGCTTTTAGGCTCCGTCTGATTTTTCACGGGTATATGCTCAAATAGACATTGTGGTTGCGGTCGCTCTTTTCGCCATGCTGACTATGACTAGCACGTGTAGCGGCCAGACAGAGTGGATGCATTGTGCGTCTCGACATGGTGAGTTCCACAATATTGTTACTTCAGTAAATGGGAGAAACATGACCCCCTATTCAATGAAGGTCCACGCTCATGACAACCCCAGAAAAGGACACTTGTCTACAATAGGTAAATGAAAATCCCTTCTAGCTCGTCCAGTGTATCCACGAATATCCAAAGGCAAGCACAATCTTCAGCGTATCACGATAAAGCGCCCTTGCATGTCACGCACGCAATAGAGAATGCTAGGCATGTTCTGGAATTATGAAACAGCTAGATACGGCGATATTGATATGCTTTTCTCTTTATCGGATAGAAGCATGAACCTCATTGTGATTCATCGATCCCCACAGGTTAGTCAGATGTGGCGGCACCTAGCGGAGCGGAGTCATCCTTCACATCTCCTGATTTATTCAACAATGCTTTGCCTTTGTGTCAATCGGGAAACAGGTGGAAAAGTGGCGTTGCATCCACATGCATACGCAGCAGGTCCAGCGCGCCTATGATGCGGCCCTGAGTCCTGTATAAAGAAGCTGTTGACAGCCCCTCGAGTCATCTCATCACGGAATGATGACTACCCTTCTTTCGACGTCATCTGCAAATCCCGTACTCATCTGTGTCGTTCTGCTCTGTCTGGCACTCCTCCGCTCTTGGGTGCGAGCGAGGGACCGACACCTGCCTCCTGGCCCAAAGCGACTTCCTGTTATCGGCAACGCCCTTCAGGTGCCGTTCGAATGCCAGGAGCTTACGTTCACGGAGTGGGGCAGCAGATTCGGTAAGCTCTGCTCGTGCAAACTTTGCCAGCAACTACTCAAGCAGAAGCAGGGGATGTCGTCTATGCACGCTTGTTTCAGAAGCACGTCATTGTCCTCAACTCCATACACGCTGCTCGTGAGCTGTTGGAGAAGCGTGGTGCGGCTTATTCAGATAGGCCCCGCTTCGTAATGTATGCCGAAGTGTGCGTTGCATGCAATGTTCCCGATCATCATGATCATTATTGGTGACACGTCGTGTTGCAGAATTAAGGCCTTCGACCCGAATCTCGTTCTCATGAAGTACGGAGATGCTTGGCGTCAACAGCGGAAGTGGTTCCAGACTACTATTTCAACCAGGACTGCGCTAAACAGCTTCCAGCCAGTTCAGCGGCGAGAAATGGCGCGATTCCTCTCGGAATTGCTTCGAACGCCTAAGGATTTCACGTCGCACATCAAGAGGTCAGTTAGATCTGTTTAGAGCATCGAGGATACTTACGTTGGAGGAGAGCAGATATACCGCCGGCGTCTTGTTCGAAATCAGCTACGGACATACCGTCACGTCCAATGATGACGATTTCGTGGCCAAAGCAGACGAAGCCATGACGGGAGTCGTTGAATCTGGCGGAGCCGGCTCGACTTTGGTCGACTTCGCTCCCATATGTAGGTGTTACCTCATGCTTCTAATATCTACGCATCCTACGTGTTTGGGAGCTGACCACCCTTCTTCCGAACATGTGTACAGTGCAGTACATCCCAGCTTGGATGCCAGGAGCAGGATTCAAACGCAAAGCCTTGGAGATCAGGCGGTTGGCATTTGAAGCCATGAATGTCCCATTCATGAGGGTCAAGGACGAGATGGTACGGTTGCTTCGCTACTTGTATCACAATATCTAAACAGATCCAGGCATGTGGTATCGCCAAACCATCGTATGTGAGCAAACTGCTCGAGGAAACATCCAACAGTCCTACCCGTGCCCAGGACGAAATTAGTATAAGGGGTGGCGCAACCGTTATGTATCAAGGTAAGAGCAATGGAAAGCATACGGAGCAGTGTCTAAGTGCGTTCTCGTTCATCAGCTGGTATCGATACCGTTCGTATTGCTCTCTTACGATTAGATCGAGGCTCACAGCACAGTTTCAGACCTCTGCCACGATTACGTCTTTTTTCTTAGCCATGACTTTGTTCCCTGATATCTATCGGAGGGCTCAAGCGGAGATGGACACAGTCGTCGGTCGTTCACGGCTTCCAACTCATGCTGACAGACCTTCGCTGCCCTACCTGGAGAGCGTGTTGAAGGAGACGTTCCGGTACCTTCCCGCTCGTCTCCATGTGAATGTTCACTAATTGCTCTCATCGTTTTAGTTGGAGCCCTCCAGTTCCTCTTGGTGAGTAGCATTTAAGGCTCAGCAGAAGGCATAATTGACCCGTTATTCAGGAGTGCCTCACCTAGTCGCTGATGATGATGAATATCGCGGATATTGCATCCCTGGCGGATCTATGATCATAACGAACATTTGGTAGGCTATTCCTTCATGTTCACAGTAATGTATGTCTTACTGGTCTGCTAGGGGTATGACGCGAGATCCGGAGATGTTTCCTGCGCCAGAGGTCTTCGACCCAGAACGCTTCCGCAAGACCGCCGAGGATAGGGAAGGCGTACCCGATCCTTCCACATTTGTGTTTGGGTTTGGACGGAGGTAGGACATCTATCTGTCAGTGTGCACTACATATTGCTGCTCACATCGACTGCAGGGTCTGCCCTGGTCGAATGCTTGCCGACTCGAGTGCCTGGCTAATTGCAGCGAATCTAGTAGCAACGATGGATATCGGAAGGGCACGAGATGAAGCAGGACGGGAGGTCATCCCTGTCTCAGAGTTCAAATCCGGGAGCGTAAGGTTAGAGTTGGACCTACTGATGACTAGCGTCCGGGGACGAGAAAAGCTGACCATTCAAACGCGTAGACACCCGAAGCTGTTCCTCTGTAGCATCAAACCTCGACACAGCAAGGTGTCTCAGCTGATCTTCCAAGTCAGCCGCGACACTAAGTGAGGGATCGAGAGCAGGATCTCATGGCTTGTATATTCCTGATGAAAGGCTATTTGTTCGAATTGTATGAATATCTCACGCGATCAGGCGCGCCCTGTGTATGAACTTTTGGTCGCGCGGGACTTATGATTTTCCTCGTCTCACCTTTTGCTTCTGGAAGTCTTAGGTAAATTTGATATCCGTTGCCATCTGATTCACTCAAAGCTCAGCGCTCAGTGCGGCGTCAGCTTGGATTTTCACAGTAACAAAACCGTGTATCGCTGAAAGATTTTGAGAGCCGAATGGATAGCATATGGTACGTTGATAAGTCTTCATCAAACAACGAATTGAACTTGTTACGGCCTCAAAGCGGCTATAGGCCGTCCGGTATTATAAGACATGGCACGCGATATCTCGAGTACATCTTCGCATAATGTGCTTTAATGGACATACATTTCAACTCATAAAACTCGGAACATGTCACTCGATCGCTTGCATCTCTCACGGCACGAAAATGGCACGCAGGTCTACAAATGATCAATGAAAGCCCTGTCCATCTCGCCTAGCGCATCTTTTGAAACAACGGTGATAAGTTCAGTTTAGACGCTCGGGCGCGGCCATTACTTGGAGGTCTTGAGCCAAGGAGCTTGGGCAAGTTGGCTTATTGAGTTTTAGGTGTGTAACATTCCTTCTTACTTCGGTCGTTGGCCCGTACAACGAGTCGCCATCAACGCCTTAGTTCATGGCGACCTTCTTTCTTGAACGGTGTCTTTAGGTATCGTCACTGCATTAACTACGGTGACGTCTCGCGACAGCGAAGGAGGTGACCCCGGGCAACACTTCACACAACAGTCGTCCTATATGACTATCTTCCTATGCACAAATGCGAAATGGGTAGGCCTCTCTTCTATTTGTTGTGAGCATACCATGACTTTGCGGCTTACAGCAAGAGATACTCATTTCAAGCCTATCAGAGAGGACCACTCCCTCGGAGTTTCTGCCAAGGCTGACCTACGTGTATCTAAGGTATAGCACTGCGATCCCGTTTGAGGTAAATTACGTGCATTTCGTCGCATTCTCAGACGACTAATTTGCGAAGCAATCAAAGAACTCCATGACCAGGGCTTAGGCAGAAATGGACTCCGCCATCGGCCGTATACGGCTTTCTAAATTTGAAGAGACGTTCGGAATGCGTCTGAAGGAGACCTTGCGGTAGACTTCTGCTCGGTTCTGCTGGAGTAAATTATCCACTCTTATCGTCCCAGCTGGACCTTCCGGCTGCCATTGGTACGTGCCCATTCGTGCCTCACAGAAAAATACTTGATGCGCTGTTTAGGACAGTCATATCAAGCCGTTCAAAAAGACAACTACCGCAGTTTCTATATCCAAGGCGGGTCTGTAACCATAGCCACCATTGGAAATGCCCTCCGTTGACATCGGCAACAAGGTAGGACTCGCATAATGGAGACGTCATTGAACTGAAAAAAAAAACAGCGTGACTGAGTAGACTTCTGGCAAGATCAAGATCGCCCACTTGATGCATCAACAGGACGTTCGTGCCATCCTCCACGCCCTTCAAACTGCAGCCGGTGATGCGACTCAATACTTATTCTGACCGCAAAACCAATGCGTGCTGCTCACCTGCACAAGCGAACTCAAGCCCGGCCTGCCCGAATATCCTGCTGGTTTCTTACCAGCTGGAAATCAGATAAATGCGTCAAAACTTCCTCCCAGTCCTCATTAGATGCTTCCTCCCAGTTCTCAGTATCTGCTTCCCTAAGCAGCCGCTCACATCCGGCCACGTCTATGTTTGGGAAGGTACGATCCAGAAACAACGCCACCCAACGAGGATCGGGGATCGGAGATCTTGATGGATGGTCAAACGAGATCAGTTGGAGGCCATGAGACAGAATGGGAGATGGATCGAGGTCTGGAAGTGGTACTGTCGAGAGCGGGACAATATGAATCAACCTCAAATCTGGGCAGAGCGTTGTAAAGTGTATTAGAGAATGGAGATGGGGTTCTTGAGGCGTATCGGCATCGTATGTGAGATCTATCGCCGACAGCTTTGGCCATGCCTCTGCTAATCGCTGCAGTTCCTGATCTGATAGCGGTGATGACCAGTCATCGATTTTTACTGAACGCAGATGTCGCATTCTGAGTAAAGGTTCGACAAGTATCATAGCTGATGTCCCATTCACGGCATGATTGTTGATTTCCAGGAGCAACAATGTTTCCGCGCAGCAATCTGCCATTGATGCTGATAAAGTGTGGATGCCGTCAGGATCCTCCGCCCGATATGCATCGATTCTTAGTGACTGGATTTCCGGGAGTAGCACAGATTTCAAGAAATGGATGAGAGAACTGGTATCGCTAGTTAGGTACAGGCACTTCAGTGCAGCCAGGTGTATGAAAGATGTTGAGCGACTCATATCGAAACCATTCAGGGTAAGCTCTGTGAGGGATTTTAATGAAGCAAACATCATAAACACAGTTGGATCGAGGCTGGATTGCATAGTGAGATGGATCTTGCGTAACCTGTTACAAACAGAGAATGCGAGCAGGAAGGAAAGCTGGTCGATTCCATCAATGGTGAGGTGTTCCAAGACATGTGCCTTGACAGATAGTTCGTCGAACAGCAACTGTATGCTGAATGCCCTTGCATTGTCCGTGGTCATTCCAGATCCATATGAAAACCTGTACGCGAATTTGAGCGCTCGCATGGTCGATGAGATGAACTTGTTGATGCTGAAGTCCAGTGGCGATATCTGTTTGCATTCCAGATGCTGAAGAGCTGGTAGGAGAGGGGATCTACCATTCGTCTTGCTTATATACTCCAGCGCAGATGGATGGATAGTCCACTTCTGGGGAGAAAAGGACGCGGATTTGATGCATTGGGAATATAGCATATATCTCGTCCATTCTTGCGGAGAGATAGGATTGCAGAAATACTGTCGAGACCCCGGCTCAGAAGAATCCGATCGCAAGCAGTGCATCTCAAACTCACGTATGCAAGCTCTTTGCCGCCATCAGAGGAGTCTCCCTCAGAGACTTCTCTCTCGATCAGACGCAATCCCTCGAAGAGTTTGAAGAGAGGAAGGAGGTCGTCCAGCCTTTCCCACAGTAGTTTCACCGCGGGCAAAAAAAAGGCTCTACAAACGCGTGCGGCACGAGCTAGGTCACCCCTGCGGGCACTATCGACGACAAAAGGCCGCTCAGCTGTAGAGACTCGAAACGAAGCGAAGATGAGGTCGAGCACGTCGTAGGCTTGCAAGACCCTCTGCGTTGCCATTGAGAAATGCTACGGCTTGTTACTACTGAGCGTTGAAGCTTGAAGCTGACGGAGCGAGATGGATGAGACAATGAAGATCTCGATTGCGCTTATCCAGAGTTCGAACTGACTAAACATTATGGCTTGATACTGAAATCGATGAAGCTCTACGAGCGAGATGGACTCGGATGAACGCGCTTGACCGCGGACTGACGCGTGACACCACGCGTATCATCACACTGTGTCACTCGCCTTCAAACCGCTCTGTCCCTTCCTATCCAGCAGTGACGAGCCTCAACGAACGCCATCGGCGCCTCAACATCAACGCCTCACCGACATCAATCATCATCACCACAAATCAAATCAACCCAGACCGAGAGAGTAAGAGACAGTGGAATTCAAACAAACACGAGCACAGCACAGCGTCCACAACCGTACGAGCGAACGAACGACTCCTCGCGAGCGAGCGACATCACAAACAGACAGACATGAAAACCAGACAAGCAGGGTGTCCATACGTGTTACGTGTTACGTGTGATAAGCGAGTCGATAAATGAACATGGCGTACGTAGATGCAGATGCGGATGCGGGAAAATAATACCAATCACCGACAACTACCTAGCTGCGCCGGCATACATACATGGCCGGCTGGGCCAGGGATCCTTCTCCTCCACGAAAGGACGGACGGCGGGACCTGCGCTGCGGATCAGTATGGATAGTACGTAAACACAAGCAGGAATAAGGCACTGACGACGAGCATCGCGACCCTCTCCGTCCCATCCTCATCCTCATCCTCCCACACCCACCCAGCCCGGCCTCTAATCACCACCATCATCCAATCCAATCCTAAGCATATCATAGCGCATACCACCCTCCCCTCCACACCCCTCCACACCACTCAACAAATAACACAACACTTATTCCCCTCCCACTCCCTACTCGCACCCCGGCTCCCGCGTCGCTCATGCCCCGCACTGGGCACATGCGATGGCACGCCCTCCCGCATGAGCATGCTCGCCCTCGTCGCCGCCTCAAACACATCATCAACACCCTCAATCTTCAGCGCGCTCCACTCCCTGTACGCGCGCGCCCCGATCAGCTGCGCCACGCGCTCCGCCTCGGCGCGCGTCACGAACTGTTGCGAGGACGGCGAGCCTGGGACGTCCACATCCAGTCCAGTCAATAATGCGGGTCCTTGAAGGATGAGTGTGAAACGCGTACCTTCTGGTGGTCGTAGACCTGACTTGCACCCAACGAGAAGAACCGGGATCGTAGGCCCACAAATCGAACGTACTTCCTCTATCCACTACTCACACGTGCAACCCGCTCAGCGCTACCGTCGCACATCGGTATAATAGGACACGCACCTTTACAGTGACATTTTCCAACGAGTCCGGCGTATCAATCGCGAACGCGATCAGGATGACATGCGACTTGGAGTAGGACATTGGCCGTAAACGCTATGCACCCAATCAAGCACATCATGCAAGAAAGGTGCCAGCGAGCAAAAGGCCGGTTGCAAGGCACGAATCGCAGGTCGAGGGCACAAGCAGAAGACAAGCGCGGCGGAGCATGAAGAACACACGGACCGCCAGACCGACGCCAGAAGACCGCGCATCAGGGCGAAGCAAACACAAGAAAAAGACGAGCATAACGACGAGCGACGCAATACAATCCCATTGGCGACGGCCACGGCGACAGTTTGCCGGTCAAGCGAGCCAGGATCATTAAGCGCAAGGCAGCAGGCGAACAGGGCAAGCGACAGCGGATATAGCACATCCGGCCATTTTCAGGTACGACCGAAGAACCACAAGAAACGAACGTGCGTGCGGAGCGGATAGTCGAAGGAAGGGTACAAAGACGTCTGATGAGCCCGCGCTCGCAGCTAGCAAGGATCCTCAAAGCGTACCTCGTATTCTTCTTGGCCGCTGCGTGCCGCGACGGAGGACGAGGTCAATCTCAAATAGCTAATACGACAAAGGCATGTAGCACGTACGCAGTATCCCATAATGCGGGCTGCGCGGGTTTTCCATCTAGTCTTATCTCCGCAACACAGTTCTCGAAGATCGCTACAGGGCCGTGCGGAAATGTTGATGACGACGCGTTGATGAGATGCGGATGTTATCAGCGGTGTCCGTATGCAAGGAACGTGACCTACTCACTTGGTTGCTGCATGCGGCAAAGGACAGAAGGCGCACGTCAGTATCAGATGTCATACCGCTCCCGCACATCCAGGAACATGGAGCAAGGACAGAAGGGTGACGAAAGGGCCGGTGGACGAAAATAGAACACAGGGCTGCGGAAGGGGAGAGGACGGGAAACGAAGGGGCGAGAATGCCAGAGGAAAGGAAAGGGCGATACGCACGTATTCCTTGGGAAACTCGCCGAGGGCAAAGGAGCATAGGAGCGACGTCTTGCCGCAGGCGCCTGGAAGAATGAGTGGCACAAACGTAAGAAGAGCGCAGCACAGCCATTCGAGGAGAGAGGACAAATTAGGCAACAGTCAGCTATGCGTGGGCGAGTCAGAGAAGGCAGAGCGGGTGCACCATCACCGACGATGACGAGCTTTCTCCGGATCTGCGGTGCGGGGCAGTGTGAGCATGCGCAGGCGAGACGTGGAAGTGGCTAGCCGCTATGTGTTGCAAGGTACAAATCGCAGGTCGAGAGCACATACAGAAGACAAGCGCGGCGAAGCAAGATCAGACAGACTGCCAGACCAGTCAATGCCAGATCAGTCGATGCCAAAAGCCGTGCATCAGGCGAAGCAAAAACAAGACAAAGAGTACGACGATGAGTGTTTAATCGCGATGGAACATATTCAGATAGACCTCCTCTCGTAATGTTCTGTGACCTGTGAGATACTAGCCTTTTGGAACCCATTGTGTTGCCGTTGAGAAGCGCCATGGCTTGTTACTGAAGCTGATGGAGCGAGATGGATGAGACAACGAGGACAGTTGCGGCGCTTGTCCGAAGTTCGAACTGACGTGTGACGCGTGACATCACGCAGAAGCAGATGCCACTCGCCTTCATTCGTTTTAATCCTGAAACGATCCTCGATTCACAAAGCTCTGAAGCTGAAGCTTCCCCAAGCCAGGGGATAAGTACTCCAGCTGAGCGTGAAATGCATGCTGCTGGGTTGCATCCAGCTTTGCGTGACCACAACAACTAACTCGAAGACTTACACTTGATCATCGCTAGGCTCCGTTTGATTCTTCAGTCGCATAGCTGGTGGCCTCGAGATTGCTCCACGGTCAAATCTATATCATGCCTCCAGTTGCTTCTTGCGCCATGCTAACTATGACTAGCCTGTCTAGCGGCCAGACAGACTGGATCATCTTTCGGCGTCTCAACGTGGTGAGTCCCGCGATACCGTTGCTCCAACACACGGGAGAAACATGACACCAATTCAATGAAATTCCGCGCTCGTGACAACCCAGAAAAGCACGTTGGTCTTCAATAGATTAATGAGAGTTCCTTCTAGCTCGTTCAATGTTTTCACGAATAACCAAAGGCCACAATCATCAGCAACACTGATAAAATGCCCTCGCAGTCACGGCATGTAGAAATAGAGGATGATAGGCATGTTCTGATAATAATTTTATGAATACACCAATACCGATATGCTGCCCTTCATATTAGATAGGAGGATGAGCTTCGTTATGATTCACCGATCCCCACGGTCGGTCAGCTGCGGCAGCATCCCGCGGACCGGAGTCGCTCCTCGCGTCTCTGCCCCTGCCCTTGTGACAGCCGGGGAACAGGTGGAGAAAGAGGGGCATTGCATGCACATGCTCATGCGACAGATCCAGTCCGCCCATGACTTGGCCCTTTGTCCAGTATAAAGAAGCTGTTGACAGCCCTCCAACTTGAAGTTATCTCATCACGGAATGATGACTACCCTGCTTTCGACGTTATCTGCGAATCTGGTTCTCATCTGCGTCGTTTTGCTCTGTCTGGCCCTCCTCCGCTTTTGGGCACGAGCGAAAGACCGACACCTTCCTCCTGGCCCAAATCGACTTCCTATAATCGGCAATGCCCTTCAAGTACCATTCGAGCACCAGGAGCTTACTTTCGCCGAATGGGGGAACAGATTCGGTATGCTTTGCTCGTAGAACCCTTTGCCCGCAGGTATTCAAGTAGAAGCAGGGGATGTCGTCTATGCACGTTTGTTTCAGAAGCACGTCATTGTCCTCAACTCCGTGCACGCTGCTCGTGAGCTGTTGGAGAAGCGTGGTGCGATATATTCGGATAGGCCCCGCTTCGTAATGTATGCCGAACTGTACGTTGCATGCATTATTCCCGATCATCATGATCCGTTATTGATGATGCGCGATGTTTCAGAGCCAAGGCCTACCAGCCGAATATCGTCCTCATGAACTACGGCGATGCTTGGCGTGAACAGCGGAAGTGGTACCAGGCGACTCTTTCGACCAGGGCTGCATTAAACAGCTTCCAGCCAGTTCAGCGGCGAGAGATGGCGCGATTCCTCTCGGAATTGCTTCGAACGCCGAAGGACTTCGCGTTGCACATCAAGAGGTCAGCTCGATCTTTGCGGAGGGCCGAAGATATTCACGTTGGAGGAGCAGATATACTGCCGGCATCTTGTTTGAGGTCAGCTACGGACATACCGTAACGTCCAATGACGACGATTTCGTGGTCAAGGCAGACGAAGTCATGACAGAACTCGCTGAATCTGGTGGAGCCGGCTCGACTTTGGTCGATTTTGCTCCCATATGTAGGCGTTGTCTCATGTTTCTGATATCTTCCCGTCCCCCGTAAGTGGGCTGACCATCCTCCCTTCCAAATATATCAACAGTGCAATATATCCCAGCTTGGATGCCAGGCGCAGGATTCAAACGCAAAGCTTTGGAGCTCAGGCGGTCGACATTTGAGTCCATGAACGTCCCGTTCATGAGAGTCAAAGACGAGATGGTACAGCACTTTTGTTACCTGTGTCACAATTTCTGAACAGACCTAGGCATGTGGTTCCGCGAAACCATCGTATGTGAGTAAGCTGCTCGAGGAAATATCCAACAGTCCTACCCGTGCCGAGGACGAGATTGGTATTAGGGCAGGCGCAGCCGTTATGTATCAAGGTAAGAGCGATGAAAGACATGCGGATCAATTTCTGAGTACACTCTCGCCATCAGCTGGTAACGATACCGTTCGTATTGCTCTCTTACAATTGTGTCGAGGCTCACAGAACAATGTCAGACCGCTACCACGATCACGTCGTTTTTCTTAGCCATGACTTTATTCCCCGATGTCTACCGGAAGGCTCAGGAGGAAATGGACACAATCATCGGTCGTTCACAGCTCCCAACTCATAGTGACAGACCGTCGCTGCCCTACCTAGAGTGTGTATTGAAAGAGACGTTCCGGTACGCCCCTGCTAGTCTCCGCGTTAATGCTCACTATCCATCTTCGTCGTTTTAGCTGGGCAGCTCCCGCTCCTCTTGGTACATAGCATCCAAGGCGGAGCAGAGTGCGTAACTGACCCACTATCCAGGGCTGCCTCATCAAGTCTCTGCTGACGATGAATATCGCGGATATTACATCCCTGGGGGATCTATGATCATAGCGAACATTTGGTAGGCTCTTTCTTCATGCTCATAGTGAGGTACTTCTTATTTATCCGCTAGGGCTATGACGCGAGACCCGGGGATGTTTCCTTCGCCAGAGGTCTTCGACCCAGAACGCTTTCGCGAGACTGCCGAGAATAAGGAAGGCGCGCTCGATCCTTACACATTTATCTTTGGGTTTGGACGGAGGTAGAACATCGCTCCACCTGTGTGCAGTATGTATTGGTGCTCACATCGACTACAGGATCTGCCCTGGTCGTATGCTCGCCGACTCGAGCATCTGGCTAATTGCAGCGAATCTAGTAGCGACGATGGACATCGGAAGGGAACGCAACGAGGCTGGACAGGAAATCATCCCTGTCCCAGAGTACATATATGGGAGCATAAGGTGAGAGTTTGGCCTAGTCATGACTGACATCCGGGCACGAGAAAGCTGACTGTTCAAACGCGTAGGCACCCGAAGCCGTTCCTCTGTAGTATCAAACCTCGACACAGCAAGGTACCTCAGCTGATCTCCCAAGTCCACAGTGATAACAAGTAAGCAATCGAGAGCCGAATTGAAGGGCTTGCAGGTGCTTGTTAAAAGGTTATTAGTTTGAATGGTACGAATATCTTTCGCGATCAGGCGCGCCCGCCGGGCGCCAGCTTTCGAAGGCCTTATGATTTCAACTACCGCTCCTAGAGGTCTTAGGAAAACTGTTATCTGATGCCATTTGCCTCACTCATCATATCTTTTGCACGTCGACATGATGTTTTACGGCGCAGCGCTCAGTGGAAATAGCGGACGGGTTTCCTACAGGATTCCTCGCCTTCCGTTTATAAAGTTGACTCAAACGGGGCAGACTTGGAGTTCATCTAAGCCCCCAGATATGTGAGCATGATGTGGCATCTGACGTTTTCCGGACCATAATGTAAGGAGTTGGCCAGATGCCTAAGCAGGTATTGCCGATATTCATTCTGCAGTGTCGACGCATGGTACAGAAACGTCTCGTGGCGGAATCAAGCGAGCGGGAAATGCAGTGAAACTATCAATCGGTCAAGAGGAGACACGTAACTGGCATGCCATCAGGCATATGCGACGTTGAACTTCCTATGCACTGATACAGCTGTGCTTTTTTCCGTTCTGTTGGACACGCTACACGCGTCAGCGTAGTCTGAACATTCTTCGGTCAAAGCAGCTTTCTGAAAGGACTACCACGATCACATCGGACAAAGACTTCGACCGACAGAACCGCACACGTCGAGCAATTCAATTCACAGCTAGGGAGCCATTCCTGCCAGAAGCAGCTCTCTGAATCAAGGAAGCGCCCTGCGATATCGTTTAGCAACTTCACGGTACGGGTACGTGACGCGCACCTTCAAGTCCCTGAGTGGCCGAAGCAATCCCCGCCCCTCCCGTATCCTCTGATGTTCTCTCACCAGCTGGAAATCCGACAGGAACGTCAAGACTGCCATCCAGTCGTTTTTCATCTCGTGGCTCGCGTCTTGCTGAGCACTGTCGACCGGAGGGGCTGTCTCTTGCGGCTCACTGCCGGCTGGAGCGGCTGCCTCTTGCTGAGCACTATCGATCGGAGCGGCTGTCTCTGTCTGCTCACTTCCAGCTGGAGCAGCTGCCTCTTGCTGTGTGCTGCCGGTTGGAGCAGCTGTCTCTTGCGGTGCGCTGCCAGCTGGAGCAGCGGCCTCTTGTTGGGCACTATCGACCGGAGGCGCTGTCTCTGTCTGCTCACTTCCAGCCGGAGCAGCTGTCTCTTGCTGAGGACTGTCGACCGGAGGGGCTGCCTCTTGTTGTTCACTGCTGGCTGGAACGGCTGCCTCTTGCTGCTCACTGTCCTCCGGGCCTCCCACTTCCTGCTGCTCGCCATCTCCCGCATTCAAGTTCGGGAAGATGCGATCCAGGAACAGCGCTACGTTACGGGGGTCCGCGATCGGGGTGTCTGAAGGCTCGAACGATATCGTTCGCAATCCATGCGACAAGATAGGATACGACTGGCGGAGTGGACGTCGATCCATCGAGAACGAGGGCACGTGGATGGACTCCAGTCGCGAGCAGAAGAGGGCGAAGTGGAGGAGGGACGTGATGTGGGGTTTGTTTGGCCCGACGTCGTACACGAGCCTTAGAGTCGAGATGTACGGCCATGCTTCCGCTGATTCCCGCATGTCTCCGTCGGTGACTGAGAATGACCAGCCCTCCAGGTTGAGGTCGACCGAGTGTAATTGTCGCATCCGGAACAGGGGCTTGATGAGCAAGTTGAACGCCCCTTCATCAGCGTTTCCTGGTCTGCTGGTCTGAATTACGGTGAGGGAGGATAATGATTGTGCGCAGCTGGTTGCGAGAGACATGAAGCATAATCGGAACCCCTCTGTTTCCTGCGCGCTCATGCGCGCTTCCAAGGTTTCGATTCCCGGAAGTGACACGGAAGTGAAGAAGTTGGTGAGCGAAGAAGCGTCGCCGCTCATGCGCAGGGTCTTCACCGCCGCAAGCTGTACAGCCGCTACCGAGCCGCGCATCTCGAGGTTCCAGAGACAGAGCTCTGTGAGACAGGTGAGGGAAGCGAGCATTCCCAGCACGTCCGGGTCAAGTTCATCCTTGAGCGAGAGCTCGACCGCATTCAAACTCTCGCAGACGGAGAACGGGAGCACGGAGGAGGAATGATCGAGTCCCTCGATCCAGAGCTTCTCCAAAGACGCCGCTCTAGCAGAGACTCTCTCAAACAGAAACTTCATCGCGAAATCTGTTCCGTCGCATTGCGCGCCTCTGGGGTGGCCTTGTCCGGCATAGATGAAGTGTAGACTTCGCGTGGTCGACGATACGAACTTCTCTAGACTTGTGTCAAGAGACGAGTGCTGTGTCCAGACGAGATCCTGAAGGAAAGGTAGAAGAGGTGCGCCGTCGTTTCGTTGGCTGATGTGTGCCAACACGGAAGGATGTATCGTCCATGACCGAGACGAGATCTCGGCCGATTTAATGTACTGAGCATAAAGCTTGAATCTGTCCCACTCCTTTGCGGAGATGGGACCACGTAGACACTGTCATTGAGCATGAATCGACTCCACTCGAATTGCTCATACACAAGCGACTCACATACGTCTGCGCCGCTCCTTGGTCCGCATCGGCCGCGATCGGACACAACAGCGCGAACAATTTGAAAAGAGGAAGGACGTCACGCATCTCCCTCCACAGCAATTCCACGGCAAGGAAGAAAAACGTCCGGCTGACTTGTGTGAGCCGAGCCAGATCAGCTACCCGTTGAGCGTCATCGGACGATTCGTCCGTCAAGATCGATACGAGGATGCGTTCCAGGATGCCCTCTGATTGCAATGGCTTGTCTTCGCTCATCGTGGACGAGGAGCGCCCCTACGCGACTTCAGGTAAGCAACGATGGTGCGCTCTTGAGGGCGTTGTAGAGGTCGTAACGAAGTGAAGGATGGCCATGATAGCGCAGACAGTTCCAACGAGCTATGCTGTGTGGACAGTCAGGCATGGAAGCGGCGTGGAGTGATCTGAACTTTACTTGAAGTCGGAAGCAGCCCTGATATCGAGAGCTTTCCCACAAGTCATCGGTCGCAGCGCCCATTTCATTGCATGACAGGCATCCTGGAAACATTTGTCCAAAGCCCCATGCTTACGTTACTATTCAATCAAAGACCTTAGACTGGGAGCTCATGCGGTCCAACAGTGGGAATTACACTCTGTCGATATGGGCACTGGTAGTGAGGGCTTTGAGGAAGCACTTCGCCGACGTCTTTTCACAAACAGTCATTTCTTCTCTGTTAAGGTCCAAAGCGTCGAACAGATCGCACCTTCACATCAGGAGTTTTGTCATTTAATCCGGGATTAAAGTACTATTGTAGCAAATCTCATTGGTCAATTCAAATTTTGTCTGTACTTTTGTCCCGGATTAAATGACAAAACTCCCGATGTGCTTGTTTTTCCAGGTGAGCGTTGGAACTGTCGCGCCGCCAGCTAACACGCATCCCACTAGCACCTGCACCCGCACAGCTCCATGCACAAAAAGCAGGGAGAGAACATGAGAAGCGATCGCACATACGTTCAGCGGCATGCGATCATCACGCGAGCATACAATGGAAGCAGATAAGAAGACGCGCCCCTTCAACGGCCTCAACATTCCAATAAGTATATATACAGAGACGGTACATACTCAGCAGCACTAGTCTGACACCGACAGCGTGCGAACGCGACCATGTGGCGCAATGAGCGCTAGGTCCGATGAATATTGATATTGTCAACTTGACAGGCGCTAGCGGTAGGTACAGAAGATGCTTATCCAATTACGAGAGCTTGCTTGACGGCTTGCCTGAACAGCATGCATCTTCTTCTCAGCTGTTTACGTTCCCGCCGGAGAAGCTGTATGAAATGCATCTTCATTATACCTGTGATACCAGACGCGCGTTCCCGCCGGACGTCGTATGAAATGCGATTTCATTACGCCTGTGGGACCAAACGCACGGCTCCGTGGCGTGGTGTGTATCGCGTCTTGAGCATGCATTCATCAGAGCGCACAGGAATCCGTTCTGACGATATAGACACTGGAACACCCTCCAGTAGCCGTCTCGCCATTTCCACCATCGCCGTCCGAGAACGAGCTCCATCAGGGTATGCGTCGCGAGTGCGCGTGTAACAAAGGAGAAGCGTACGAGTGACCCGCGTGCAGGAGCCGCTCCGTGTGAGAATGCTCGTGGTGACAAGGACACGATGGAGATACTGATAACCACACAAGATGAGGCTGGGGCAGCGTAAGAGCGAAGACTACGAGCAGGACAGGCGGAGCTTGAGTCTGAAGCTGAAGGCTGGCAAGATGGTTTTGAAACTTGTTCAGAGACGTGTGCATGACGTGGGAGCGGCATTGGCGTCCGCTTCCTTTCAGCTGTTGAAGTACGTTCCTGCCGGAGAAGTCGTATGAAATGCGAGTTCATCATGCCTGTCGTACCACGCGCGGCTCCGTGGCGTGGTATCGCGTCTTGAGCACACAAAAGTACAATCACCGAGCGCACGCCCGTCGACCGTTCGGACGATATGGATACTGAAAACCCTCTCAAGCAGCCATCTCGCCATAGCCACCATCGTCCGTCCGAGAACGAGCTCCAACAGGCCATTACATCGCGACCACACGACGAAGAAGCGCACGACCAACCCACATGCAGGAGCCGCTCCGCGTGAGAACGCCCATGGTGACGAGGACACCATGTAGAGAAATAACCACGCAAGATGAGGCTGGGGCACGCGGCGAGCGGTCGAGCCCCAGCTTGACGTGAGGCCGCGCAGGGCGTGACGATGCGATGGCTGTGCAGACTCACAAGGACCATCATCCACACTGAGCGCTGGTGTACAAGGCGCAGTCGCGGAACGGCTCGCGTTTATCGGTCCTTGGAGCTTGACGGCTGAGCGGCTGAGGATGGTAGGCGTTGGCAAGCTACGGCACTTGGAGGATCTATGGACGTTCAGGTGTGCGGTCCCGTAGCTTGCTGTCACCAGGCAGGTAGGCATGAAAGAGAGCGTGGCAGGGCATCGTTATTATTCTGGCTGGGATATCTCCCGATACAAGCAGTGCTGGTCAGCGTGCGTGTCGATCACTGGTCGAGTTACCACTGAGCGCTGGGGTGCAAGCGCAGTTGTTCGCGTCGCGAGAACGTCTCGCGCTTGTCGGTCTTTGGGACGGCTGAGCGGCTGAAGATGGCAGGTGTTGGGAAGCTGCAGCACTTCGGGGACTGACGAGTGTCCAGAAAGCATCCATTGAAGTGCGGTCGCGTAGCCTGCTGCCACCAGGCGGTCAGACACGAACGAGAGCGTGGCAGGTCAACGTTATTATTGTGGCTCGGAGGCTTCCCGGTGCAACCAGTGCTGGTGAGCGTGCGTGTCGATCGATGTTCGAATTGCGATCGATGATGCTGCGCAAGGTGGTACTAGCAGTCGTATGTAGCCAGGCAGGGATACCACTTTATGTGCGTAGGACAGACATCGATCTGATCGACTGGGAATGTGATGTACAGTCCAGAGCGAGTCGCGAGTGAAGCAGAAGCAAAGGTAGAGACGCACCGGCGAAATCGGCCGCCGGTGACCATCGTGGCAGCTGGCACGACCACGCAGAATTGGCGCAGCACAAGTACACACACAAAGCGGGAGATAGCGATCTGCGCGTGTGCGTGCGGGGTGGGAACGCGCGTCTGTGGCGCTGCCGGCGGCAAGCAGTTCCGTTCATCAGGTTCGTGTAGGACACGCGGGGGTAGCAGCGATGCAACTTCCGTGCGCGAGGCTGATCGACTTGGCGGTGGCCCCGTGTGGTTTGGTGGCTTGTTTGCGTGGCGCGAAGAGCTGGGATTTGCTTGACGCACGAGGGTATCAGTCACATTCCGGTTCGCGTTTCAAGCTGTTCGCATGTCAGAAAGGGATATGCGTGTTGCGTTGGGGTGTTGGAGCGGGAGATAGGAATGTTGTAAGCTGGATTGACTGAGGCTGCGGCAAGGAGGGCGGAGACGATCCCGAGGCGGCCGCGTTGCAGCCGTGCAACAGCTGCGGCTCGGAGAGGCTGAATCTCCGGAAGAGAACTATTGCGAAGGGTAATATGAAGTGGTGAGCAGAGCAGGGGGCAGAGCAAAGAGACGAGAGTGTGAGAAGAGGACCGCAGGAGCTAGCTGCAAGTGGAAGGACGGGAGCCACGCCCGAACTAGCGCGCGCGTGTAACTCGAAGTACGGTGCAGAGGCGGAGAGAGGCAAAGTCATGAGAGGTAGCGGGTAGGGGGAATAAGCGGAGATGGTTAGACCGGGTTGGCAGGCTGTGCAATGAAAGAGAGCCTGGCTCACAGATGAGGCGGTGACTCCCATCGATCTGACATCACCGCCCGACCTACCGCCACCGCCCGCGCTCCCGCCCTCGCCAGCACACCGACCACCAACGACGAACGTCCGAAAGAAACACATGCACGGCGTGGGCGGTGCTCCCGGCCGGCGGTTGCTGAGGGCGCGCCGACACCAGCGTCGGAGCCGGCGCTCGTCCGAGGCCGCGGTGTGAAATGAGGCGCAGCGCCACCCAGGCCGATGATGCCGCTGACTAATTAGGCGGCCCCGTTCCGGGCTGTTCCATTTTGGTTCGATAGCATCGATAGCATTCAGGCTGCAGCTGCAGCCTCGCCTGCCCCGTCTCTCCCTTGCCTCTCGTCTCTCCTTCTCTGCTCTGTTAAAGTGCCCCCTCCTCCACCCGCTGTCCTTTCCCTGTGCTTGTCTCTGCGGACGACGACGACGACCACCGCCTACGCTACCACTGCCGACGCCTGAGAACAAGCGCACCCTCCAAGCACCGCATACACCGCCGAGCTCACTGCCTCGCGCCGCGCACACTGGGTCGCACAGCCGCGTCGCCTACCCCGCCTAGCATACCAGGGGCACCTTCCTCCTCGCCACCCGCAGCCCCCTACCCCACTCCACCCATGTCCTCACAAAACGCCGTACGTAGCCGCTGGCCACCTCCGTCTCCAGCCTGCGCATTGCTCACGCAGTCCCGCGCCGCAGATCCGGAGAAAGCTCGTCATCGTCGGTGATGGTGCGCCCGCTCTGCCTTCTCTGACTCGTCCACACGCAGCTGACGGTTGCCTAATTTGTCCTCTCTCCTCGAATGGCTGTGCCGCGTTTGTGCCACTCGTTCTTCCAGGCGCCTGCGGCAAGACGTCGCTCCTATGCTCCTTTGCCCTCGGCGAGTTTCCCAAGGAATACGTGCGTATCGCCCTTTCCTTGCCTCTGGCATTCTCGCCCCTTCGTTTCCCGTCCTCTCCCCTTCCGCAGCCCTGTGTTCTATTTTCGTCCACCGACCCTTTCGTCACCCTTCTGTCCTTGCTCCATGTTCCTGGATGTGCGGGAGCGGTATGACATCTATACTGACGTGCGCCTTCTGTCCTTTGCCGCATGCAGCAACCAAGTGAGTAGGCCACGTTCCTTGCATCCGGACACCGCTGATAACATCCGCATCTCATCAACGCATCGTCTTCAATAATTCCGCACGGCCCTGTAGCGATCTTCGAGAACTATGTCGCGGAGATCAGACTAGATGGAAAACCCGTACAGCTCGCATTATGGGATACCGCGTACGTGCTCCATGCCCATCTCACACTAGTTGCCTTAGGCTGACACTGCCCGTCACGGCACGCAGCGGCCAAGAAGAATACGAGGTACGCTTTGAGGATCCTTGCCAGCTGCGAGCCCGGGCTCATTAGACGTCTTTCTTCCCTTCCTCCGACTGTTCGCTCCGCACGCACGTTCGTTCCTTGTGTTCTTCGCTCGTACCTGAAAATGGCCGAATCTGCTATCTCCGCCGTCGCTTGCCCTGTTCGCCTGCTGGCTTGCGCTTGCGCTTAATTCAATAAATGATCTTACCTCGCTTGACCGGCAAACCGTCGCCGTGGGCAATTGCGTCACTCGTCGTCATGCTTGTGTTTGGCTTGTTTTCGCTTCGCTTGATGCGCGGTCTTCTGGCGTCGGTCTGGCGGTCCGTGCGTTCTTCATCTTCGTGCTCCGCCGCGCTTGTCTTGTGCTTGTGCCTCGACCTGTGATTCGTGCCTTGCAACCCTCCTTGCGACTGTGCTCGCTGGCACCTTCCTTGCGTGATGTGCTTGGTTGGGTGGATAGCGTTTACGGCCAATGTCCTACTCCAAGTCGCATGTCATCCTGATCGCGTTCGCGATTGATACGCCGGACTCGTTGGAAAATGTCACTGTAAAGGTGCGTGTCCTATTACACTGTGGTGCGACGGCAGTGCTGAGCGGGTCGCACGTATGAGTAGTGGATAGAGGAAGTACGTTCGATCTGTGGGCCTACGATCCCGGTTCTTCTCGTCGGCTGCAAATCAGATCTGCGACCACCAGAAGGTACATCCACCTCTCATCCTCTGCAAAAACCTCGCTCAATTGTTGACTGGATGTGAATGCCCAGGCTCACCGTCCGCGCAACAATTCGTGACGCGCGCGGAGGCGGAGCGCGTGGCGCAGCTGATCGGGGCGCGTGCGTACAAGGAGTGCAGCGCGCTGAAGATTGAGGGGGTGGATGATGTGTTTGAGGCGGCGACGCGGGCGAGCATGCTCATGCGGGAGGGGGTGCCGGCGCATGTGCCGAGTGCGGGGCATGAGCGGCGGGGGAGCCGCGGTGCGAATAGTTGGGAGGGGAATAAGTGTTGTGTTATTTGTTGAGTGTGGTGGTGTGGTGTGGTGGGGAGGGGGGGTATGTGATATGATATGCTTAGGATTGGATTGGATGTGGTGCTTAGAGGCCGGGCTGGGTGGGTGAGGATGAGGATGAGGATGGGACGGAGAGGGCCGCGATGCTCGTCGTCAGTGCCTTTTTGCTTCTCAAGCATAAGTATCATCCGTGCTGATGCGCAGTACAGGTCCCGCCGTCCGTCCGTCCATCCATTAGTGGAGGAGTGCGCCTGGCCCAGCCGGCCGTGTATGTATGCCGGCGCAGCTAGGTAGTTGTTGATCGTTGGTATTATTTTTCCGCATCTGCATCTATGCTACGTACGCACGCCTTGTTCATTTATCGACTCGTTTTATCACACGTAACACGTAACACGTATGGACACCTGCTTGTCTGGTTCTGATATGTTTATCGCTCGCTCGCTCGGAGTCGTTCGTTTGCTCGTTCGTGTCGTGGACGTTGTGCTGTGCTCGTGTTTGTTTGAATTTCACTGTCTCTTACTCTCAGTGTGGTTTGATTTGTGATGATGATGATGCCGATGATGCCGAGGAGGGTTGTCGTTGAACGTTGAGGCGGTGGTGTCGTTCGTTGAGGATTGTATGCGATTTTGGTTGGTAAAGTGATGTTGTGTGTATTTGAAGGAAGAGGGCGCGACGTTACCGGTGACGCGTGACGGTGCGCATGGAAGTTGCGAGTCGATGATGGAAAGGGAAAAACTCCTCCGAGGCTGCAACGGCGTAGCATCAAGTTCAACGTTGCAATTTTGAAGCTCAAGCTCGAGCTCCAGAGCATCAATTATAAGAATGGACGCATCGTTTCAGGATAATAACGATGTATAGGACGTTTGAACTGATGTCATACGCGTGATGTTACGCGTATGTTCGAAATTCGGACAAGCGCAAGTTGCGCAACTCTCGCGACACGTTGTCTCGAGTCCATCTCGTTCGTTAAGCTTCGTCAACTTCAGTATCGAGTCATAGGGTCCTCCAATGGCAACGCAAAGAGTTCTACAAGCGTATGATATCCTCGAGCTCATCTTCCTTTCGATCCGAGATGGTACCCGCAAAGGTGACCTGGCTCGTGCCGCACGGGTTTGTAAAGCATTCTTTCTGCCAGCAGTGAAGCTGCTCTGGGAGCGGATGTATGACCTCCTGCCTCTCTTCAAGATCTTTGAGGGGTTGCATCCGACTGAGGGAGGCTTCTCTCATAGGAAAGAGCTCGCATATGTGAGTTTGAAAGCACTAGTTGCGATTGAATTGTTCTGAGCCAGGGTTCCAACAGTGTTTCTGTAGGCCCATCTCTCCGCAAGAATGGACACGATACAAACTATATTCCCAATGCATCAAATCTGCTTTCTTTTCTCGCCAGAAGTGGACTATCCATCCATCTGCGCTGGAGTATATGAGCAAGACGAATGGTGGAGCCCCTCTTCTACCCGCTGTTCAGCATTTTGAATGGGAGCAGATATCACCACTGGACTTCAGCATGAACAAATTCACCTCATCGATGATGCGGGTGTTCGCATTCAAGTACCTCGGAGAAGAGCTATCACATGGATCCAGTATGACCACGGACAACGCAATGGAGTTCCACATGAAGCTGCTATTTGATGACCTCTCTGTCAAAGCCCATTCTCTGGAGGAGATCACAATATATGGAATCGACCAGCTCTCCTCCTTGCTCTCATTCTCTATTTGTAACAGATTACGCAAGGTCCATCTCACTATTGAATCTACACTCGATCCAGCCGTGTTGACAATGTTCGCTTCATTCAAATCCCTCACACAGCTTACCTGGGTGGTTTCAATATGGGTCACTCAACGTCTTTCGTACACTTGGTTGCTTTGAAGCACCTGCACCTATCTAGTGATGTCAATTCTCTCACCCACTTCTTCAACTCTGTGCTACTCCCGGGAATCCAATCATTAGGAGTTGCGCTACCTCTGGCGGAAGACCTTGACAGCTCTTGTGCTTTATTCGCATCAATCGCAGATCGATGCACAGAAACATTATCCGTGCTGGAAATCTACAATCACGATGGCAATTCGGCGCCTGGTACAGATGGGGCATTCATCACACTCGTCAAACCTTTATTCAGAATGCGACATCTGCATTCAGTAGAGTTGCATCTAGATGAGTGGTCGTTTCCGCTGTCAGATCAGGATATGCGGGAATTAGCAGAGGCATGGCCAAAGCTTTCAGCGATAGATATCATATACGATTCTGGTTGGCTTCGCGAAGCCCATCTCCACTCTCTAATATACTTTGCGACACTCTGCCCACAGCTGAGGTCCATTCGTATTACCTCACTCTTGACGGATCCACTCCCAGACCTCGATCCATATCCCATTCCATCTCACGGCCTCCAATCGATCTCGTTTGAACATCTCACGGATAGGATCACGAATCCTGGCGGGGTCGCATTGTTTTTGGATCGCATCTTCCCAAACATAGATGTGGCCGAATGCGAGTGGATTGTTGGGGAAGAGTTTTCTGAGGACTGGCAGGAAGTGTTGACACATCTGTCTCGTTTCCAGCTGGTAAGAAGCCAGCAGGATATTCGAGCAGGTCGGGCTTGAGTTCGCTCGTGCAGGTGAGCATCATGCAATGTTTCTGCGGTTAGAAGGGTTATTGAGTCACGCCGCCGGCCGCAGTTCAAAGGGCGTGGAGGACACGAACACCTCGTCAATGCATCGCTTCGGCGATCTTGGCCTTGCTGAAAGTCTCCTCGGACGCACTGATTTTTTCCGGTTCTACGACTTCTCTATCATGCGAATCCTCCCGTGAGACTGTGTTGGGTGTTGAACCTGGGACGTAGACGTCTGTGAAAGCACATCATGCAAAGATGTACTCCGAGATGTCACGCGTGTCCGATAATAACTGGACGGCTCTATAGCTGCTTTCAGGCCGTAACAAATGCAATGTGGTTGTTTGATGGAAGCTTCTCAACGTACCAAACGCTACCCATTCGACCCAAAATCTTTCAGCGATATACGTTTTTGGTACTGTGCAAATCCATGCTGACGCAGCACTGAGCGCTGAACTTGAGTGAGGCAGATGGCATCAAATATAAATTGACCTAAGACTTCCAGGAGCAAAAGGTGAGACGAGGAAAGCGCGACCAAAAGTTCGCGTCCAGGGCGCGCCTAATCGCGAGAAATATTCGTACAATTCGAACAGATAGCCGTTTATTAGGCATGTACAAGCCATTAAATCCTGCTTCCGGTCCCTCACTTGGTCTCGCTGCTGACTTGGAAGATCAGCTGAGATACCTTGCTGTGTCGAGGTTTGATGCTACAAAGGAACGGCTTCGGGTGCCTACGCGTTTAAATGGTCAGGACTCAGCTTTTTTGGTCACAAATGACTTCTCAAGGCTAGATCCCGGGTATAAATTCTGGGACAGGGATGATATCCTGTCCTGCTTCGTTGCGTTCCCTTCCGATATCCATGGTCGCTACTAAACTCGCTGCAATTAGCCAGACACTCGAGACGGCGAGCATACGGCCAGGGGAGACCCTGGGCCCGTGATCAAAAGGAGATGCTGTGCGTACTTACCGCCTTTTACGCAAAATGATTCCGAATACTTGGGACACTGTTTTCGTTCCACGGGCGAGTGACCGATGTAAGACAAGCATTTAGACACCGAGATCTCTACAAGCCAACTTGCCCCAATTCCTTGGCTCCAAGAGTTCCATGCAATGGTTGCGCGGAACATGCAGACTGAAATTATGCTAGTTGATTCAAAAGGAACCCGTTGTACACGACGATCAAGAGGTCTACGATGCGAACTCGAGATTAAGCAAAAGCAGACGCGGCGAGGTGAAATGATGTGGTCGTGGGTGGCCTACGCTGATCAGATATTCCTAATCCTGCCTCAGAAAATGTAACAGCAAGGCGACCGCCCAATCTGCGCTCGCCCGTTGTGACGCGCGTGACCGTAGCATCACGCTGTGTATAGACATGAGTCCCCCCCCTTACATCCAGACTGGCTGACGGACAAACTCGAGACTGCACCCGTGCTGCTTTTTCCTCGGACCTAGAGTACGACTGGATGCGCTAAGATGTCATGTCTGTCGACAAGCTTTCCACGACTGCTTGGAACTTCCGTTGTAGGTGGTGAAACATCCCTGCAAGTCCATTCAAGCAACCTCTAGTATTATATCCGGAGGGGCGACGACGGAGCCAATCAGCTTGGCACACACCCTGTGCTGTCTGAGCTATCTCTACAAAGCTATGCATTACCCATGCTTGTCAGCGCTCCTTTATCGATGCCCATGGCTGCATCGTTCATGGCCAGTTCTGCAGCTATGTGAAGTCACGCTGAATGCATATGTGCTCATTTTCGTTGGACGCTAGAGACCGCAGCTGTGTATTTATTGAACCATCCTGCAATGCACGTTGTCAACTGCATCAAAATGAGGCAATTACTCTCGAGGGATACACGACACCATCGCAAGCCATAGTTGCTGAGTTGCTGATTGGGAGTAATGGCTGACACCCACGCTCGAGAGAACATAGGACAAAGATAAGAGGAAGTGTGCCTTCGGTATATTCCATTCCACTCGCCCCAGTCGAATATCTCGGTTGCTTACAGCAGAGGACGTGTCCGAAGGCGTTAACTATCACGCAGATCTTCAGACCATAGGACTACGTCGCCGCTGAGATCTTCACTGCCGCGTACATATGCCATGCTTCAGGACATCGCATAGTTAAGTAAGCACCATGGCGTTTCTGGCACATGCACGTCCCATGGCTGATAGCATTGTTCAGGATGATAAGATACTGTGGCCTATCGCTCAGCCTCTTACCTTACATTTTAACAAGCGAAAGTGCTTCGCAACTTCGAAAGATACGGGGAACCTTGGCAGATGTGCATACCCCTGATATGGACTCATCTTCTGTATCGCGGCTCCAGTATGTGGAGTCGCTCAGCGCTTTCATCCCTTTATCTACTGCTAGTTCCAAGACGCTCATGTTCTCATTCTTATAACCGCCTTTCTCAATCCCTTCATGCAGTCCTTGGAGTACAGAAAGAAGGGCACTCTGGATGGTAGCTCTGGGAAGAACGGAGCCCTCCATGTCTCCGTCGTCTCTGAAAAAGCGGATACAGGCGCTCTCCTGGTCGCCGGCATCGCTGCGGATGTTGATCCGAAGGAGGCACTTCGCGTACGGCGGAAGATCGACTGGCACATTATGCCGCTGATGTGCAGTGAGTCATTCAGTTTAATCGTATCTATGGCTTTTAATGAGCCCGTATAACATAGCAATTTACTGGGTCCAGTATATGGACAAGCTGACTTTAGGCAATGCTGCAATTCTGGGGCTCAAGTGAGTGTAGGTCAACAATTGGTGAGATCCGCTGTGGAGCTCCGCCGTACAGGGCGGATATCCATCTGACCACCAATGAGTGCGTCGCTCCTCTGTCCTCTATCCGCTTACTCTCACGCTTTCAAAGATACAATTGGTGCGTCCTCTTTGCAAGTTCAATCCCAGCCGTTCCGAATGGACATCGTCACAGGCTGGGAACCATATTCTATATTAGCTATCTGATTTTTGAATATCCGCAAAACCTTGCCTTACAACGATTGCCGGTTGGCAAATGGCTCAGGTACTTCTTCCGCGTCTGCTTCCACATCGAGATTGCCACTCGCTTACACTGTCCATCACGCTTGTATAGCGTGAACATATTTGTATGGGGAACTGCCATGTGCTGCCACGCCGCATGTAAGGACTTCCGAGGGCTCTTCGCCTGTCGCTTCGTCCTCGGCTTGTGCGAAGGCTCGATCACCGCAGGCTTCATGGTCGTCACTTCTATGTTCTACACCCGAACAGAACAGACGCTCCGCGTTGGCTACTGGTGTAAGTGCCTCGTCCGTTCTAGATGAATCGCTCTTGACGAACACGATTGTATCTCCACTGTGTGCAACTCAAATGAAATGGACAGTCATGATGAATGGTACCGGTATGTCAGTTTCAAGTCATCAAGCACTCAGTCTTGACACGTTCTGGACAGCTCAGATCATCCTCGGTCTAGTCAGTTTCGGTTCTTTGCACACGCACACGAAGAACTTCCATCCCTGGCAATGGTCAGTCGGGTGCTGTCCGTAACCCTTAACTCCGCTGGGAAATGACACGGCTTGGCAGGCTTGTTGTCATAACTGGAGCAATTACTCTGAGTACTGCCTGTGCGTTCTGGTACGTCGCATGTCATGAATTACAGTAAAGACGAAGTTCACGATTGGTAGGATCATGTTCCCGGACTCGCCCACCAATGCATGGTTTCTTACCCATGAAGAACGCATTATAGCCGTGCAACGTCTCAAAGTATGGAAGCGAAATAGCCTGCTCATACTCCTATTGAGCTCGTTTTAACGTACCTGCTGCAGACAAATCAGACCGGCGTGGAGAACAAGCATTTCAAGAAAGAACAGTGCGTCCTGCGACTTATACGCCTTGAGTTTCGAGTGCCTCATGCTTTCCCCTCTGACCTTTCCACAGGTTCTACGAGGCGCTGACAGACCTAAAGACGTGGCTGTTCTTCTTGTTCTCTGCTCTGGACAATGTTCCGAATAGCCTTACTAACCAGACGCAAATCATCATGGACTCCTTCGGCTTCACGAACGAGGAGACGACGCTCTTCGCCCTTGTCAGCGGCACCATTGAATTGATTACCATATCGTCCGGCGTGCAGCTTGCTTCTCGGCTCAAGGACGCGCGAGCGTACGTTGGGTTCTGTTGGTACTTGCCGACATTATTGGGGATCTTACTGGTCAACCTGCTACCTTGGACTGACAAGGTCGGGCTGCTTTGTGGTCAAGAATTAACCAGTACACTGTCTTCTATGCAGTTCGGCTTATATCAATGCTTACACCATCTTCTGACAGATATCAATGTCACGGCGTTCGTGCTGTCTCTATCTTGGTTGACCAATGTCACAGCAGGCCATACAAAGAAAGTCACGTCCAATGCCATTATGTTGATCGGCTATTGCGTAGGCAACTCCGCTGGGCCATTCATCTGGCAGGCACAATATGAACCCCGGTGAGTACGAATCGTGTCGTCAGGGAAAGGCACTCACTGATCAGTGCGGCGCGTACAGGAACCATGTTCCTTGGGCTGTCATAGGCATCTGTTACGTATGCTGCATGTTTATTCTGCTCATCATCCGGTTCCTTCTGGCGCGAGAAAACAGACGTCGAGATATGGAGGAACGTGACACGACTTACGACGACGTTTACATCGAGGTTCTCCTACCGGACGGCACGCACGTGGAGAAGAAGGTAGAAAAGGTGCGTAATTCTGTCTATTGCCGTACTACGATGCACAAACTGGTTCGTTAACTCGCCATTGTTGCTTCGCAGGAGTACTTAGACTTGACAGATAAACAAAACCGGGATTTCAGATACGCGTTGTAGAGGTCGAGTTGACAATGCACAATCTCACTCGCATGTGAAGGCGTCCTTGGCAGGTCTATATCCCGGACCACTGCTTCAAGTGTCACTTTCGAGTCATCGTATTGCTCTCGTCGGAAAAATGGGGTAAAATTTCCTCCGACGTATGTCGGCCGTGATAAATAAGACATAGATCATCATTCTTCCTATCAATACAGTGGTGCGTAAACGTGCATACCACCAATATATCCCTCGCCAGGAGATATTGCAGATGGACTCTCACTTAACAATCACTACAGCATGCTCGGTAGCAGAACACAACGCCATTAGAAAGCTCACGCGGATGCAGTTGCAGTCGCTGTTACAGTCTGGCCCTGATCGTTGATTTCGGGTACAGCAGCAAAGTCGGTCGCGATGCCGAACACCGCGTTGAACGCGTCCGCCTGTGCACCGGTACCGATAGCTGCAGAGCTAGCCGCGGATGCGGCAGTCTGGCAGGTCGTTTTCGCGAGGTTGTTCGCGCCGCAGGCGTCATCGACCTGTTGACAGATGAAGCTGGTGATGACCGCGATACCATCTGCTGAGCCTGACGAATGGGTTAGACTCTGCAGTGATCGATATAGCGCATATTTGCGGCACTCACCATGATTGTACGAGCTTAGGTCGGCAGGACGGAACGAGGCCTCTGTGCAGCCATCGAACCCATCGCCGAACTCAATTTCAGCCACAGAGCAGGAACAGAAGTCACCAATCTGAGCCACCGCCGAAGTCGAGCTCGTTGAGGCTGCAAAAGCCGTAGTATTAGCAGTAGCGGACGCTGAGGTGGTCTAGAGCCGTTCATATAAGTTGAGTATCAAGAAGAAATAACATGCAAACACTCACAGCAGCAGCGGCAGTGGTGGCGCTCGAGCTCGTCGAAACGCGGCAGCCATGAAGGAACCAGCAGGGGCAGAATTCGTCACACCAGTGTTACTGACCTCGGGGACGGACGCGAAGTCTGTGGTGATACCGAAGACGGCATTGAACGCATCAGCTTGTGCTCCAGATCCCGACGGGGCCGAGCTGGCCGCCGCTGCTGCTGACGGACATGTCGTCTTAGCAAGCTCGTTGGCACCGCAGGTGTTCGTGAGAGCATCACACATGAACTGTGTGATGATGGCGACGTTCTGTGCGGACCCTACAACATCGAATAATCAGTACATTGAGATGATAAGGTTAGCAGAAGTTGATGCCAATGATCGTACGATGTCTGATTGACCGGCTGGAACGATGTCTCCTTCCGTCCGTCAAAGCCAGTATCGAACTCGATCTCCAGAACGCTACAGGTCCCGAAACCTCCAATCTGAGAAGTTGTCGTGGTCGTACTCGCAGACGCTGCGGAGGCCGTCGAGTAGACAAGTGGTCTCTTGCAATCAATGAACTCGACGATGCAATATCATCATTGTATACCGCGGCAGCGCTGGAGGTCTCGTGTACTGTTACAGTGACGGCCTTTGGTAATGCATCAGCGGTATGTCCTTCCACTTTGGTGAGACTGCCATACAGCACAAGTGGACGTCTCGTCACAAGCGTTGGGGTCGTACACGCGCGCAGCGGGGTGGGATAGATCCTGAGAGGACGAGCAACTGCCTGCCAGTTGGATAATGCCAGCAGTAAAACAGCAAATTTACAATATGTGAATAAACTGCGCCTAGGTCAGGCATATTGTTTCCTCCAAGTATTTCCGGGGTGAGTTAGTGGCATATATTGCCTTACGTCGATGCATCTTCTTCCGTCTACTTATATAATCAGAATTGTTCTTCGCACGCGAAAAACGAGCGCTAGATCCCAACTTCACTTCGTTGCAGTTACTCGAAGCACGCACTTACACAATGCTGTCCAATCTGCTCGGTTTCTTCTCATCTTATCGTGCCCACCATAACTCCTTCATCCTAATTATCGGATCGTCCAGAGTGGAGTGTATTCACCTCGTCCCGGAGGAGCCTGGAGTTGTGGAGATGTTTGGCTCATATTCGGGCCGCACTGATCGTCCCCCACCCCTCCCACGGACGATCACATCCATCCAATCCCGCGAGCCACTGGGCGAGCTCGAGGTCAGGGTCACTGAGGGCGAGTCCCTATTCGCCGCTCTTGAACGACTTCGTGATTACGTCAAGAAGGCCTACAACGCGTGCTCAACAATCATTGGGGATGACAAGGCGACGGGGGTTGATGCGGACGAGTTGAGGTTGGATCAGTGCAAGCATGCACTGATCCAAGGATTCCGTTCCCTGGTTGAGGAAGGACATAACAAGAGTACCACAGGCGCTCTCCCAGCGAAATACATGGTTGAACTGGCACGTATTTCGAGGTCGAGACCTGGATGTATCTGGGACGAATCGATGCTGACGAGTTTTCCGCATTGAGTACCTTTCTTGTTCCATGATGATTATTGAATACATTGAGGACCGCATATGTACGTCATCGTGGATATGCACTTGACTGCTTTATGTTTTTGTTACGTTACCATTATGATTTTCACTATGGCCTACTATGAGAACTCGTTGCACACTTTGTATGCCCGGCGTTCTTCTGTATATTCCAATAGGTACTCAACTGACTACGATGACAGGCTATGCCGAAGGTGTCGGACAATTTCGGGAGTCCTCCTACTGGTTTCCCTCCACGGGAAAGGAAAGATAAAGTATGGAACTGTTATGTATTTTTCCCGACTGCCATAGGAAGCAGTCTCCGGGCACACCTGAATGCAAAGTATCCCAGACGTTGCAGTTGGCAGAAATAAGCGTCAAAATCGAAATTCGGGTACCTTGGAGTCTCCTGACCGCATCTAATCGAAATTGCCCATCGTGCCGGCACCAGCGAAATTTGTTGGGTTCGTGATGCCCGTTACTTCTGGCTTTTGAGCTGGATGATATCAGCTTAAGGGTGGATCGCATAAAGAGAAGGAGAGTCCTCACTCACAAGAAGAAATTTCTTGCTCGAAAGTCCATGTGCAGTCATCATCCATACCCTGAGCGTATCTTTCGACATCCACGAGGGCCTTCCAGCGTGCAAGTTCTGCCTCTACGTTAGTCATCATCTCTCCACATTCCCTTTCCAGCACTTTCTCCAGAACCTCCAGAGGCTCTGCTCGCCAATATGACCGATGGCCACCAGAGAGCCTAGCTGCGACGTATTCGAAATAAGTAGGGACTACATTTGCGTATTCCCAGTCAAGAAGGCTGACGATGGTGAGTGTATTCAGATCTACAAGGATATTGCGATCGGATAGATCTCCATGTGTAAGAACGAAGCGATCCGTCTTGACGAGCCTGCATTGCTGCTCGCGCAAAGATTCCGCGCGATGCGCGTCCACCACGTGGCCACAATCGCTCGCTCCCGTGATCCATTCCACTCCTCCACATTAGAACAGAAGTCATGGGCCGAAAAGCCGAGCTCTTTTGGGAGAACGTAGGGCTTGCGACCCGGTCGTCCAGCGTACTCGAACGAGGGCCTTCGCATCGCAAGCAAAGCATCACATAGCTGATTCTTGATAGTCGTTCGCTGTGTTGCGGAGAGATCATTCCACAAAGCACTAAGAGGGATTCCTTGCACGTAGTCCAAAAGAATCGCGCTGATATTGGGAGGTATCTGTATGAAAGCATGCACTCTCAGGACTGTGAGGGTGTCTTCAAGTACATAGCGAGCGAGGACTGTCATTTGGGCTTCACCCTCGCTGCCGCCGACTTTGAGCAGAAGCCCGTCGGGGGCACGATAGAAGTGGTTACCGATGATGGGAATGGTAGAGCCTTCGAGACGAATGAAGTCCTTACGCGTATGTGGCGGTGACTCCCATGTCTCGTTGACGAGTTCAGGCTCCCAATCAGCGCTCACGAACGTATGAATATCCTTTGATATGTCGTCCGGAGTGGACTGTCAGTTAAATGGTCAATTCTTCTGATAGTCCGCTAAAGTAGCATGAAGGCCATACCGAAAGTAGAACCATGTTAAGAACGATGCCGTCTACAGGCTTTACAATATGAAAATCTACTGCATACATAGATCAGCGTTATAAAGGGTAGGATAAATTTGTTTGGAAGTCCATACGAAGTGTGAAACGATTTGACCGTCTTTGCAATTCGCAAACGGTTCATGCAGTCTGCTTCGTCAGGAATGAGGAACGATTGATGACCCGGAGGCTCTGTGGGAGGGAGAGCAAGCACACTGTCGGTGACCGCATGCGTGACCAAGGTTACGTAATGGATCGCGCCTATCAGTCATACCTGGTCCCGCTCGCTAACCGTAGCCCCTCCATTCTAATCAGCTACGAAAGGCTATGTACTAAAATTCGGAACCTCGAGAACCTTCTGGATGAAACAATAGACGAAAAGGAAGGTATCGGAGATGAACACTCTGGACGCCCTGGTCCGATTGTACGGTACGTACCTGGCAAAACCTCTTTACTTGCAAACCAGAAAAGATGTTTCCACAAGTGATGTGTCATCCATTGAAGCAAATGGTGTTGTTCGTCACAACAATAGTAATTCATGCTGCAGCGCGAGACGAGAGCAATCATGTAGTCTTAGCAACTGCTAGACTAGCAAGAGCAAAAGCCATGTCAGTCGCATCATGCATGGGGTGGCGCGATAAGACCTCGGCGCGGTGCCAACCTGCTCGCCAACCGTGAAACCAGAACACCTCTGAGAGTCAGAATGGAGGAATATTCTGATTCTGACAGGCCTGGCGCGGTCGATCAGATTATGTGCGCAGCATAGTGGGCGCTGGCTTAATCGAGCTATAATCTCCAAAGCGACTCTGGAGGTGCTTCCACGCCCATAATCGCATCCTCTACGATTTTGCTGATGCAGTCGAACTTGAAGTTATCTGCTCGGCGTTCGCAGCGACAAACGTCACCAGGAAGCGGCGGCGATGCGACGGAAGACGGTGAACGAGTGCAGCGTTCTTTCAGCTTCTCATGCAGTGCGAGTGTCTTCCGCCTGTCGAGCTGAGGTCGCAAGCGAGTCTAGTCAATAAAGAGGTTACGTACGGTTTGTATAGTAAGAAGATCAATATCCAGCATCTATTCAAATATGATGATACGCAACGGCGATTCGGGGTGGTTAACGTATTGACCAGGCGATTATGCGCCAGTCGTGGCGCGATATAATCGACCCAGAATCTCTCAAAATCGGTGCAATAATCATCACAGACTCGAATTCATCGATGTCACTGACCTTGGCTATTTTCAGGCAGTGTACGCTGAAATGCAGCCAGGTTGCCGATCCATCCTGTAGCGGTCGTGGCAAGCCTTGGCGCGACAGCATTTGTATATTCTGATTGATCTACCGATAGAAGATCACTATGTGTCACGCTTTACGCTCTGCCGTATCACACGCTAAATTATAGAACAATCAAACTTGCAGGTGCACAATCGACTCAGACTCGCTGTGAGAATGGTCGCAGAATGGTCCGTATTGGCCTCTCCTGATTTTATGTTGTGACGTTTCGGGTACGAAAATGCGTTGACTGAAATTCGGCCAACAGGACCCTAAATTATGCGGTTTGCGATGAATCTAGGAGAATCTCGACTTGATTATCGACGTGCTGCAGCAATAACACCCGGCCTTCAATCATGATTGCGCGCTCACATATTTCCGTCGCACCTTCTTTCGCATCTTTCCATGATACAGTCGGACTCGAAATCCATAGCATGGAATGCCCCGGGCTCGCCAGTCGGAAATGCAGATATAAAATGTGAGGCCGAGGCTTTGAGGAACCTTAGTTCCCGAACACTCTTAACTCCCAAAGCCAACTTCGATGTCCAGCACGCTTTCGCTCGTCCTTTTCAAGCAGTCCTCACTGTTTCCTCAGGATACTGCTCATTGGGCCTTGTGCGTCGCTTTAACATCCAAAAAAAAAATTTCATGTTGACAGTGTACCCGAACTACTTCTTTATAGGTTCCTTGCGCAAAATGGTGCACCTACTGGGACGCTCTTCCGTGTCTCCAAAGAGTCTTTAATTGGCAGGACCAACTACCCGGGGCCAATCGTTGACCAAAAACCCACCGATTCTTCGTCTCTCCGTTCCGTTGTGATCATCAAGAGCGGGAGTAATATCACCGACGCCGCTTTGCACACGGCGTGCCTCGCAGCTGCTCAGGGTCGACCGTTTGACCTTATCGTGAACAATTGTCAGAGATTCTGCACCGAGGTGTTGGTTAGGCTGGTCAATGCCGCATACATCTCGCAAGCAGAATTTGATGCTTTGGCGTCGAAGGGCTTCACACCGCTCGTCTGAACGGAGTACGCAACTGGGAATACGAAGGCCAAGGTGGGTGTTATTCGCTATGGTTGTACCTGCTTATCGATAAACATATGTATCTTCTTCGCAACACAGTTCCGGCCGTTTGATCACCATCCGACAACCTTTGTTCACGTTGCTGGGGAACATGCTGCTGTTTTGTGTATATCTATCGCCTTTCCGCATGTTTTGATCGTCTATCCCGGGGAGTCCGATATGCAATTGTTTTTGACCAATTTATATTATACCGCCACCGGCGGTCGAAGACGAGTTGTACATGGGTACAAGGCATCACGAAAGCTCATAATATGGCTTACGACACTTTTATCCATTTGCTGTCACCAAAAAAAAGACAGGAAGTTCAAGAAAGCATCAGCACCTACTTGTCTTAAAGTCTCCTCCGGATTTGAAGCTCCTTATCGTGCGCTTATTGGCTTGTGCGACCCACAGCCAGCAAGAACAAGTCAAAAAGGACGTGCTCGAGCTACAAGTCAATTGGATTTTGTCTGACCTTGAAGCGTAGCATAGGACTAGTGAAGTACTAGGGGTGTAAGTATGCACAGATGGTTTAATCTCCAATAGATATGTATCTATCCCGGGTCAAGGACCGCGAGTGCTTAAGTGAAAAGCTTGCTGTACTAAACATCGCATTCGTCAAGCAAGCGGCCGATGTCGGACCAAGCCGTTCTGTGGCGCAAGACGGTGTTAGCGACAAGGGCTTGTACAGGCGGCCGTGCTCTCGTCATCTATGAAATGTCTATAAAAGGAGCCTACGTACCGTCTATGACCGGTGAGCAGGTGGACGACGCGGCATTCCGTAGACCTGGGGACTCGGGAGACGATTTGCCGGGAAGAAAGGGTGTGGTTTGAATGCAGGCTCGATCGATACTAATGATCGCGAAACCTCCGATATGCAATATCAAGCGGGCATTGGGAGCAATTGTCTTCACTCTAGTAGATCTTCTGTGCATAGCAGAATCACATCCGTGGAGTAACTTGCTTAATTATGAATCACAAACCCAAATTGACGCGGGGGCAGTGCAAATATGTTTCAGTAAAAAATGAGAAAAGTCCGCTTTTCAACATCATTTTCACTTCGTCCGCTTTGTGGACTTCTGAAGTGTTTTTTTTTTCAGGTTGTCTCAATAGAGTTCTGAGCGGTATGACTGGCTCTCGAGCAGTGTGGAATGAGTTCAACTTCGAGCAACCTTGTACAACATAAGAACATTTTCACGAACGACTCGACTCGTTCATGAAATCCAATCTTATTAATAAGATCGATCGAAGCTACGATGATGTTCTCACGGCTTATTTGTTCTTCATGCGGGCTGGCCAAAATTACATTTACGACCCAGACAAGCCTTTTCGACTCTTTTCAACCACCTGAAGTGACCTGTTTTGATGCCACGTCTAAGGACCCATGCCCACATGGTTTAGCCTCTCATGGAAAAGCAAGAGATGTCGATTAGGATAGGCATGCAGTGTACGATCTAACTTCACGGCCAGTTCCACAGCTATGTGAACTCGCGTTGAAAGCGTATGTGCTAATTTTCATTGAACGCTAGAAAGCGCAGCTGTAGCCGTATCGAACAACCCTACAGCGCGCCTCGTCACTGCATCAAAATGGTGCAATCACTCTCGAAGAATATACGACGCCATTGCGGGCCATAGTTGCTAATTGGAAGTAATGGCTGACATCCATGCTCGAGAAAACCTGGAACAAAGATCAGAGAAGCGTGCTCTCGGTATCTTTCAATCCACTCGCCCCAGTTGAGTGTCTTCCTTGCTTACAGCAGACTCGGAGGACGTGTCCGAAAGTATCAGCTATCACGCAGACCTTTAGACGATTCGGAGGACTACGTCGACGTCGACGGAACATTGCCGTGTACGCATGCATCAGGAAAACTCAAATCCGGCTTTTATCCACTTCGTGTCGCAAAAAAAGACAGCAAGTCCAAGAAAGTTCTATCACTTTGTCACGAATCACAGCGAAGATGAAATTCACGATTGGGTAGGGTCATGTTCTCGGACTCGCCCACCAACGCATGGTTTATTACCCATGAAGCACCCATTATTTCCGTGCAACGTCTCAAAGTATGGAAACGAAATGGCGTTCATATGTAATTCTATTGAGCTAGTTCTAACGTACGTGGAGAACAAGCGTTTCAAGAAAGAGCAGTGTGCCCTGCGACTTATACGCCTTGAGTTGAGAATGCCTCATGCTTTCCTCCTCTGATATTTCCACAGGCTCTACGAGGCGCTGACAGATCTAAAGACATGGCTGTTTTTCTTGTTCTGTGCTCTGGACAATGTTCCGAATAGCTTGACTAGTCGGACGCAAATCATATGGACTCCTTCGGCTTCGCGAACGAGGAGACGACGCTCTTCGCCTTGTCAGCAGCATCATTGAGCTGGTTACCATATTTTCCGGCGTGCAACTTGATTCTCGGCTGAGGGACGCGCGAGCGTACGTCCGGTTCTTTTGGTACTTGCTGATACTACTGGGGATCTTACTGGTCAGTCTGCTTTGTTGTCAAGAATTAACCAGTACATTATTTTATGTGCAGGTCGGGGCTATATCAGTGCTTACACCATCTTCTAATAGATATTAATGTCACGGCGTTCGTGCTGTCGCTATCTTGGTTGACCAATGTCACAGCAGGCCATACAAAGAAAGTCACGTCCAACGCCATAACGTTGATTGGCTATTGCGTAGGCAACTCCGCAGGGCCATTCACATGGCAAGAACAATACGAGCTCCGGTGAGTACGAATAATGTCGTCAAGGAAACGCACTCACTGATCAGACCATGTTGCTTGGGCTGTCATCGGCATCTGTTATGTATGTTGCATGTTTATTCTGCTCATCATCCGGTTCCTTCTGGCGCGGGAAAACAGACGTCGAGATATGGAGGAACGTGACACGATTTACGACGACGTTTCCATCGAAGTTCTCCTACCGGACGGCACGCACGTAGAGAAGAAGGTAGAAAAGGTGCGTCAGGTTCCCTGTTGCCGCGGTACGATGCACATATTGGTTCGTTGACTCGCCATTGTTGCTCCACAGGAGTACTTAGACTTGACAGACAAACAAAATCGTGATTTCAGGTACGCGTCCATTTGACAATGCACAATCTTATTCGCATGCGAGGGCGTCCTTAACAGGTCGATATCCCGGACCACTGCTTTAAGTGTCGCTTTCGAATCATCATATTATTCTCGTCGAAAAAATGGGATAATACGGCGGCCGAGCTGATTTTTCCATCAACTTCTCTCCGACTTCAATGTGTCAATCCGTAGTCTTCATCCTGTTTGTTCTAAAATTTCCTCGGACGTATGTCAGCCGTGATAAATAAGACACAGATCGTCATTCTATCAATACAGTGGTGCGAAAATGTGCATACCACCAATCCATCCCTCGCCAGGAGATATTGCAGATGGACTCTCACTTAACAATCACTACAGCATGCTCGGTAGCAGAACACAACGCCATTAGAAAGCTCACGCGGATGCAGTTGCAGTCGCTGTTACAGTCTGGCCCTGATCGTTGATTTCGGGTACAGCAGCAAAGTCGGTCGCGATGCCGAACACCGCGTTGAACGCGTCCGCCTGTGCACCGGTACCGACAGCTGCAGAGCTAGCCGCGGATGCGGCAGTCTGGCAGGTCGTTTTCGCGAGGTCGTTCGCGCCGCAGGCGTCATCGACCTGTTGACAGATGAAGCTGGTGATAACCGCGATACCATCTGCTGAGCCTGATGAACAGGTCAGAATCTGCGATGATCGATATCATATAGTTGCGATACTCACCATGATTGTACGAGCTTAGGTCGGCAGGACGGAATGAGGTCTCTGTGCGGCCATCGAACCCATCGCCGAACTCAATTTCAGGCACAGAGCAGGAGCCGAAGTCACCAATCTGAGCCGCTGTTGAAGTTGAGCTCGATGAGGCTGCAGAAGCCGTAGTAGTAGCAGTAGCGGACGCTGACGTGGTCTAGAGCCCGTTCATATGAGTTGAGATCATGAAGGAATAAAACACAAACACTCACAGCGGCATCGGCGGCCGCCGCGGCGGTCGAGCTCATCGAAGCAGCGGCAGCCGTGGAGGTACCAGCAGAGGCAGAAATCGTCACGCCAGTGTTACTGACCTCGGGGACGGACGCGAAGTCGGTGGTGATCCCGAAGACAGCATTGAATGCATCAGCTTGTGCGCCAGTGCCGGCAGCAGCGGAGCTGGCTGCTTCAGCTGCGGTTGCACATGTTGACTTGGCGAGCGCATTCGCTCCGCACGTGTTAGTGAGGGCATCGCACATGAACGAGGTGATGACGGCGATAGCGTCAGCAGAGCCTAGTACTATGTATCAGTACAACAGGAGGCATCCACTTTCGGACAAGACGCACCATGGTTGTACGAGGTCTGGTTCACTGGCTGGAACGCGGTTTCAGTCCGTCCGTCAAAACCAGTACCGAACTCAATCTCAGGAATGGAGCATGAACCGAAGTCGCCAATCTGGGAAGCAGACAGAGTCGATGACGCCGCGGCGGCACTGCTGGTGGCAGTAGAACTGGCGCTGACAGCCTGCAGTGCATCCATTAGCATGACGAGTCATTCAGTCTTACGATTGGACTTACAGCAACGTTGGTGAGCGCGCTGGTAGCAGCAGAAGTGGTGGCCGCCACAGACGAAGCTGCCGCCACATTGACACTCACCGTTGCTGTTACTGTCACTGTCACGGTAGGGACCTGCGTTTATGGATCAGTGACTTGACGTTCCGCAGTTGCAGACATGCATAACATACAGCGCAGGTGGCCGTGTCGCTATCAGTGGTGCTGACAATCTGCAGCACGGCGGATATCAGCAAGATTAAATGTCCTACTGAATGCATGGAGCTCACCGCAACATTGGTAACCGTCGTAGAGGTAGCAGAAGACGCGGAGGCTGCGGCTGCAGTGGCAGTGGACGTCAGCGTCACTCCTTGGTCGCTGACCTCCGGAATTGCAGCGAAGTCAGTGGTGATACCGAAGACGGCATTGAACGCATCAGCTTGTGCTCCAGATCCCGACGGAGCCGAGCTGGCTGCTGCTGCTGCTGACGCGCACGTCGTCTTAGCAAGCTCATTGGCACCGCAGGTGTTCGTGAGAGCATCACACATGAACTGCGTGATGATGGCGATGTTCTGTGCGGACCCTAGAACGATGAATAATCAGTACATTGAGACGATAAGGTTAGCAGAAGTTGATACCATGATCGTACGATGTCTGATTGACCGGCTGGAACGATGTTTCCTTCCGTCCGTCAAAACCAGTACCGAACTCGATCTCCGGAACGCTGCAGGACCCGAAATCTCCAATCTGAGAAGTGGTCGTGGTCGTACTCGCAGACACTGCGGAAGCCGTCAAGGTAGAGGAGGCGACAGCCTAAACAAGTGGCGTCAATCGACGAACTCTATCCAATGTGATTGTTGCATACCGTGGCAGCACCGGAGGTCTCGTCTACTGTTACAGTGACAATCTTTGCTCATATATCAGTGGCACAGCCTTCCACTTTTGTAAGACGGCCATACAGCACAAGTGGACGTATCGCCACGAGCGTTGAGATCATACGCGCGCGGAGCCGGGGTGGGGTAGATTCTGAGAGGACGAGCGATAGCCTGCTTGGACAAGGCCAGCAGCGAGAGAGTGAAGAGAGCAACAGTCGGCTTCGAGAACATCTCGCAAAGGATTGGATTTACAAATGAAGGTGATGCTGGCCCGCGCGCACTGTAGTTGAAACGAAGGTGACTCCTGGTCAAAAAAGAAGGGACGGTCGTTCAACGACACGGGAGAGAATGACACCCAGGGGAAAGAAAAGAATCCGGAAAGTAGAGATTGCATACTGCATGACGTGCAGCTTTTATGTTCTCCAGAAGACATGAAGGGACATCCAAACCGTTCCTTGGCAACGACCATTACGGTCACCATAACAGAGTAGATCATAGATCAGAGGATTCCGCCTGTCGTGTGCCTGGCATACATACGGGCGTTGCTGCATTGCATCGACGGTTGTCCAGAGAACCAGGTTGCTTCTGAATGGTTGCTAGGTTCTGCCTTGAGATTTAAACTCCTTGTTAGAAGTACGTTGTGCGCTATGGTGAAGTCCGGGGGTTTCGCGAACGTTGTTCCAAGCATGCTCGCTCAGTGGCGTGCCGTATGTTGGAAAGTTGCTCGGAATAGAATCGTACTGAATGATTTATTGCTAGCTCCAGAGGGATATGATGACCGGGCCGTCTGGAGTCCTGAATGTCATAGTAGCGAGAACCCGTGCACGAGTCTCGAACTGATTTCCTTGTAGACGATGCCATAGTAATCGCATGATCATAAATGCACGTCGGGAACGAGGACGCGAGTGCCATGTGGGAGCGAATGGCGAAGATTCGTCAATAGTCAAAGTTCGAACGAATGGGGTTGGGCACATCATGTCTTGTCAATGTAGAAAATTCATGCTCTTGTCCCTCCCGAGGCAGCTGAGGGCCATGGTCCATAGTTGTTCGAAAAGCAAGTAGCTGGCGGACGTAATGAAACGGAGCTTTTGGTTGATGGTGTATCATATATGGTGATTAATCTCTTTATGAAAGAAATTGTTGTCCGATATGGTGTAGTGGCTAACATTATCGCCTCTCACGCGATAGCCCGGGGTTCGATTCCCCGTGTCGGAAGGTTTTGTGTTTATCGACGGTGTTTCGTGGCCTCAAAGCTTTTGTAAGTCTTCTTTTTGTTGGGTATCAGAAAAGGTTCCATATTGCTGTTGAACAGGTGCACAGCTACGATTATACATGTGTCCTGACCAGTTACATGAAGTCATATATAAGTATACCTGGCTTCTCATGATCGTAGAATGCTTCGCGTTTGCTCTACGTTTGCTCCGACTTCAGCATCCGGCTGGAACTCATATAGTAAGCTTACTGTCCTCATTGCAAACTCACGTACGCTGTTCAGTATCAGGGCAGGTCTAATCCATTCAATCAACGTTAATCTGCGAGATGAGCTTGACCGCGTTCTTCGATCGCGGACGGATATCGCAGACGAAGGGCCTAGGATGACTAGTCTTGTTCTTGAAGCTGTTCAAACGAGAGATCACAGAAGTTCGTACCTAATTGTTCCAGATGCGAAGGAGATGACAGGCTCGATCTCCTTCCCTGAGACGTCTCGGGCCTTGTGGATACTGAAGATCGCGAGGATGTTGGCGACGGCGAGCCAGATGCTCTCGTCGCCGAATTGCCGGCCGGCACACAGTCTGACATGAGGTGTTCAGCAATGGATCACCCGATAGATACAAGAACAAGATTCACCGCCGACCGAAGCCAAACACTATGTTGTATGGGTCGCGTGTTGCTGCGTCTGCAGGGCTCATCTCGAGGAAGCGTTCCGGACGGAACGCATCTGGCTCGAAATACATGTTCGGGTCTCGTGTCATCGCCCTGTTAGCAATCCTCAGCCTGAACTTTATAGTAGATGTGATCATGACGTACCAGATGTTGGCCATCACCATGGACTCTCCAGGGATGTGGTATCCCCTATATTCGTCATCTTCCATGAGCTGGTGGGGTAGACCTGAGGTGATTGTTCAGCTCTTAATGCGTGCTACGCATGTGATAGACACATCATCGAACCTAGAGGTGCTGGAGGATTCCACCTGACATATGCATAGTCAAGTTGACGGCCAGCGGAACACGGCGCATGATTGATTGAAACATACCGATACACCTCCCTGAGAAGGCAGTCTACGTATGGAAGGGACTCTCTATCCTCGAACTCTGGCAAGCGACTGTTGCCTATAACACGGTCGATTTCTTCTTGCGCTTTGCTGCATGCTTCCGGGAACAACGTCATAGCCAGCACGAACGATTTCAAGCTTGTTGCGGTCTATCACACGCAAGGTTCAGTATAACCGTCAATCTGACAGAGCAATGATCGCCTACAGTATCGGTTCCGGCTGATAGAGCAAGTCAGTTAGTTAGTGGCTTGCTTTCAGCTGTATGAAATGTCCTACCTCCATACACAATATTGGCGGCACCTTTCACCTCGTCTCTCATTTCAGGTGACATATCTCCATCCTTTGACATCTCCTCAATCAGTGACGATAGGAACGACGGCTTTGCTGTCCCAAGGACCTTCCAGGAGTACGTCAGGTCATCTGTGACGAAATCTCGTGTCCCGACATACCATCGCCTCCTTCACTTTCTCGTACGGCGTGTCAATCATTCGCTGTACCAGTTTCCTGACTTCATACGCTCTCTTTTTGAAACCGCCTCCTGGCATCCATTCTGGAATGTACCGCACTAATGTGAACAGAGACCGTCCTGTTAGAAGCCCTGATGTGAAATGAACAGGGAGGCGTGCTTACAAAACGGAAAGAAGTCCACCAGTGTCGCAGCTGCACTCCCCGCTTCAACTGTTCCTGCCAAGGCGGCTTCCGACAAGTTGATGAACTCGTCATCCGCAGAGGTGACGCTGTGCCCATAGGCAATCTCCATCATGAGCGCGCCGACATACCTATGCCACGTTGTAATCAGCCACGAAGGCGTGGTCATCGACAAAACCGTCATCACGCTATTACCTCTTGAGATGCGAGAAGTGGTCTTCTGGAGTTTGAAGCATTGAGTGTAAAAGACGATTCGTCTCCCTGCGCTGAATCGGCTTATAGCTGTCCAGAGCGACCTTCGTTTGTAAGGCTGTCTGAATCCATTTGCGCTGCAGCTTCCATCTATCGCCATACGGGAGAATCGTCACGTTATGTGTAAATCCGATCCTGTGTCGAGTAATCACGAATGAGCACTCTTCGCGTCTCCGCGTGATCTCACGCTCTCACATCTCGGTGATTAGGATGAAACGCGGCCTGTCGGAGTACTTGGCCCCTCCCTTTTCAAGCAGGTCTTGTGCGGCTTGAGCGGAATTCAAGATCAACAAGGGTTTCCGGAACAGCTTAGCATAAATGACATCGCCTGCAAGAGGCCGCTGCAACGTCAGAAGGAGACCGTTATAGCGAGTCATTGTGCATCATACCATACTGCTTTGTCCAGTCAGCGAATGCTCTCTGTTGATACTCCAACGGGACTTGATGAACGTTCCCTAGAACCGGAAGGGGTTTCGGGCCAGGAGGTAGACGGTTGTGCTTGCCGTTCGTCCATGGAGCATAACGGAGCACAACTAGTACGGCGAGCAGAACGACACTAATGATCGCGCCCATCTTCAAAGATGTGGCAATATCTGGCAGGCGGGCTTAAGATGATGTGCTGGATGCTCGCTATAGCGTCTATGGTGCCTTTTATCGCACTAGCACGCTAACAGGCTTCACATTATCCGTCACATCGAAAAAGCGCTGATGAGAGTCGATGGAATGTTCCTGTGTACCTGACGTGCGATCTAGACGCTTCCGCGAGCTCCGATGGCTCGCGGAGAATCGATCTTCAAGATTGATACCTTGCGAATGTGAAAGTGTGAAGAAGTTTAATTTTCGCGGAATGCGACCTACATAGTATGATGGTGCTGTAAACTGCCGTCCATGCTGCTCAGAGCTCTGGCGGAAGATCGAGAGGCTGCAGAGTTTGCAATAACATTCTGTCAAATGAGAAAATCTAACTTACAACGAAGAAGAGCGGAGTGTGGTCTCAATGACTTGGAGCGGTAGTTTTACCTGGAGTCATCTTCGGAAGTCTGATGGTGTGGATGTCCGCCTGTGCCGCATGCTGTTCACAAGGCACCGTCCGTATATAGCTACTTAAGGTGGCCAGATCTGGCATATCGCGACTGTAACAGAGGGTATGCATTACAAGCAATCGAGCTTTTAGGCGAAGTTCCGACGCGGTTGCGCTCAACCGTTGAGTGGCGAACACGTAACGCCTGTGACACACGCGTGACGTCACGCGTTTTCGCTTCGTAATTTTTGATATTCAAAGACTACTGCTTTCACATGGTCGCGTCAACCTATAAAGCATGTAATACGGTCACCAGCAGTGCATTTGAGCCAATTCCCGTACAGATTTTCGTTGAAGTCTACAAGATCCGACAATGAGACTATGCAGTGTACAATCAGGCTTACTTTCAGTATGCAGGCAGATAAATTATTCCTTCGATCAATCAGCACATATAGACTCATGCCTCACTCCGGTCCATCCCATCGTCATCTCTTTGAGATAGCAGCTGCGCCACCTTTTCAGATCGCAGTCTGATGTTGCATACGAACGGATTGGGGCGCCTTAAATGCTTTATGAGCGCGCCATCGAACCCTCGCCCAGCCTGCATCCTACCTGACGGTTGCGGGTGAGAACGATTCCATGGGATCTATCTCGTCTCCAGATGAGGTGCGATCCTTCGAGATATCCATTGCGGCCACCATCGCTGCGGCCACTAACCAACAGCTCGAATCAGCAAGGAAACGGCCAGGGCAGATCCTATCGCGCAGTTGAGGAATGCAAGTACATCATACCTAGCAGTGACTCGCACCTTCGTCCAAAACCGAATATATATTTGCGTGGATCGGTCAAGTCATCTGTATCCGGGAGACTTGGGTGGAAGCGATCATTGTCGAAAGCATCAGCTTCAGTATATATCTCTGGATCTCGCGACATAGCCCTATGGGGTCATGAAGAGGAGAGAACACAGTGATTGGTGCGAAAACTCCTACCAGATGTTTGCGATAACTATGGATTTTCCAGGTATGAGATAATTGCGGTATTGGTCGCCTTTTAAGACCGCATGCGGTAGGCCTGAAGTCTCATGGTCGAGTATCTGAACCGGTTGACCAATGTTCTGACTTATCGAGAGGCCCGGGGCAAGACCATCTGCATTCAAGATAAATTCAGGACTGGGAAACCGAGTAGGTGCGAGAACATACCGATACACTTCTTTCAGAACACACTCTAAGTAGGGCAGCACGAGCCTATCGTCCAGATTCGGCAACCGCGAGCGTCCAACGACGGCATCCATTTCTATCTGAGCCTTCCGGTACACATCTGGGTACAAGACCATCGCTAAGATGAATGAATTCATGACAGGGAGGCGGACGATGTTATTCTCATAACTTGGCGTGCTGACTGCTCTTACCTTCGTACATCAAGGCAGCACTAGCTTTGATCCTGCGCTCATCTTCGACGTTCGTTGCGAGTTCAGAAGTCTCCTCTAGGATCCGCCGTACGAACGAGGTCTTAGCAGTACCAGATGACTACAGATGTGTTATGTGCGATCAAAAAAGCATGAAGCGTTGACGCACCATTGCAGTCTTGACACGCTCGAAAGGCAGGTTCACAACTTCTTCTGCCGCACGTCTCAGTTTCAAGGCCTTGCGCTTGAATCCCGCTCCCGGCATCCCGGACGGAATGTACTGGACTGCAATCCGCATAGCCCGAGTATCAATCATAGTATATCTCGGAAAGAAGAAAAGCTCACGAATTGGGAACAAATCTGCCAAGGAAGAGCCTGCACCGCCGAGGTCTAGGGTCCCCGATATCGTCTCGTGCGACATACGAATGAACGTGCCATCCGAGGATGTCGCCGTTATTCCATATAGAATTTCCATCAAGACACTCGCTACGTATCTATACCGTGAGGGTCAGCATCTCCGCGAGCTATTAACAAGTCTACATGCTTGCTGATGTGCTCTGCGAAGTTTTCTGGGGCTTGAATCAAGTCCGAAAGCATCGAACGGACTTCGCGTTGCTGCAGCGGCCGATAACTCTCAAGAGTACTTCGTGCCTGAACCGTTGTCTGCGCCCACTTGCGTTGTCGTCGCCATTCATCGCCATAAGGCATGAGGCTGTAGTTTGGATGGAAGATTCTCACTCTGCGGATGTGTGAGCTAATCAATTGTATGATGCGCGGACTGGCTCAGGGCTTACAACTCAGCGAGTATGACAAAGCGAGGACGATCTGAGTAGATGGTGCCGCGCTTCTCCATCAGCTCCTGTGCCACTCGTAGCGTATTCAATATCACGACATTCTGATGAAAGAAGCGCGCGTAGACGATCTCCCCTGATTGTGCTTCAATACAAGCTGGCTGATATGATAACGCAAAGAACGCACCGTATTTACGAGCCCACGTGGTGAACGTATAGTACTGATATTGAGAAGGAACCCGATGTGCATTCCCTAGCAGAGGAAGTCTTGCAGGACCCGGAGGCATTCGGAGACTGCGCTTTCGCTTGTTGGCGACGGTTACGACGACATACACGAACGTGAAGCACAAGAAGATGGCAAGGCATATACTTTGCTCGCGGCCTGCAGCCATATCCGTCGTAGAAGGTAGAGACAGATAAGGTCCCGCTGCTTTTCAATATATAGTGAGAGAGAGTGTGGGACGTACCTAAGAGCGCTCTTGCGGCGAATCATGTACGGTGATATCAGGAAAACTCAAATCCACTCGAAGCTCGAGAACCTCCTCTTTAACTCCTTCTCGCTGGTTTTGGCTTTTACAAGTTACAAGAGAATAAGCACGCGCTAAGAAGCTCTCAACTTAAAAAGTCCAAACAAGCTTAAGGTCATGAGACTTTCTCGGACTTGTTGTATCATAAGCCGCATTTGAGTTTTCCTGATAGTCTTGGTTCGGATAGGGTCCCGCCTCATGAACTTGTGACTTGACTATGGAAAGAGCATCGTGGTAAGACGAACCTGGTAAATGTGGAACAATATAGAATCAGAAGTTAGATTCTTCGTCCGTCCCGACATGAATGTTAAAAGATTCACCGGCAAATCCGGTGGAAGCGAAGGTGCTTGAATAGAAGGCTAGAAAGTTCCACTTGGAGTTCCAGCTTCCGAGTATCAGCGGGCCTGTGGTGAGCGACTTGGAACATCGATTGCTTTGAATGGAAGCCATGCTCGTACCTCCGATTCTCACTGCCATGTTGAAAAGCAGAAACTGCCACCATCAAATAGAAAGTGGGAAGCCTATGATCACCTGACGTGGGCGAACACTTGTGCAGATTGAGACGTTGCTGGAGAAGTAAGCATCTATGTCGCTGCAGCATCGGCATCAAGGCATGCAAAACGTTGAATACGGCATCACAGGCTGTCGTAGCGTGAACCAACAATAGCACTTCGCAGCAGCGCTCGACACGATAGGGCCTAAAGTGTCACTGACGATCAAGTACTAACCCTTATGGCATATTCCGTTCGATAACCACTGAAGCCAGCATTGAATGATAGCACCGCCAATCTCGGTGCCACATTGTGAGTCACGTCTGTCATCGAAGCGCGCTTTTCTATCTGCGAAATAAGGCTCATGATTACTGAGTTCGGGCGACCGACGCTGAGAATAGCGAATTCTCACGCTGTCAGTCATATCGATGTTAAAGTCACTCACGGAGAGGCAAATCGGTCGAGAAAAGTCATTCCGTACATCTCTGACTGGGATCCTCTCAACGTTTTCAGTCGAGTCCTGGCTCTTACAAAAACGGTCCTGCCGTAACGCACCATGAGCTTAAGAGGCTACGTCTATACCTGCATGAACGATCACGTTTGCACAACGAGACGGCTTTTGCAACGCTATTAAATTGATCCATTAGTGCTTCAAATGAACAGGCTGACGATAACTTGACCACGAGAATACTCACCACAAGGAAACTGATCCCCGACGGGTTCTCGGCCCTGCTTTCGTACCGCTAGAGCACAAGCCCTCCTTCTGTTTCATGAAGCAGGCGTATGCACTGTTCGTATAGGAAGAGAAAGCCATCTTTCATGTTGACGGCATTAATTTTCGTTGCTTTGGCCACGATGGTTAAGATGGATGTAAAGTCCGCATCAAGGCTGTGTTCGGAGGCCGCATAACTAACACCAGCACAATTAACACCAGCAACTAGCCTTAAAGCTTAAAAGCTTAACCAGTCAACACAGCTCAGACTCGTGCACACGGTGCATCACGTTCAAGACTTAGCGCTGCGGAGTCAGGACTGATAATTGCTGCCGAGGGTAGCTTTTCCGTGCAGTTCACGGCGACTTGATGTCAAGGAGTGCGCGTCATGATGGAGCTTCGCAAACATTTCAAGCCGACCATCTCATCCAATTAAATTTAAAGGAGACGACGGCCAATGATGATGATCAATAGTTCTGCAATGTTTAGCCTGGGATCCGATATGGGGCTAACATTATCGCCTCTCACGCGATAGCCCGGAGTTCGATTCCCCGTGTCGGAATATTCTACGAATTGTTTTGCTTGACTGTCACGATGTGTTACGCCCGTCCCGGATACCTTGATGGAGCGTTCCCTCGGGTTTGCGAGCGAAATTGTTGATCTCCTTTGGCATTGGCCGTTGCGGCCTCCGGTTTCTTTTTTTCTTTCAGAAAGAGATGGCACTAGAATCGAGCGCAGCATACAAAGCGCACAACCAAGAGCCACTACTAGTACACCAGTCAGAGCGAGACATAAGATCCCAGCAATTGCTTTGGCCCGCTTGACGATCACCTGTCGCACTCTCAGGACTCGAAGTGAGAGCCAGAACGTGTCATCGAGCTTGTGCAATTGATGTTAGCTCCTATAGCTTGGATTCTTACAATTAGAGGCAACTTCTCAGTATGACAGTGAAAATGCGGCATGCCAAAGGCGACCATTCTGCTGTGATATGAGTGATGATTGCCAACTTGATGGTCGGACAGCAAGCCAGAGCTCAAACGGCCAACCACGACACTTCGCCTGCCAATGGTATCAACCGAGCGACCAAATTTCGGACCTTCACATATAATACACCGCGAAGTACTTTTTACATCGAAAGGAAATACTGAGCTTCTGAGACGAGCTGAATCGTGAATGCATGTGTTTAGGCTGACCTGGCTTCAGCGAGGATCAAGTCAGCAGCATGCTTAGTTCTAGGACGGATGTCACATTTGAAAGGCTTCGGGTGCCTGCACATTGTTCAGAGGAGCTCGTCGAAGAAATTAAAGGCGGGAATACATACTTGACTGTCCCTGACACAAAGTCAGCTGGTGGCATAATCTCCTTTCCGGACGAGTCATGAGCCCTGCGGATGTTCAATGTCGCTACCATACTTGCGAACGCCAGCCAGACACTTGCGTCTGCGAGGAAACGACCAGGGCAGATCCTACAAGAGTGGCATTAAGTATCATGTAGCGAACACCTTTGCACTTGCATCGCTTACCGGCGTCCGAAACCGAAAATGATCATGCGTGGATCGACAGGATCATTATTATCTCCGCGGAGTTTCTCAAATCTCTCGGGACGGAAGGATTCAGGATCAGGGAACATCTCCTCATCCCGTGTCATAGCCCTTGGTTCGCATTAAAATGATATCCTCGTGATTGTGTCATTGAGGTACGTACCATATGTTCGGCACAACCATGGCGCCACCTGGCATGCGATAGCCGCGGTACTCATCATCTTCCATAAGCCGGTGAGGCAACGCTAGAATCACATCAGTAACTCCGTCCATCCAGTTTGAGTATCACACCTATTAGACTCACATAGGGGCACAGCGGCACTCCATCTGATGCACGCCTTATCAATCGCTATTCGCTCATAGAGAAACGAACGTATTTACCTGTAGACTTCTTTCAAGACAGATTCTAGGTATGGTAGCAATGCTCGGTCGTCGTGGTTGGGAAGCCGTGTGTTGCCGATGACAGCGTCCATCTCAGCTTGCGCTTTCGCAAAAACTTCCGGATTGCAGACCATGGCCAGTACGAATGCAGTCATGGTAGTAACTGTCTGCGCTGTGGATCAGAATTGACCATTGAGGGATATCTCCGAATTTACCGTATCTGTGCCCGCTACAAAAGCACATGATTTATTAGTACTGTTCACAATTCACCAAAATTCGAGCTTACCTCCGTACAGAAGCGCTGCAGCGCCCTTGAGTTCGAATTCATCCTCTTCCGTGGGCTCTGCTATCTCTTCGAGGATGTTTCTAACGAAAGAGGGCTTGGCAATGCCCGCAGCCTATGTAGCCAAATGAGAATTATATGACTAAATATGACTAAAAGCGCAACTGCCGGCGCACCATATCCTCCTTGACCTTAGAGAAGGCAATGGTCCGCGCATGTTCACCCATGGCCTGGATCTTTAAAGCATTGCGCTTGAAGCCTGCCCCCGGCATCCACGTCGGCAAATATTTGACTATCGAGAACGATCAATATCTTGAAAGCATTACGCTGTGAGAAAAGCCACGCTTACGGATCGGGAAGAAATCCACTATCGTAGAACCTGCTCCGCCGGTCTCAAAGACGCCTGTGCTCACTTTCTCTGCCATATCCACATATTCGTCGTCGAGATAGCCATAGCCTATCTCGAGTAGCACAGCACCGGCATACCTGCAGATGACTGGCATTGGTAAATCCACATTTTATGAACATCGCATCATAACTACCGGTTGATATGAGCAACAAACTCCTTCGGCGTCTTAAGCATGCTTTGAAGGAATATCTTGGCCTCCCGTTCTTGCACAGGTTGAAAGGCATTGAGGGACACTCTAGCTTGCAAAGATCCCTGATACCACTTGCGATGGCGGCGCCATCGGTCCCCGTATGGCATAAGGGAAAAGTTAGGATGGAAGGAATAGACACTGGATCGCATCTGAGATACAAGTACCGCGAGCATCTTTCGAACACTCACAGCTCGCAGAACATTACAAAGCGTGGCCTATCAGAGTATATGAAGCCCCGCTTCTCTAACAGATCGCGTGCCGCCCGAAGGGAGTTGAGGACTATGATCTCCTTCTGCAAGATGCGAAGGTAAAGTACATCCCCTAAGGTACGTCAGCGTTGAATCCATTGAGAAATAACGAACTAAGTCTTGCTCACCGTATCGTCGAGCCCATCGAGCGAATGTCTCCTCTTGGAAGTCAAAAGGCACCTGATGCGCGTTTCCAATGATGGGAAGACGGGGTGGACCTGGAGGAAGAGGTAAAGCATGCTTAGGAGACACATAGCCGTGATACAAGAGAAGGATGGCAATCAGCACAAGTGCTGCGCACAAAATGTAGAGCTGCGACTCCATGTCGCTCTCCCATACAATGTGCAGGGTTGGAGATGCAAGGCCCTGTTCTCTATTTATATCAGTATGCTGTAAACCGCATCCGTCGAATAGTAAATCGGAGCTCAAAGGAGTGCCCTTTGCCAATTGGTGGAACAAATAATGTCCATACGAGTACAACGGTGACTCCACATGACATATCGCATATCAGAATGACCTCAAGAATCAAGGCGCATGCATCTGGCAGAGAAGCTATGAGACGCTCCAGGAAGCATCGGCGGTATTGGAGCTCCTCTGGAGTGGGAATAATAGGAGGGTGAATCGGAGCAGCTGACGTGCTCTTCGCGGAAGTTGGAACGCGCATTGGCTATACCTTTGTCCTTGAAGTTCTTCGCGTGGAGAACTTCGAATGCTGAAAGCGGAATGCAAAGCTTGACAGCGAAAGAGTATTACAACCGAACAGGTGTAACAAGCTGCGCAATGTCAATATCGACGTCCGAAGCGGCAGAAGACAAACACATATAATCACTAACTGCCCAGAGCCACAAGGGAGTTTAAACTTTGTTTGATCACCCTGAGACGACGTTATCTTTAAGTCTGTTACGCTGCAAGGATCGCGTTACTCACTCATTATTTGTGTATCATAGTATGAGTACCACACCAAAGACATGAGGTCTGGAAACGCACTTGGTCGCGATAGCACGAGTTTGACAGCGACGTCACGGTTCTTACCCTGGGGATGACCTTGGACGCATATTAAGTGTCAATAGTCTGACATTCAATGTGCCGTATCGCAAACCCGACTCGCTCGAAAATTATTACTAGCGATCCAGCTTATGTTCGTTCACGGTTCACCCAATATTTCTCTCGCCCTTCTTGTTCGTGAGCAGTAAATGAATGCCAGAGCATCTTCTAGCGTCACGATTAGGGTGGATTGGGACTCTGAAAGTTCAACGTTCAAGGACCAGAGGGCGCTCAAACCATGGGCTTGAGAGAAGCCTTCGCTGCGCGTGACCGAAAACGAACGTGCGTCTGTGACAACACGTAAGGACCAACGTCCGACTCCTGATTTCCCATTGCCCTCAGGTACCTCCCTCGAATCCGAGTGCTGTGCTCGCACGCTACGTATTTTCTGCCTCTTCAAACAATACAGTCCGCCTTCACTACGCCCCTAGATCTGGCTTGTATTTTCCCCGTTCATATCTAGCCTTGTCTCGGAGTCTGAAACAATTGTGACATGTGGTATGCTCAGCATCACTGTCCGTTTAATTATCCGCTTCTCATTTGTCTTTGTCTGTCCAGTCATCGGTGTATCAATGCGACCTGCAGGCTGAATCGCGAATAAGCCCCAATTGGCGCATAGCAGCTAGCAGCCGCCATCCGCTCTGCCCCCGTGCTGCTGGTGATTCACACGTCTGTAGGCCATTGAATTGCCCAAAACGCCGTCAACCGGTCAGCGACCTAGCCGAGTCATCTTGCTTACCGCATAGATAGGTTCCGGGAAAATTGGATGCCACGATGTACGTCCTGATAAGGGCCACCATTGTCTTTTTTCGCCATGACTCGCGGAATCATGCCTGCCCGCGAGACTCGCTCATCTACTACGGCGCGCTCGCTTCATCTCTAACAGGGGCAGCAGTTGTCGTACATCCCAATCTGGATACATGCTAATCGTCAGCAGTTCTCACCCTTTTCCATCTTTAGCTGGGCATTCCCTCTCGTCAGCCTTCCGATGTCCTGCGAATAGCTCAATCCGCTTCGTGAACATTGCCATTGTGAAAGCATGCAAGAACCGAAGATGCTTCTGTCCGCTGCAGGGCCGCTTCTGCCCCATGTCCACGTAATGAACGTTATCGGCTGGCCGCCGTGATGTGAAATAGAGTTCAAGATAGGTCTGCTATCTCCTTGACTTTGTTTTCGCAAGCGTTGGGCATGTGATGTCGAATCATAGAACCGCAAGTGGTCGCACAATCGTTGCCATGAGAGCTTTGGCAGTCTCTTCAACGAGGAGAATGGCCCGAAAAGTGGGACGTTGGTCGATGGTCTTTTGGTAAAACAGTCTCAGAACAGGATACGTGTGCTCTCATTTTCTGCCTCCCTTCAAGCAGCAAAGTCAACATGGATCGGCTCGCAAAATCCTACGTTATGGTTTTTTAAGAGGTGGTGGTAACGAGTCTGGGCTAAGGAGGGAGCATAGGAAAGTGCAATCATCTTAATAACAGTACTTAAAAGTACATGATATTGTCAAAAGGTATAGCCGGTCTGGCTCCTTGGCTTGGTTTCTCACAAAGCTTGCAAGGGCGGTGCACGACGGCCAGACAGCTGAAACGTTAGGTGAGCGTAGCAAAGCAGCTTCAATTCTGAGCGCGATTCCAGGGCAGCATCCGATTTGACGAGTATCAGTGAAAGCCCCCCGCACCATTGGCGACGCAGAGGGACAGAATGAGTGGATTGGTTATATGCGGTGGACTCAATCTGTCGCCATCTAACAATCATAGTACCCGACTCCTTCATGATTGTGTTGCTATGTGGTTTGCGTGTACGGAGTGATGTATTGCATGCTCGTTATAGTCTATGGTGCTTTTCGTTGCGCCAACAAGCTCGTCGGCTTATTACATTCTGTCACGTAGAGGACAGCGATGAAACATTCCAATAATGAGGATCGTTTATTGAGTTTTTTATGATCTCATCGATGCGCTGAATCTGCGCATCCAACATCTCCGTCTCCCCCGACTCGACAACGTCAAGGAGATATCATGCTCTCCTTGCAGTTCCCAGTCTGCGAGATCGAAGCCGTAATAACTGTCAGACAATTCCTCTGTAGACCCTCCACCTTCTGCATCAACAGCGGCCTCGGGAGTCCCAGTCCATGCCCACCCATTGCCTGCAGCTCGACACCTGCCAATTTGGACGAGCCCATCGAGCCATCCGCGCGTTCCAAACCACTCTTCACGCGCTGTTTCGATGCTGTGGCCCGTAAAGGCGTAATACGCGCGAATATGGGGAACATGCTGCGCAGCCTGCGTTTCTCGAATGCTCTCGCACGCTTTCGCGTCTTCTTCGTTCTGCATCTCGAGCTTCTCTGCGGCGGTGAATGTATCTTCCAGAAGCTTAATCATATCGGAATCGACTTGGTAAACCGCGGGAAGAGGCTGGATAGAACTGATTAGCAAAGATCGAAATAACATATTTCCTCGATACCTGATCATCAACACCAATGAATGAGTTCAACCCAGCAAAGGCATAGCGGTATGCGTCCGGAATATGCCAAGCTGAGGGAGTACGAATTCCGGCAGATTCGCTCTTCTCTAGTTGATCTAAATACCGTGCGATGCGCACTGATGGAACGGTGCTTGGAGGTTGATTCCATGTGAGAGGTGCCGCTGTTACATACTGTCGGCCTTCATCGGTGTTAAATTGGCTCTTGGTTACGAGAGAGGGCCTCGGCGGAATAGCCACTCATCTCGCAAGGAGGACGGGCCATACCAGATGTACGAGTCATTCAGCTTCGGGATGCCTTGTATTGTGAGATCAGCCAGGACTTCTACGTATACCATCTGACCAGCGGTAACAATCGGACCTTGAATGTCGATCTTCTGAGAAGGTTCTGTCAACAGAAACTGGCACAGAGTTCAACGTGGATATAATTCATTGAATAAAATTGAACATACCAGGCAGAGACGGGGACCAATCGAGCATATCATCATCAGCGAATCCAGAGCGGTAGTAATAGTATAGATTTGTTAACATGCGCAAAAAACGAGAATAGTCCCGTCCACCCTCAAAACTCCAAGAATGGGAATAGTCAAGGAGCTCGTCAAAGTCTGAGAAGTATCCTTCTGCTAATTTGATGCCAGTCCACATCTTCTTCTGTTCACGGACTTGCAACATGTTAGCGATAACGGTGCCTCGATTGCTGAGGACCTTGCGCCACGGTAGGTCACCTCTCAAAAGAAATAATACAGTGTCTGCAAAGGAATTGAGGTCATCACGACGGAAAAAATCTATAAAACAGAGTTGAGAAGAGAGAAATGCATTCTACACAGAAGACTTGCCTATTCCGTAGTGTGCATTGAGACTGGCCCAGGTAAGTGTAGCCATTATGTGTTTTCGCTCAATGATAGGCTGAGCGGGAATTCCCGTCTGATAACGACGAGCTATACCGAAATTAATCAGTCGCACACAATTGGGGTCTTGCACAGAGAGGAGAAATTATCAGGCTTGACTTACCGATGTATGATCCCGTGCGAGTGTATGTGTTCCAAGGCTGAGAGGTACAAAATCCCATTGCTTAGAGATAACGCATATGTTGACAAATGGAATGTCCTACCATCTGATTAGCAACAGGTAGGATTGTCTTCAGTGGAATGCGGCAAAAGGTCCTTCACGCTGGGGCCAAGCAGCGCCATCGCAAGATGTTCGAAATGTTCGAACCGGCCATAGGCAAACACTGTCGGAATCGCCTCATGGACATGCAAAAGCTGCAATATGCGGCCTCCATGCTGAAGCATCGTGCGTTTGCGGCGTAGAGAAACCCGCGACTTCTTCACTGCCATCCTATCGGAGACATTCTCTCCTTTTGTGGCGTTGAAGACCATACCCTGCGGGACAGTCGCTTAGTTAATTCAATTCACTGTACTGGCACGGGAATTCACTAACATAGGCGTCATATCCTAAAACCGAGCCAAGTTTGAAGACAAGCTGCAGATGCAAAATGGTTGAAGAGAGGACACGAGCGCATTGTGACTGGGCCGCCAGCAGTGCCGCCAGTAGCCGCCAGTGCAGTCAATTTCTGAATTACGTAAGCGTTCCGTAACACTCACAATCTCGTTTCATGCAGCTCGTTTCGCTCTCTTGATCGTAATTAAACACGGGCCTGTTGAAACTCCAGCTCTCCGATCTTTTCTGAGCGGTCCTCGTATACACTGTTGACTGTTCCACTCGGTACGCACAAGCTTTACAAATATTTCTGTGGTGTCTTTCGTTTCACTTACAATGTGGCGTCTCACACCAGCCGATACTCTTCGCTCGACAGCACCACTACGAAATATGGGCCAGTATTGGATGATGTGCGTAATGCGCACTGCGGGAACAGACGACTACGTGAGAGACTGACGAGGTCGGATAGCATCAATCTCGACAAGCGAGAAGCGACTTCGCACTTGGGAAAGCTGGGTGAATGTCTTTTTGACGGTATACCTGAATCTCTTGTGCCGTATTTTGCCATACCCCTTCCCCTATCGGCTCTTGATATCAAGAAAGAGTTCGTCTGCCAGACATCCACTCGATGCATGACGATGTTCTAATTTAGTAGAGTGGTGTAAATTCAGGTCCATCCGCGAACTCAGCACTGGGATCCTTGGACCTCGCACCCGAAATCCTGTATCTCATCTTTGATGAGATCGATGATCTGCGCGGTGCCATCTCGCTGTCGCTCACGAACAAGACATTGTCCGACATTGGACAGGCCCGTGTGTATGAGCTGGCATGCAAGACGACAGCGCCATGGGCCGGTGATCGCGTCATATGCGCCGGCGACTATATGCGGTGGCATGATCTGCCAGTAGGCATGCTCTCCGAGAGCGAACTCTACGAATATCGCAGCCAAGATGAAGATGAAGGCGATGGCGACTCGAACGAAGAGTACGACTCATACACAAACAATCCCCGCAACTTTCACGACGTTAGATGGCGGGAAGCGCCCTCTAGACATTCTGAACCTGATGTTCTTAACATCAGCAGCATTCATGATGCGTATTTTCACTACAACGTGTCGTCTTTCGAGCGCGAAGAATTTTCTCGCCGGCAGAAGCCGCAATACTCGATCGATCTCTCGAAGGATGAGACTCACGGATGGGTATTATGCAGCATCTCGAAGCGGGAGTACGTCAGGGCCAGCGTTGTTGCGGCTTTGACGGGCTCTAGCGCTAAAATGCCTCGCGGGATAGGAGGGAGAGGCGGCTTCGGTCTGGGTCATGTTCTCATGAGCCAGATTTGCTGGTCCTCTGACGACTCTATTTCAATGAGATATAAGGGTGACTTGCATCGCGGGAGGTGGGCGGGTGATCGCTTGTCCATCACGACAATGGACAGACTGGACAATCACGAAGCATGGAAGGACACGTCGGAAGAGGTGGTGAAGAAGATTACGAAAATTTGGGATGCTGACTGTCAAGGGTGGCGATCGCAAGTAAATTGTAATGACACACCGAAGTGATGTGAGTGAATTGTTGTAGCCATTAATCCCAGATTGATAACTCTAGGTGCCATATGCACTCTCTAACTTTCATCGCTCGATGTCGATTTGACATCTCTTGGGCATATTGTATTTTTTACGCGTGGACTCTCTGTAAGCTCATAAACCATAAAGGCGCATCTGTCCTTCTGCAGAGATCAAGGAACGGTGTTCTACACATTTCTTCGTTTGAGATGCCCGGACTTCTCTTCCTCAAGCACCCTACCTGCAGTCAATGTTCCTGTGCTGGCAGCCTGTCGTAAGACCGATTTGACGATCTGCACCTACCGGGGACGGATCTCACAACGGAAGGGCTTCAGGTGACTGGCTCTTCATCGTGAGAAGACATGCTGGCACAGATGCAAAACTCATACTTCACTGCGCCCGAGGCGAAAGCCGACACGGGCGTGATCACGTTCCCGGCTGTATCGCTGGCCTTACTGATGTCCAGCATGGCGAGAATGCTCGCGATCGCGAGCCAGATTGTCGAGTCGGCAAATTGCCGCCCGGGACAGAGCCTGCAGAGTGGCGGAATCAATATGGGCTGATAAGGGGATGATATGGAGCAAGTGTACCTTCGGCCGAACCCAAACACGAACTTGCGCAAATCTCTGAATTCTGCGGTAGATACATCCATTTCGCTGTACCTCTCAGGGCAGAACTCATCGGGGTTAGGATACAGTGTATGGTCATGCGTCATGCACCTAAAAAGACATTCAAAAAAGGAAAGTGAGGGAAAGTCATTGGCAAACCAGATGCTTGCTATGATCATCGTGCCTGAAAGTATATACCTGCCTCGATACTCGTCGTCTCCAATGAGTTGGTGAGGCACGCCTGCAAAACCACATAAGAAGGTCCACGTTGTACGGTTGCAGACAGTCTACTCACAAAGAGGGACGGGAGGGTTCCATCTGCAGCGTCATATGGATCAGTCGCCGTGAACCCACAAGAATATTATGGGCGCACCGGTAGACCTCCAATAGCACATGCTCGAGGTACGGCATCGAAGCTCTATCATCGACGTCTGGGAGCCGTTCGATGCCGACTGCCTTATCGATCTCGGCCTGCGCTTTCTTGCGGACGTCAGAGTAGAGCACCATAGCGAGGATGAATGTCATGAGGACGGTGCATGTCCACGATCCGATTGAGAACGCGGGTAGAGCGCACGCATACAGCGGAACTCACCGTGTCAGTACCAGCTGATCATGACAGAAGGGACGTTGGTTCGGAGACGGGAGAGAAGAAACGCGGACGATGTACCACTGTATAGGATGCCTCCGGCTCCCATGATGCTGTCTTCGTCGTCTTGGCTAAGTCGCCCCTTCCTGGACTCCTCTTCGAGAATTGAACTCATAAATGATGGCTTCGCTGTGCCTGATGCCTACCAGAAAGTCAGAATAACCCGACGCACAACATACACGACCTACCATCACCTCTTTGACCAATTTGTATGGAACCTTTAGAAGTAGGCCTTTCTCTTGAAATTGGCTCCAAGGATCCACGACGGCGTGTTCTCACTAAAATAAACAAGAGGTAGATAGAAATTAAATAGCTCAATAGTCTTCCCGCACACCAAGGGTACGCCACTCACGGATAGGAAAGAAGTCGATAACGTAGCCTCAAGACTCCCAGCTTCCAATGCGTCCGTCACAACCAGCCGAATGAACTCATCGTTGTCGGGCGACTTTGCAGTGTGGCAATATCCGATCTCCATAACAAGAGCCCCGAGAAATTTGAAAGCAACGTCAGAAGAGTTGTAGCGCTGACAGCGTAGCTCACCCTTTGACATGCGACGAGAAGTCATTAGGCGCTTGAATCAACCCATCCAGTAGCCGGATAATCTCTCTCCTTTGGAGAGGACGATAGGCTGTCAAGCATGTGCTTGTCCAGAACTGCGGCTTGCAGCCATCGGCGGTGACGGCGCCACAGCTCACCATATGGAAGTAACGCAGTATTTGTGTTCAACCTCACGCTAATCGCACAATCAGAGAGACACCTCAAATAGTATGAACTTGACGCACAGCTCTCTCAGGATAACAAAACATGGTCGGTTTGTATAATTGACTCCACGTTTCTCCGTGAGATTGCACGCAGCCTCCACAGAACTCATTATCAATATGGGCTTGAGAAAGAGCCGCGCAAATATCACGTCTCCTAGAATGTATGTTATTCAGCCGGAATCCGACGTGCACGCCCTTTAGTGTAACAAGACATACCATCCTTCTTGCTCTATTGCGCGAATGTAATATGCTGATAGTCTGTTGGTATCTGATGAACATTTCCAAGCAAAGGCAGAGACTTCGGTCCCGCGAAGAGAGGCTTTCGATCTGTTTCATACAAGGGCCGACACCACGCCACGTAGACACCCAGCAAGATGAACACAAGCACCAAAGCTATAGAGGTATGCATTGTGAGCCAGCTTATCGAGTTGTCCTGAGGCATCTTCCTGACTTATCGGGACCAAGAATATTGGAGATGCAAAAAGGGATGTTCGGCACATTCACGTTGCGTACTAGCGCTGGCAAATAAATTTGGAGTTCTCACAGCGCGATAGTGTCTTGGTTCGGATTACTGAGCGTGAGCTTGTGGAGATACTCATCATGCATGCGAGCTATGCAGCAGCCCTCACAAGAAGTCTAAACGAGCCATAAAGACATAAAGAAGCGCCTCAGCGCGTGACGTCACGTATATTCTCACGGCTCGGGGCGATGCGTTGCTTGCACCCCATATTGGTGGTGAAATATTCTGCTTCAAAACCTTTTGGCTTGCGTCATCTCATCATTGTACGGCTAGCAAACATTGCGACTGCATAACGGGATTCCTGCAGCTTTCAACTCCTCTCCACATGTCAGACTGCAATAGTCATGCCTTGATCAAGAATGAGCGTCCGCATTTCCTGCGACCGCGGGCTTATATGACAGCGAAATAGTTTCGGATGGCTAAACGAACATATTTTAATAGGCGCTCTCCGTTCAATGTAACGATGCATACTTTACAAGGCCAGGAAGAAACGCAGGAGTAGGAGTGATGACATTCCCTTTATCGTCTTTTGCTTTAGCGATGTTGAAACTTGCTAGGATAGTAGCCATAGCTAGCCAGATGCTCGAATCAGCCAAATAACGCCCTGGACAAATGCTTGATGGCTTTCAGTGGCTACATAAAGCTCAGAAGGGTTGCTCTCACCGCCGACCGAAACCAAACACAATTTTGCCTGGATTATACAGTTCCATGGTCTCCGCGTCGAGCTCGTCAAACCTTTCCGGTCTGAATGCTTCCGGATCTGAGTATATTTCTGGGTCTCGAGTCATGTGCCTGCACAGGTTGCCGTCTAGTGCAGTGTATGTGAGCGAGGTGAATGTGTGACACATACCATATGTTGGACATAGTCATCGTTCCGCCTGGAATATGACAACCTAAATATACGTCATCCCTGGTTGAAAGATGTGGTATCCCTGCATGGATCATCAACGATTTGCAGTTCCAAAGCGCACTAGAAATTACCCAGCGGTACCGGAGGATTCCAGCTGTCGATTTCATTACTATGGTGGACGACTGGTAGTGTTGCAGCAGACGTACCGATAAACTTCCAAGAGTACCTGGTCGAGATAAGGCAATGAGCCTCTATCCGCTAGATCTGGAAGTCGTGAATTGCCAACGACTTTATCGATCTCCATTTGCGCTTTCTTGAAGACTTCGGGATACAGGACCATCGCCAACACGAAGGTTTGTATGCTGGTGACCGACTACAGCGTGTCAAGAAAACCTATGATGCGCAAAGATCGGGGACACTCACGGTGTCTGTTCCAGCTAGTGAGTGGCAATAGGAGACGTGAACAGTGTATTTATAATGACTGCTGGTCCACACACCATTGTAAATGCTTGCAGCCGCACCCGACAAATTGCGCTCGTTGTCTTCAGACAATTCTCCGTCCCTGGTCATTTTATCCAAGATGGAGGATACGAAAGATGGTCTCGCGCTCCCACATGCCTGCAATATGGGCGTAATTGTAAGCGAAGAATGAATCGTATCGCCAAACTTACAATCTGCTCTTTGACCCACGTGTACGGAGTGGTTTCAGCAATCTTGACCTGCTGTCGAATACGCAGTGCATTTCGTTTAAATGAAGATCCGGGCATCCACGTCGGGATGTGTTTCACTGGACGCGGGAATACCTGTGGATAAGCCCCCATTTCTTGACTACACAGTCGTGACGAACGTACAAGATGGAAAAAAGTCGACCAACGTGGACGCGAATGTGCAAGCTTCGATCGTATCTGCAGAAGATTTTGCTGCCATTTGGATAAATTGGTCATCTTCCAACGAAGTCGCCGTGTGCCCATAGGTGATCTCCGTCAATATGGCACCCACATAGCTATGTACGCCTTAGACCTGTGACTCTGGTGTGCGATAGAGCGCACCTTGTGATGAGCGATGCAAACTCGTCCGGAGATTGCACGAGCCCGGTCAACAAGCGATGAACTTCCCTCGCGCGAATAGGATGATACGATTCGAGAATGTTCTTTTCTAGAAGCGCAGCTTGTAGCCATTTTCGATGGCGTCTCCATCGATCACCATAAGGAAGAAGGGCCGGATTATTGTTTAGACCAATTCTATATGATGGATTTGTGTTATCGAAAGATTTATGGACGATTAATCTGGCTTTACAGTTCGATCAGGAAAACAAATGATGGCCGGCTTGAATGAATAGCGCCTTTCTTCTCCATGAGATCAATTGCAGCCTGGACGGTGTGTATGATGAGGGCAGGTTGTCTGAACAGGTAGGTATAAACGAGAGGTCCTGGAGAATAATAGTATGTCAGTATTGGGAAGGCGACTCTGAGCGGATGTGCAGACCATGAGATCTCGTCCACTGGGCAAACGTCTTGTGTGGGTATTCATGGTCAATCTGATGAATATTGCCAACGAAGGGAAGATGACGCGGCCCTGGGAAGAGCAGATGGTGCGGTGGACGCAATAAGTAACAGGTAGAGATGAGCAACAATATCAATAGCACAATGAGCACGTCAACACGATAAGCGTACTCGATCATAGCAGCAGCTTTGCACTCTGAAGAACGAGGATGTCTCCCGTCATCATGTACGCTGAAGGTTTTAATCATAGCAGTTTGTCCGAAAGCAGTTCAACAAGTGCAATGGGTGGAAATGATGTGATACATACTATACGCGTGGTCATTGGCGGCCCGAGCTCATCGGAATCTAACTGAACAACACCTGCAATTGAGTAGCACGGTCTAACTATGAAAAGGTCCGCGTTTGTGCTTACCGAGTCATAGCAGAAAAGAATCTCATTACAGATACGTTGCCAAGAGAGGAATAGCACGATTTCACACACATTCGGATCCGTATGGCACAACGTCGTAGACTACCCGTTGTTGGGCGTAGAACCTTCGTCGCGCGGCCCCTCGGCACGTGAATGGAATACATCGAACAATAGAAGCATGGCAAGCGCGAAGGTGGGATCCAGCGTTTTAGTCATTGTCGATGTCAGCTTCGTTCCAACCTGCAACCTTTCTATTTGTGAAACACTTACAGACACGTTATCAATCGTAATCTGCCGGCCACATGAATGTCAGTAACGAACGTCCAGGGGTTGCTACTGCTGTGTCGCCGAACGATCAATATGGCGACTGTCTCCATCGCTGGCAACTATCTGCCTCCAAACGGTTCGTGAGCCTCATATCTAATTCAATTAGCAAATTGTCTGCTGAGATGCATGAGGTAACTTGCCTCAGCGCCCGGAGGATTTACAACATATAGCGGCTGGGGCTTCCAAAACCTCGGATCATAAATAGTTTGGTTACCCTGGTCCCATTTAATGCCTTAGCCTGATACTAACACCGCGTCTGGAAAGAAAACGCCGTAGTCTGCTGCGATATCATTGAGACATCCGGAAATTCGCCCAACACGCGCCAGTTTCCTTCCTGCTGGGTTCGAAAACAGGATCTTCTCTGGCTTGCGTCCCACATGCTCATGTCTCAAGACAAAGAGGGTCATAGATCAGCTACTGTACATCTGCTCCTGTGCTAGACTAAATGTGATTCGGCCGCTCAGCATGTTGATTCCAAGTTCAACTCGAGCAGAATTTTCTGGATTTCTTGCGATCGTATGCTAAGCTGGCAGTGAAATGGTTCGGGGTGGCTTCATTGCCAATGTCAGAAAACTAACCCACGAATCGACATTAGGGGCAGATGGAGCATACCTTATAGCACCGGGAGAGAATGCGGGTGTAAAGGTCGCGTAGTTAGCGAAATCGCCTGCAGATTGTGAAATGTTGAAACAAGCCAAGATGTTAGCCATCGCGAGCCAAACTGAGGAGTCAGCCAGTTGGCGGCCTGGACATATGCTGCATCTCTTTCAGCGAGCGAAGATAATGAGCAGTGCGAACATCGTTTACTGACCGTCGGCCGAACCCGAAGACGATCTTGCGTGGATCGTATAAATCCGTCGTTTGTACAGTCATAGTTTTAAATCGCTCGGGTCGGAAGGTTTCGGGGTCCGGGAAGATATTGGCATCTCGCGTCATGTACCTGTGACAAGGGATGAAATGGAGATGTGGACATTCAGCAAGTCTGAGCGATGTATACCATAAATTGGGTACAATAATCGTCCCTTTCGGGATATAATGATCGCAATAGGTGTGATCAGCAGTTGAGAAATGTGGCACCCCTTGATCGAAGAGTGAGCAGCAGTTGCTGTCGTGAATCTGGTCAGCATACCCAATGGGACGGGACAGTTCCAGCTGTCCAGGTAGGCACTATGTTAGAACACTAAAGAGATAATTCTGCTAGGCGTACCGATATACTTCGAGTAGCACACGTTCAAGATACGGCAATGATGATCTGTCCGAGAAGTTCGGAAGCCGAGAAGTACCAACAACCTGATCAATCTCCGCTTGTGCTTTCTTGCAGATGTCGGGATAGAGCATCATAGCGAGGATGAATGTTTGGAGAGTCGTACCAGACTATGGTGCTGACTGATTAAATCACTGTATGATGGGCATGTACACACTTACAGTATCGGTACCAGCTGTCCAGTGCAAGCGTTAATGGCGACCTCACAAAGGATTCATGTAGCTTCATACCACTGTAGAGTGCACCAGCTACACCTGAGATGTTGCGTTCATCGTCTGGCGTTAAGTCTCTGTCTGTAGATAAATTGTCCAGCAGAGAGGAAACGAACGATGGTCGGGCACTCCCAGCCGCCTGGAAATGAGGACATTATTGAATACATGCAAGCACAAAACGACTCACTACTGCTTCTTTGGCCCATTTGTATGGAGTGGTCTCGGCAATCTTCAATTCGCGGCGTATACGCAGGGCATTCTGCTTGAAGCCAGCTCCAGGCATCCATGTCGGAATGTGTTTCACTGCCAATGTTCCCAGTTGTTAATTGTCGCGCACGTCAGCGTTTAATCACTAAACAGTGCAAGCGGCAAACCTACGCAAAGGGAAGAAATCGACCAACGTCGAAGCAACATTGCCCGCCTCAGCTGCCTCTACGGATGCCTTCGCTGCTAAACGAATGAATTGGTCGTCCTCCAGAGAGAGCGCCATATGGCCGTATGTGATATCCATCAAGACAGCGCCAATAAATCTGTCGCTGAGTTTGAATTTTTGCAACTACTGGTGAACTGCGATAATCACCTTCTGATGTGCGAAGCAAACTCATCCGGAGTTTGCACAAGTGCCGCAAGTAAACGGCGAATCTCCCTCTCTTGGATAGGACGATAGGACTCGAGAGCATTCTTGTCCTGCAGCAGAGCTTGCAGCCACTTTCGATGCATCCGCCATTGATCGCCGTAAGGCAAGAGAACGGGGTTGGTATCAAATCCAAGTCTGCAGGTCAACTAGTATGTGCTACAACATCACAGGAGATTGAATGCGGATCACTTACAATTCCCTCAAGAACACGAGCGGCGGTCTGCTTGAATAGATCGCTCCTCTTTTCTCCATCAGGTCATTTGCGGCGTGAACCGAGTGAAGCACGAGGACCGGCTGCCCGAAAAAACGTGCATAAACGATAACTCCTGAGGTGCGCGAGATGAGTGAATGGAGCCTGCAAATACAGATAGAGATGGTTACCATATCTTTTCGCCCATTGAGTGAACGTTTTGTGTTGGTAGTCGGCAGTGACTTGGTGAACGTTGCCGATAAACGGGAGAGGATGCGGCCCGGGAAATAGAGGGCCCTTCTTCCTAGGAGATGAAAAGGAATAGAGCCAGACAGCGAGAGACAAAAGTGCGAGCGTTACGACCACGTCAGTAAGGTATTTCATGTCGCAGAAAATGTGGCCCCTTGACGTGTTGACACAAAGCATTCACCAGGTGACTGCTATGGCGTTTATGATAGGGAATCGGGTACGTGCGAAGATGCATGGTTCGTGATACGGTTTCAATGGACGAGTTGGCGCACGGATGGGCGCTCCGACGTCGGAAGCTGGAGTCGGTTCTCAGCGTCAAGCGATACGGTCTTCTCGTGATGGCTCGGATAGGTGCGCACCATGCACATGTCCTGTATGCTTCGGCTGTTGATGAACAAGAACCTGGTATCGAGAGATATTGAAAGGACGTATTAGCCACTCTATCGTGCGAAGATAAACATTGCATTGTCAGTCTATCGTGATTCCCATGTTAGCCAGTTGAAATTCATTGGGGTAGAATACCAAAGACGCCCTTGAGCGCCCGGACAGAATCTCATGATCAACGCTAGTGCACGCGGAGAAACATCCTTCGCATTGTGCGGGCATGCGCAATCGTGTGATTAACCGCACCGTGTTATGATACAGTGAGTAGCATTCAGAGTGCGCTACTTCTGTACAGCTGAGAAACCATCGCAGCAGCCTTGTCCGAACGTGGAAGGATCCGTGCTTTGAACGGTTTCGGGTGGCTATACTCCGTCTTATCAGAAATGGCCTAGGGTGCAGACGCGTAGCGGCCCACCTAATCGTGCCGGATGAAAAAGCAGGAACAGGTGTGATCTCGTTGCCCATCGCATCTTTTGCCTTTGAAATATCGAAAGCCGCGATGATATTCGCCATTGCTAGCCAGACGGTCGTGTCGGCGAATTGACGACCCGGGCAGACTCTTCGTGAAGTTTAGCTTTTGTTTTTGTGCATCGGGATGTGGAGGATTTGACGTACCGGCGACCGAAGCCGAAGACTATCTTTTGCATGTCTCTGGATGCTGCTGTGGATGTGTCCATCTCTTCGAAGCGCTCAGGACGGAAGGAGTCAGGATCGGGGAAGACGTCCGGGTCGCGAGCCATGAGCCTGGGAAAAAGAATGGAATCGTTGATATAATTGTCTCGATGTCTCGACGAGCGTTATCACGAACCAGATGTTGGGGATGATTGTGGTTCCTCCGGGAATATAATGGCCCTGATACTCATCATCTCCGATCACTGCATGAGGAACGCCTAGTGTACAACCTCAGTCAGATTCTCGTGTGCCATCGTGGTGGAGACACACCGAGAGGAACAGGAATATTCCAACTTGCAGCATTGATTGTTAGGTCAAACTCAACGTCTCAGAATGTTTGGCCACATACCGGTATGTCTCTTGCAGAACATTCTCGAGGTATGGAAGGGAGCTTCTGTCGTTAAAGTCTGGTAGCCTCTCGGTGCCTATGACTCGATCAATCTCTGCCTGCGCCTTCCTGTATATGTCAGGATGTAGCACCATCGCGAGCACGAAGGTTGAAAGCGTGGTGGATGTCTGGAAAGGGGTCAGTATTGTGCATACGTGTGCAATGGATTATCTCCAGTACGGTATCGGTAGCAGCTGAAGGTATGTCAGCGTCATCCGAGAGAGAAAAGAAGAGCAATAACTGCATACCTGCATACAAAACACCTGCAGCACCCATAATATTGTACTCATCTTCTTCCGTCAGGTCTCCGTCCTTCATCGTGTCTTCCAACATGGAAGTCAAGAAACACGGCTTCGCAGTACCAAGGGCCTATTTAGAAATCTGATGAGTTACCGTGCTGTTCTGAGGCCCTAAGCACTCACCATTGCCTTCTTTACCTCGAAATAGGGTTTTTCAAACAAGGCGCGCATATGAGGACGAATACGCAGAGCCTCACGTTTGGCTTTCATGCCGGGCATAGCGGCAGGAAGGTATTTCACTAAACCATCGTTTAATAAGCAACGGTTCGGCGTATGGGAAATGAAGAGAAAACACTAACGGATGGGAAAGAAGTCGAGCAACGATGACCCAAGGTTACCCGCTTCAAAAGCTGCGGTTACTGTGTCGTCTGCCACTTTGATGTGCTCATCATGTTCCAGGGAGGTCGCCCGATGGCCGTAGCTAATCTCCATTGATAATGCGCCCACTAGTCTACATTCCAATGAATCAGCAGAATCCCTGACGACCAAGAACTCATTTACCGTTTGATATGCATAATGAAACCGTCCGGCGTCTGCATGAACATGTATAACAACCGGTGAACTTCCCTCAGCTGCATAGGATGATACGTCTCGAGCTTCCGTTTGTCAATGAGTGCGGCCTGAAACCATTTACGATGACGGCGCCATTGGTCTCCGTAGGGCATAAATGACAGATTTGGATCGAATCCAATCCTGCAACCAGAGCACGTCATATCAACCGAATCTTAGTGGTGATGATACTGTCTTACAACTCGTTGATGAGCACAAATCGTGGTCGATCAGAATATTTTGAACCTCGCTTTTCCAGCAGGTCGAACGCCGCTTGCGCCGAATTCAGGATGAGAACTGGCCTCCGGAACAGCCGCGTGTAGATAATGTCGCCTAATGATGAGATGCATAAGCCAAATCACCATAATGATGATTACAGTGCTGCTACCGTATATCTTGTTCCATTCGCCGAGAACCCGGTGTTGATATTCTAACGGAAATTGATGCGCATTCCCGAGGAGCGGAATAGACTTTGGACCTGGGAAGAGAGACGAGAAACGCTTTTGATGTACCCTACGCACATAAAGCAATCCCAAGCAGATGCATGCAAGGAATACAGCGATGATGTTGGGGATGTGGAACATGCCGCGAAAGTTAGATGGGTCGACTCGGGTCCATGGTTTTGTTGTGCTATTATCCACAGCGGCTCTTTGTATGCGGCGCTGACAGAATTGTAGACGCTCAAGACTTCTCCCGCCGCCTGGTCTCAGTGACAACGCCCACGTCGGCCTCCCGAGGGGGGTAGTTTGGAAGTGAATGCGCTCGTAGTCACCGGATGCAATCAGATTGTCGTGTTACGTAGCAGTCAAAGCTTCAAGCATTTATGCATGGACGTTGAGCTTGGAGCATACTATAAGCGTCCACAATAACCGTACGACCTGTGTTACATCCGCAGATAGGGCGTTGTTTTGTCAGTGCCTGGGCGCCAACAAATTGACTTACCGTCAGATGATAACGTTGATGATAACCTTTGGCTAGCATTTGGTCCGTTGTCAACGGGTCACACGTCTGCAAGTATATGTTTCAGCTGTTAGAATGAAGAGCATACTTCCATAGCGAGTGCGGAGTCGACCGACGCGTGACGTCACGCGTCAGTCACATTCTCCGATGGCGCGCGCAGAGGTCATATGGAAGGCGAGAGAGCGCTCAAATGACGTACGAATGGTTGCTATTCGCGATCATGCCCCGCAGCATGCCATCCGCTTATCGGACACAATGCATGAAGCCTTATTTGTGCGTATCGTCGCTCCCCCCAAATGGTGGAGAAGCTGTGCAAGCTGGGAAAACTTGCATGCGTACATGTTCGCACAGGCAGTGAATGCGGGGCTCCGGGCGGAATTCTGCGCAAGACTCCGCAATTCTCTTGCCATGATCCTGCCGCAGTTCTCGAGCGATGTCGATGAAGCCCCGAACTTACGCCACCGCCGCTTGCTTCTGGGTTATGCACGTCGACTTCGCCATCTCCCCACGTCGAACCTCTCACGCCGAGATCCGTCCATGCACTAGTCTATATCATATCGTATTGTTATCCCAAGACACCGGGTTGTTCTTCCATGCACCACTGCTTCTGGCGAGAAGCTACATTGAATTGCAAGGAATGGAATTGCGACTTACAGCCCCGAGTTGGGCGATCGCGCGCCAAGATCACCAAGGATTCTGCAACCGAACGGATGGCTGATCAGTTCTTATTTCCATCTCGAATTCAAACGTTTTGCAAACTCGGATCTGCAATAACCATTTGTATCAGAAGTCGAAGACCGTGCGAAGTACCGAAAGAAGACCTCCCTCATGATCTGAGCAAGATATACGGCTTTGGATCGGTCATGTTATCGCGTCATTAATGACATGAACATCCTCTCACACGTCTATGCGCATATGATCATGAGGACCATGACATGTGGACCGTGTCAGATTGTGGACGATAGTCACACGAACATTGCTATGGCTTGCTCTATGCTGCAAACCCGTCCTAATCTGAAAAAGTGTCTCAGGAGCTCTAGTCCACTCAGGTAAAGATATTGAAAAAATATTATCAATGTTTTTGCATGGTGAAAACCCTTGATATCACTCCGATCGCTAATTGGATGAGTAGTCATGTTGTGGAACTTGACAATCACTGCGGCTGGATTGTCAAAAGTGGCAGATTTCCGACGGAAATCCTTATCTACACCGATCGTATTGACCACATCCTCCACTTTGCGTAGTAAAGAGTCTCTTACATAGAGTCCATTCACATAATATAAGGTACAGTTTTGTTTGCGGGCTGGCATGCTTTAGATTAAGAAAGCTTTGACCAGGCGTGACAGGCGTCGCTGCTCGGAAGGGCAATCACGCTTTCAGAGTCCGATCACCGCCGTCAGGAGCACCTGCCGAATAGAGTACCTTGCCGCTGTGCCGACGCAAGCCGTGGTCGGAGGTTTACGGCAAGACGTGACTGATGTGTGACATACTTATCCTTCTGTCTGGCACCCTCTCGCTCGGAAGTTCGGAAGTTCTTCGACAGGCTGTTTGCTCACTTTTCGGTTATATTCTTCATTGCCTAGTTAGCTGAGATGTTTTGCACCCAATGCTAAGAATTCAAAATGATTTGGTAGAGAACTCGGACTATTATTCGTGATTTATCAAACATTTTGCAGAATGGGGCCAACCATAGTATTCCCATTTCTAAAGCTACTGCTCATACACTTCAGCGGCCAGAGTATAGAAGACATGCAGATGCTCCACACCTACATCGCTACGCAGACGTATCGCTTGATGCTGACATACGTGTAGCTTCCGACATCGGAGTGCCCATCAACGCGCCGATACATGCGTCAAATCTCGTCTTGAAAGCGTATTTCGGGCCACGCATCTGAGTCCCATGTAGCCGCGCGCTATCGTGAAAAATTAATAATGAAAGCAGTCACCTGGAGAATGCGTTGTGTCCATACGTTGAGGTTCCAAATTTTCTGCGACATGAAATACCTTACTGACGTGGTCGTAACGCTCGCACTTTTGTCTCTCGTTGTCTGGCTTTACTCCTTTTCATCTCCTAGGAAGAAGAGCCCTCTATTTCCTGGGCCGGACCCTCTGCCAATCATCGGCAACGTTCACCAAGTCACTGACGACTACCAACACAAGACGTTCACTCAATGGGCGAAAGAATATGGTAACCATTGTAGTCTGTGTTTTCAGGCTCAATCCACTCATCTCACGTACCTCAGGAGCTATAGTTTATGCGCGATTTTGTCGCAGCCAGAGCTCGTGCTTCACTCGGTTGCCGCAAACGACTTGATGGAGAAGAGAGGGGCGATCTACTCAAGCAGACCACCGCTCGTGTTCTTGAGAGAATTGTAAGTGATCCGCATTCAACATACTGTGACGTTGTGGCACATACTAACTTTCCTGCAGACTTGGCCTTGACACCAGCCCTGTTCTCTTGCCTTACGGCGATCAATGGCGAATGGATCGAAAGTGGTTACATGCTTTGTTGCAAGACAAAAATGCTCTTGAGTCCTATCGTCCTATTCAGGAGAGGGAGGTTCGCCGTTTGCTTGCCGCCTTTGTGCGAACTCCGGCAGAATTTGCTTCGCATATCAGAAGATGATTATTGTGGTTCACAATAGTTCAAATCCTAACTCAGCGGTAGATTTATTGGAGCTCTGTCGATGGATATTACATATGGCCATGTGGCGCTCTCTTTGGAGGACGACAAGTTTATTCGTTTAGCAGCAAAGGCAGCCGTAGAGGCAGCAGAGGCAGGCAGTGTTGCTGCCACGTTGGTCGACTTCTTGCCTATGCGTAGTTCTCCCGCTTGCTGCGTTTTGTGGACCAGCACTGATGTGCGCGATAATTATAATTGGAAACATCTGCAGTGAAACACATTCCGACATGGATGCCTGGAGCTGGCTTCAAGCGAAATGCCCTGCGTCTACGGCGCGAATTGAAGATTGCCGAGGCCACTCCATACACATAGGTCAAAGAGGCAGTAGTGAGTTTCGTGCTTGTATGTACTATCTGATAATGTCTCATTTTCAGGCATCTGGGAGCGCTCGGCCATCATTTGTATCCTCTCTGCTGGACAATCTATCCACAGACAGAGAGTTGACGCGAGACGATGAACGCAACATCGCAGGCGTAGCTGCTGCACTCTACACCGGTATGAATATACTTTAAGCCTTTGTGAAGTCGCCATCATAATGCTTGCGCTGGACAGCCGGTACGGATACTGTAAGTATCTATACGCCGATCATACAATGATCTAATCAGTCAACACCATAGTCTGCTACGACTCTTGAAACCTTCATCCTTGCCATGATGCTTTATCCCGACATCTGCAAGAAGGCACAAGCGGAGATCGATCAGGTCATTGGTACTTCTCGGCTTCCGGACTTCTCGGACAGATCATCATTGCCGTATCTTGAACGTGTTCTACTTGAAGTATATCGGTTCGCCTAGCAGAATACTTTCACTAGTATTCTCACATAGTGCCTACCTGGACAGCTGGAATTGTCCCCTCCCATTGGGTACGCTGAATCAGTTTAAGACAGCAGCGGTTGCTTACTCTTCGACCAAGCGGTACCACATTGCTAAACTGCTGACGACATCTATCTCAATCGTTACGTTCCGAAAGGAACAGTCATTATACCCAATTTATGGTATGAATCATGCTGATTTGCTGGACGTTCCGCATCTTCAAGTCACGCCTTGTCACAGGTGCATGACGCGAGATGCGGACATCTTCCCGAACCCAGAAACCTTCCGACCCGAGCGGTTTGAGACCATGACGGCACAAACGATTCATTTATACGATTCGCGCAAGATTGTCTTCGGGCACGGCCGACGGTCGGTAGACGATGTTCACATTGCTCGTTGTATCCGCTCGCTGACAACGATGCAGCATATGTCCAGGCCGCCAATTGGCCGATTCCTCAGTCTGGCTCGCGATGGCTAACATCTTAGCTTGTTTCAATATCTCAAAACCCCAAGGCGGTTTCTCTAACGATGCGACCTTCACACCCACATTTTCTCCTGGTGTTATCAGGTATGCTCCATCCGTTCCTCATCGCGATTCGTGGGTCAGTTTCCTAACGCTGGCAACAAAGCCACCCCGAACCATTTTACTGTCAGCTTAGCATACGATCGCAAGAAATCCAGAAACTTCTGATGTAGCTGAACTTGGAATCAACAAGCAGAGGGGCCGAACCACATTCAGTCTAGTACAGGAGCAGATGTACAGTATCCCACCCATTGAACGACCTTTGGCATAGCGACGTATGAGCACATGGAACGGAAATTGGTGAAGACAGGAGATGAATAGACGCACGTCGAAACGTTTTGTGGTGGCCCAGTGGTGTTACAGCATATCGCGGCAGCGCTCGACCTAGGAGCAACGTTACTGCCATGCCCCGCCTTGCTACGCGACTATCATTTATAAACCTTGGTGTCTCAGAAGCCCGGGCACATGTTTAGGAATCAGCTCCATTTCTACTTAAGTCTTGGAATGGGGAGGTGAGATACCGCATGCATGCCTAACATCCCATACCTGATTGAATATGAAAACTACGAACAGTTCCCAAAAGCAAGTACACATCAATGTCCCAGACGCTATTGCGATCATCTGTCGGCAACGCACCAGCCATGACTTCTGGACGTTCCTTATCGACTTTGCGTGAGATGCGCAAGATCGCGATCGATCAAACATTCGGAAATTCACGCAGATAGAAGACTCAAGAGCTTAAAAAGTAGCCTTGTCGATGGTATTGAGATAACATGATCGAAATGAAATCTTCTTCGCGCGTGCTGCCGTTCTACGAACCTTCATTCAAGGGCGTCCAAGCGGCACGAAGAAGCGGCCTGTAATGGGATTATTTGTAGCAGTTCACGATATGTAGCTGACTTTGTGAACTCCCCGTATCAGGTGCAACCTTCTCGCGTTGCTTGGTCCATATCAAGGCCCTAATCGTTGTGAGGACAATTGAAGTCTGTTCGACTTAGTCCGTGGAGCTGATTGCAACCACATATAATTTAGAAAGCACTTGCTGTCCTCCTAAATGAGTCGAGTACCAGGCAGCAAGCGAACGCCACAGTCACACTTGTCTGCTCAGATTATACTTGCAAAGATCACTTTCTCGCCCACCGCTGGCTGCAATTGAATCATGGGCATCTGGATGCCATACATGTCAAACAAGCAAGTCGATAGTACGCGTGGGCACACTAGCTTATGGATGTTGTGCGCCGGTGATATGTACGACAGCGAGGGCAAACGCGATTGCAGGCCACAGTGCCGGTTCAGAAGTTCCAGGACCCGCGCATGCGGGCATCGTCAAGCAAGCATGATGTCAAATCAACCGAATTAACCTACGGGGTTGGATCCCGAGCTATCCCAGTCTTTGAAAAACAAATCTCCTCGGTCTCTATCTAAACTGCGTTGCTCGCAGTCGTCAGAACTGGTTCCTCTGCTTCTGTCTCTCCTCTTCCCTCCGTGTTCCTGCTATTTGTATGATAAATTTGAATCCGCATGTCCATCACATTACGTCCGGAACGCTCTGTCTGGCCCGCATTTAACAACAGGTAACCGGCCGTGGGCGAGGTTAGATCCTCTTTACTCACATAAACGTCCGCTCTTGTTCGCGCGATGGAGAACCATCGTCTGGACAACGTCAATCATTTATGCGGAAGAACCACCATTTAGTCAATGTCAAGTATCCACGCAGGCGGATCACCACTTCTATTCTCCGAAACTGAAAGCTCTTGCCTAGACGATGTCGTTGATGGGTGGAGGCGTCGACATCAAAGCCTCTTTTCTTCTTATGGCTTCGAGCATGGCTTTTGGTATTCTGCTCGTTCACAACAGGGATGTATTGCAGCGATGTTGGTGCCGTTCATCGAGGAATCACTGATGCAATCGTTCCGCGAAAGGCGTGCAGCTACTCCAACGCAACACAGATGTCCTTGTGAAGTACGCAAGGCGATCAGCGCACGATAACGGTCGAGTCAAGTGACAACGTTACACGCACAGTTTTCGATGGATTGTTTACCAAACAGTAGTTATTAAGGAAATACTTTGAACATTCATGCACGCAATATAAACGCCAAATAGGACTCGAGGCAACGTTGCTGCCCTTCGGGATCAAGGCGGAAACATTCAGCTTGCGGCACGATTCGAAGTATGGCTGATCACACACGAAGTTGGATCCCTCTTCTGCGGATGGCATCAGCAGGTTGAGGCCAGAATAACAGAATGGTCCAACGTACCCAGCGAAGATAGCCGTTTAGCCGCACGGCCACTGCGTGAGGAACGCAACAAAATACGTTTGCTTTACATGGACTGTGCAGGTGTCGAGTGACTGAGACTGCAGCAGCGAGAAGAACGCAGAAGAAACATGTTGCAAAGTGGTACAAGAGAAGACGAGGACCACTGCTAGCACACGAGTCCGATCGCAGCTTGCTGTACTGACCCAAGATGTTCGCTTGCAGGGCAGCCTTGGCTCAACGCAATGGCAGGTGTACCCCTATTTCTCGGCGTTCCGACTCAGAAGAATCTACGAGATAGCCAGCCTTATCGAGCTTGGGCTCTTGCCTCTCGTATCTCGCGCAAAAAAACCTCTGGGGCCGGAACAGGGACAGAAGGAAACCGGTGTCAAGAAATCTAGAATGCCTTGAGCTATCGAAATTTCGTAGATTGCGCATGAGTATAAGCGCTGTCAGTGGACACTGGGAGTCTGAAACTTGCCGGGAGTCTGAAACTCGGTTGAAACTTCTATAACAACCCTCTGTCGCGGATGTGGCGCATAAAGCATTGCATATGTCTGTCCAGATGTACAGTGGCTATACGTCAAGCTGGATCCGTTTTCCATACCAACAGAGAAGCGACGAGGTTCGAGATATTGTTCAACTTGGCGAATATTGCAAGCTCAAAGATGGCACTAGCAAGAGTCGCGACCTAAGCTAGCGCTCGTCTAGCGCTCATCTAACGCTCGTGTGGGCCACAGATCAGTTCTCCACGCGTGCTAATTCGCAATCTTAGCGCGTCTGATATCACTATCCTCTCGCTGCAATCCCTACTAAGATCTAAGATCTCGTTGTTGCGATTCACGTTGATTCCTGAAGCTGAGCGCTGAAGTGCGGAAGGCCAGACGTTCAAGTTTAACATTTGATTACGCGTGCCATTCGAAGGAATTCAATATGATGGCGCAAGATGATGTCGCGTTTGTCTTCTGCGTGCTCCCAGCTCGGCGTGATCCGCTCCATCTGATATGGGAAGCATAGGAAATTCACAGTTCGGTCTCAAGCCTCTGAAGCGTTGGTTCTCCAGACCCGAGAGCCAATGTTTCAACCTCATGCGTGAACTCCTGTGTGGCAGCCTCGTCTCCACGTACGCTCTGTCATAACTTCTTGCTTGCAACGTTCGACATTCTGCGTATCACTTTGTCAGACGACACTTTAGCAGGCACGCTTGCCAAGATAAGCGGCTCGTAATTTTGTAACCTATCGATTCGTCTTTGCCACTTTCCCCTGGGCCTCTAAGGCTCTACTTCTCCACTATCTCTGGCGCTCTATCATGCGGATCATGGGAAGCATTTCTGATGGACACGGAGTGACCGCGATATAAAGAGGCACTTGGCACCTTATCTTCCCCTGGTCGTCCCCTCGCGCTCCCCGGTAGCGTTGCTGTAGGTCCTGCCCTGTTCTCGTCCCTGCAACTGCCCGCCATGAGCTCGCAAGACGTGGAGTCCCTCAGCAAGGTGTCGTCCTTGGACGAGAAGGCGTCCAAGGCCAATGTACACGTCGCCGCCGTCAGAAATGAGGTCGATACCGGCGCCCAGCTCGTTGCGGGCACAGCCATGACCGTAGATCCCGCCGAGGCCAACCGTGTCCGGAAGAAGATCGACAGGCACCTTATGCCTTTGATGTGCGGTGAGTAATCGCACTCTATGGGTTCGCGGGACGCGTTTGATTGATCGACGATCCTCCCGATCAGTCCTCTACTGGGTCCAGTTCATGGACAAGACGACGCTCGGGAGTGCCGCAATCTTGGGTATCAAGTGCGTATACAGTGGATCTCATTGCAATAGGGCTATGTTGACAACACGTTTTATCAGGACCGATGCGCATCTCACAACGAGCGAGTGAGTATACGAGCTGCACAAGACCTTTTTCTCTGCTGACATACTGTTCATCATAGGTACAACTGGTGAGGATCCGTCGCCTGGTTCTCTTGACTCCTCCAGCTAACTATTTTGATTCAGGCTCGGGACGATCTTCTACTTGAGCTACCTGTTCTTCGAGTACCCACAGAACCTCGCGCTGCAGCGATTTCCTGTCGGCAAATGGATGAGGTTTGTCCCAGCCTTTCATTTTCCCTTGCATATCCTCACCTCTGCCTACCTGGCAGTTGCAACATCTTCATCTGGGCTGTCGCGCTCTGCTGTCATGCCGCATGCAAGAACTTCGCCGGTCTCCTCGTCTGCAGACTCTTCCTGGGAGCATGCGAAGGCTCGATCACGGCTGGTTTCATGATTGTCACGTCTATGTTCTACACCCGGAGGGAGCAGACACTGAGAGTTGGATACTGGTGTGAGTGATGCTTCGGTGTTATGCATTCCATGGATGCTAATGTCACATCCAGTTTTGATGAACGGAACAGGTGAGGAACTTGCCGCATCGGCGTTGGGCCCGATCTCATCGTATGGCCTGTCCCAGCACAAATAATCATCGGGTTCATTGCGTTCGGCACGCTGCACATCACAACAAGCACCTTCCATCCATGGCAATGGTGAGAGTGTGCGCGTCATATCTTCGCATATCTCTGGCTCAACCTTTCTGGTTCAGGCTGGTCATCATCACTGGGATACTGACGCTGATCACTGCCGTGTGTTTCTGGTACGTAACCGTTCATACGTATGTACGAAAACGGAGGCTGAGTATTGTGTAGGTTGATGTTCCCTGACTCGCCGACCACCGCGTGGTTCCTCACTGAAGAGGAGCGTGTGATCGCCATCCAGCGGATTAAGGTGCGTCTCTGAGACGCCTATTCTCCCAACAGCTTCTTGACCATTGCATTGCCCAGGACAACCAAACCGGTGTCGAGAACAAGCACTTCAAGTGGGATCAGTGCGTGACCCATGTTGCTTCACTGCTCTTCGCTCCAGGCTCACTCGTCTTCCTAGGTTCTACGAAGCACTGCGCGACCCCAAGACGTGGCTCTTCGCACTCTTCTCCGCATTGGACAACGTGCCCAACAGCCTGACGAACCAGCAGTCCATCATCTTCAAGTCGTTCGGCTTCACGACCCTCCAAACGACGCTACTCGGTATCGTGAATGGGTTCGTCGAGATCGTCACAATCCTCACAGGCGTGCATCTCGCCGCGCGGCTGCACAATGCTCGAGCGTATGTCGGGGTCGTCTACTACCTCCCGGCGATCCTGGGCATTTTGCTCGTGAACCTGCTGCCGTGGAGCGATAAGGTCGGACTGCTGTTTGGCCAGTGGATGACGGGTGGGTGGCGCTTAGCTGGCGGTGGAGAAGTGGTTAGCTGATAGCCTTTATAGGGATCTGCACGACCGGATTCGTGCTTGCACTCTCGTGGCTCACAAACATCACCGCGGGACATACGAAAAAGGTTACGGTGAACGCCGTCATGCTTATCGCGTACTGTGTCGGCAACGCTGCGGGGCCGTTCATATGGCAGGCGAAGTATACTCCTCGGTACGCCGTTTTGGTTGGGCGTTACTCAGACATCAGTGTGCTTATCTGTTGCGTATCCAGAAACCACGTTCCGTGGACTATCATCGGGATCTGCTACGTTTGCTGCATGGCCCTCCTGCTCATCATCCGCTTCGTCCTCGCACGCGAGAACAAGCGGAGAGATGCGGAGCCTCCAGATACGACGTACGATGACGTCTACATTGAGGTCGTCCTGCCTGATGGGAAACGCGTTGAACGCAAGGTCGAGAAGGTACGCTAATCCTGTGATATTCCCTTTACTGGTGTTCAGTGCTGATATCAACGTCTCGCGCTTACAGGAGTTCCTGGATCTGACGGACATCCAGAACCATGACTTCCGATACGTATTGTAACACCTGGAGCTCGCGGGAGCGGCCGCGGCCTATACATGTATTAATAGTACACTATTAGACAAGCTTACAATGGTTTGAAGACAAGAACAACAGTCGATTGAAAAACAGCGCGAACAGAAAAGGCAAAAAAGCAGGGGTATCACGACAAGCAAGCCAGCACTTGATTGGAGAAGCGATATATGTGAACGGCGGAAGATGAGATGTCATGGCAATGTGTGAAAGTGGAACTTTACGCATAAAGGACAGGGAAGCTCCGGGATGCCGCTCTGCGAGCCAGTGATTAGAGAGTTGTTTTCCGAGGAGAAAATTTCCGAGGGCTGTAGGACACGGAAGTAAAGAGTGACAGCCTCGACGGAATAAAGCGAGTGCTGAGCGCTGAGATGACAAAAGTGCTCATGCGCGACACAGCTACGAAGCGAACGCGCGCTGAAACCGCTGTCCCCGCGTCCTACTGATCATACAAGTCCGTAGGACTTCCAACAATAGTGACTCTGTTGTGTCCATCGTTATACCAGCCGAGGAGACGCTGCGTGTCGCTGCTGAACCTATGCACTCCACACTGCCTGCTCTCAATGTGCTGGCAGAGCGCACTGAGCGTACCGAACTCGTTCCCACAGCCGTTCCAAACGCGAGGACATCTATAGATCTCCTCTGCGTGTGCAGGGCCCTCGAGGTGCTGGTTGAGCGCTCTGAGAGTGATATACTCCTCGTGGCATAGCGGGCATTCGTAGTATTGCCCGTTGCAGGAGCGTTGGGTCGCCCAGCCTGTGGCAGTGACCGTGTCGGGGGAAAACAAAATATCATAGGGATTGACGTCTGCTCGATACAAATGGACGACAGCGAAGCGACCTATAAGGTCGGGGTGGACGCGCGAGGGGCAAGTCCCGGACTCCCAGTGTTGGACGAGGGCGGCGGCGGACATGAACCGCTTGTTGCAGTTTCCACCTGGGCAAGAGACTAATCCATCTCGATGGACAGCAGAGCGCAAGTGGATTGTCAGGTTGTTCTCGCTCTCGAAGACGCGCCTGCAGTCAGCGCAATACCAGTGCTTCTGGAGGTGGTGTTCGTATAGCCCGGCAGCGGAATCAAAGAGCTATGATACACAGAGCTTAGTTGGAAAGGCCGCAATTGTCAATGCCTCTAGACTCACCCAGTTGCAGATCTGACAGTAATAGTGGAGCTCTTCATAATGACGGTCAAGGTCTTTGGGACAATCGAAATGATCGTCGCATCGTTGGCAATAATGGTGACACGGGTGCCGAATGTAATGTTGAATCAGACCTGATGCAGAAGTGAAAGCCTTGTTGTGGCGCCTGCAAACACGGCGGTTCGCGTTCGAATTGTGAGGGTGCTGTTCGAATGTGCGCGCGCTCCAGAAGGAACGGTCACAGCCGTCGCAGAATACCATCTCTCGTCTGCTGAGGTTTAATATGTACAGCATTCAATGAACGACGCACAGCTAGAGCTCAAGACTGTACGATACGCACCGCACGATATGAGTCAACACACGAGGACCGTTAGGAGCCTGAGATGGTCGGAAAGAACCCTTAGGCGCTAAATTCATGACCTCGCACGGTGAATGGCAATTCCTTCACACCTCGTTGCCTGACCTCCAATGCTTCTAACATATGTTCATGATATCCGAGACCTATACGTTATCAATTCTCTGATCAGATGGATCCCGCGCGATGGTCTGTTTCTTGCTTTGGCAGGACGCTTTATCTACCCGTAATAGTAGCATCTGGTTGGGCTGCGCTGAGAGAGGTGCTAGCTTGTCTTGCCATCTCTTCCCTGTTGTTCGCGTACATCGTGCCTAGCCATGGATATCTGGATGCTATGGGTCCTTCTCTTTTCGCCGACAGGTGGTCATCAATAACTCTTCGACGGTTGCAGGATAAGCGGCTATCCTCGCGAGTCGCAATGCTTGCGGTCAGTGGTGTGGTCTCCAACGTGGTCTCCAACGAAATGCGCTAAGGCTTACCGTACAGTCTTCTCAATGTCTCGCCGACATTGATTCGATTATTAATCTCTCGTCATCCAGACTCATAACCGCTGGATGTGACAAATGGCTCCAATCACTCGAGATGTTCCAGAGTTGCGCATCATAATCAAGCTCAGCAAATGAACTTTTCGTCGCATTAACGGAAGCTGCTGCCTTGAACTAATGACGTCGGACTGCTGTTTGGCCAGTGGTCGACGGGTAAGTGGGGTTTGGCTGACGGTGGAGAGGTGATTAGCCGATGTACTTCTTCGTAGAAATCAGCACGACGGCGTTCGTACTTGCACTTTCGTGGTTCACGAACATCGCCGCGGGACATACGAAGAAGGTTACGGTGAAGGCCATCATGCTTATCGCGTACTGCGTCGGCAACGCTGCTGGACCTTTCATGTGGGAGGCCAAGTACACTCCTCGGTAATCCGTTTTGGTTCGCCGTTGCTCTGAAACATCGGTGTGCTTACATGCTACGTGCTCAGGAACCACATTCCACGGACTATCATCGGGATCTGCTACGTCTAGGAAACTATGGTGCAGCCGCAGCGTTAGCCAGCGACCACCTTCCTGTCTCATGGGCGCTAGGAGTGAGAGGCCGGTTAGGGCCACAAGTGACTAAGAAGTACAGTACTACAGGTGCGTATTTATACGATATTCCTCCTTCCGTATTCGTCCACTGTGTTTCCTGGCACCGCCCTGCGACGCGCTTCAGCCGTCGCTTGGCGCTCCTTCCTCCCGACGCGTTGAGCGCGTTCCACCAAAAGTGCCGTTTGTCGGCCAGTTCCAACACTACGTTTGCTGCATGACCCTCCTGCTCATCATTCGCTTCGTTCTCGCACGCGAGAACAAGCGGAGAGATGCGGAGCCTCCAGATATGACATATGATGACGTCTACATTGAGGTCGTCCTGCCTGATGGGAAACGCGTTGAACGCAAGGTAGAGAAGGTACGCTGATCCCGTGATATTCCCTTTGCTTGTATTAAGTACTGATCGCGACGTCTTGCGCTTATAGGAGTTCCTGGATCTGACGGACATCCAGAACCATGACTTCCATACGTATTGTAGCAGTTAGAGCTCGCGGGAGTGGCCGCAGCCTATACATGTATCTATAGTACACTAGTAGACAAGCTTACAATGGTTGGAAGAATAGAACAACAGTCGGTTGGAAAACAGCGCGAACAGAAAAAGAGAAAGAGCGAAAAAAGCAGGTTTATCACGACAAGCGAGCCTGCGCTTGATGATTGGAGAAGCGATACATGTGAACAGCAACGAAAGATTTCATGTGGGCTGGCAGGAAGTCGGAATCGGAAGACGAGATGTCGTGATAGTGTGTGAAAGCGGCACTATTCGGACAAAGGACAGGAAAATGCCGGGATGCCGCTCTGCGAGCCAGTGGTTAGAGAGTGAGTCTGTTGAGTCCATCGCCCAACGAGCCGATGACACGCTGCATCGCGCTGTTGAACCTATGCACCCCACATTGCTCGCTCTCGACGTGCTGGAGGAGCGCGCTGAGTGTACGGAACTCGTTCCCACACCCGTTCCAACCGCGAGGACATTTAAAGATTTTCTCTGCGTGTGCGGGACTCCGGAGGTGCTGGTTGAGCGATCTGAGAGCCTTGAACTCCCGGTGGCATAGCACACATTCAAATTTGCATCCGTTCCAGGAGCGTTCGGTCGCCCAGGTAGCAGTGACCGTGCTGGAGGGAGGAGAGTAGCCATCTGGGCCAGCGATGAGACGATTCGGATTCGTGATGATGTTCGATCGATCCAGCTTAGCAGCGGCGCTATTAATAATGTCGCGGTCAACGTGTGAGGGGCAAGTCCCGGACTCCCAGTGGAGGACCAGGTCGGCTCCGGACATGAACCACTTGTTGCAGTTTCTACCTGGACAAGGGACGATTCTGTCTCGATGGACAGCAGAGCGCGAGTGGTTATTCAGGCCGTTCTTGTCCCTGAAGACCTGCCTGCAGTCAACGCAGTACCAGTGGCTCTGGCGGTTGTGTTCGTGTAGGCCGGCAGCGTTCTTAAACAACTATGATGCAAAGAAATTAGCTTGAGACGGGCCCATTTTGTTAATGCGTCTAGACTCACCAAGTTGCAGGTCTTGCAGTAATCGTGGTCCTCTTCATAATGACTGATAAGGTCGTTGTGACTATCGAAATGATCGTCACATCGTTGGCAATAATGGTGCACAAGACTCTGCACGTGATGTTAAATCAGATTCGATGCAATAGGGAAGTCCTTGCCGTGGAGATCGCAAACATGGTGCGCATTCGAATCGTCTTTATGCTGTTCGAGCGCGGGCTCGCTGGAGAAATAACGTTCACACCGCTCGCAGTATGCCATCTCTCGTCTGCTGACGTTCAGTATATATAGTATTCAATCAATGACGCGTAATCAGAGCGCAAGACTGTACGGTACGCACCGCGATACGAGTTTACCCACGATGGCGATGAGATGGTGGAAAAGAACCCTTGGGCGCTTTGAAATTCGTCTCGCACGGTGAATGAGTCGACCTCGCTGGCGACGGTTCACACAATTTCGACCTAGGCCTGTCACTAGCATGACCCTCCTGCTCATCAGCCGCTTCATCCTCGCACGCGAGAACTAGCGGAGAGACGCGGAGCCTCTTAGGTACGACGTACAGATCGGAATGATCATCGACGACGTTTACATCGAGGTCGTCCTGCCCGATGGGAAGCTCGTTGAACGCAAGGTAGAGAAGGTACGCTAACCCTGTAGTACTCCACTTGCTTGTGTTCAGTACTGATCGGGACGTCTTGCGCTTTAGGAGTTCCTGGATCAGACGGACATCCAGAACCGTGACTTCAGATACATATTGTAACACCTAGCTCGCGGGGATGGCCGCGGCCTATACATGTATCTATAGTACACCAGTAGACAAGCTTACAACGGGGAAGACGGGAACAGCAGTCGGTTGGAAAACAGAAAAAGCGAAAAAGAACAGGGATATCACGACAAGCGAGCCCGCACTTGATGATTGGAGATGCGATACATATGAACAGCGACGAAGGATTTCATGGGTGCTGGCAGGAAGACGAGAGTAGAAGACGAGATGTCATGACAGTATGTGAAAGCGGAACTATACGGACAAAGGACAGGGAAGTGCCCGAATGCGGCTCTCCGAGCCGGTGAATTAGAGAGTGAGTCTGTTGAGTCCATCGCTCAACGAGCCGATGACATTCTGCATCGCGCTGTTGAACCTATGCACCCCACATTGCTCGCTCTCGACGTGCTGGCAGAGCGCGCTGAGCGTACGGAACTCGTGCCCACACCCGTTCCAACCGCGAGGACATTTATAGATTTTCTCTGCGTGTGCAGGGCTCTCGAGGTGCTGGTTGAGCGCTTTGAGAGTGCTGTACTCCCGATGGCATAGCACGCATTCATACTTGCGCCCATTCCAGGAGCGATCGGTCGCCCAGGTGGCAGTGACCGTGCTGGAGGGAGGAGAGTAGCCATCTGGGCCACCAATGAGACGATTCGGGTTCGTAATGATGTTCGATCGATCCAGCCTGACAGCGGTGCGATTAATAATGTCGCGGTCGACGTGTGAGGGGCAAGTCCCGGACTCCCAGTGGAGGACGAGGTCGGCGGCGGACATAAACTGCTTGTTGCAGTTTCTACCTGGACAAGAGACGACTCGGTCTCGATGAATAGCAGAGCGCAAGTGGCTTTTCAGGTTGCTCTCGCTCTGGAAGACACGCCTGCAGTCGGCGCAGTACCAGTGCCTCTGGCGGTTGTGTTCGTGTAGGCCGGCAGCGTTCTTATAGAACTATGATGCGAAGAAATTAGTTTAATTAGTTTGAGGCAGGCCCATCTTGTTAATGCGTCTAGACTCACCGAGTTGCAGGTCTCGCAGTAATAGTGGTCCTCTTCATAATGACTGATAAGGTCGTTGTGACTCTTGAGATGATCGTCGCATCGTTGGCAATAATGGTGCATAGGACTCTGAACGTAATGTTGAATCAGACTCCATGCAGAAGCGAAGTCCTTGCCATGGAGCTCGCAGACGTGGTGCGCGTTCGAATTGTCGATATGCTGCTCGAGCGCGCGCTCGCTGGGAAAATAACGGTCACACCGGTCGCAGAATGCCATCTCTTGTCTGTTGACGTTAACATTATACAGCATTTAGCTAACGACGCGTAGCTGGCGCACAAGACTGTACGATACGCACCGCGATAAGAGTGAGGTGAGGAGATGGTGGGAAAGAACCCTTAGGCGCTAAATTCGTCTCGCACGGTGAGTCGACCTAGGCCTGTCACAGTGTCACTAGTCTCCCATGGGCAATTCCTCTGTCACAGGTTGCCTGACCTCCAAACTAGAACTTGTGTTGTCATCATACTCCCACGCAGCGGACTGTCCCTGGATTCAGTGATATCTAGTCGGGCTGCACTGAAAGATGCTTGTCAGGGCGTTTTGATTGTTATTCGCATACATCACGTCCAATAATGTATGCTGTTGCTCATGCTTTTTTCGCCAAAAGGACTATTGTCGATAATTCTTCGACTGTTGCAGAATAAGGCAGCTCGTGATATTTTGCTGTCTTTGTGGTCAGTGGTATCCTACGAAATATGCTAAGACTTCCCACACAACCTTCGCAATGTCTCACCCGACGTTCACTCTGTAATCACCCGTCATTCAAGCTCATAAATGCTGGGAGCGACTAATGGCTCCATGTACAGAGTTGCGCATCACAATCAATCTCAGAGAAATGAACCTTTCGGTCGCATTTACAATAACAACGCCGTATCAATGAAATGACTCTGCTTACCTTTCACTTTGATCATGATATCAAAGTCTCTGACGGTGCATTTTATCATGTAAGTTGTGTCCCACGAGATCCACAGTGTTATACGCATGCTTGTGCGCACCCACTTTGTGTTTGCACTTGAACAGTCAGAGCCATCAGGCTTTGCTCGGACTTGTGGTAGAGGAAACGAGGACTTGCCAATGCAGAGTTCAGCCAGGTTTTGTGTAACGAGCGACATTGTTTAATGCACGAAACTGCTTTCAACGATGGCTGTGTAAGTTCCATTCCTGATGGAACGAAAGTCTGATCATACGACTCTTAGGTCCATTATTCTACAGACTAACCTTGTGCACTGCGAAATTTCATGTATTGGCATGCTCATCCTCTATGGTTCGTCCGAGTTCCTTTGCATCTCATAAAAGACCACTTTCCTGATCAGATTTGGCATTGATTGCGGCATATCTAACTTGGCTTCCATGACAGCAGTCACATCTACTGTACACAGTGTGAAAAAAGTAGATGTTACAGTCGATTCTATGGTCGCAAATTCTGATTCGACAACATCGTTAATCACAATAAGACTTCATACTTTAGGGTGTGGCAGCATCCAAGGGAATGGCACAGATATGGGTAATTATCCCAGCTATGCATGTCGTTACATGGAGTGAAAAGTATGTTATCCACTAAAAGGGGATCATAAGCGACTTATTCAAGTTCATTTGTAACAGAAGCTTATTCAAAAATGAAGAGCAGAATGCGATCTTAAATGGCGTAAAAACATGCTTCTCATTCAAAAGCTTAGTTCATTACAGCTGGTAGCATCCAGAAGTACGAGAAGGAGATCCGGCGTTGCTTAAAAAATGTGCGACTGGGCGTGTGCATTGATCATCATGGAACCATGGGAAGAGTGGCTTGATGAAGCGGTCCGCCAATGATCTTGACCGCAGTCAGAACAATCAACAGGTATTTATTCACCTCTGGCTCATGCAGGTATCAGCTTGCTGATGATTTATCGCGGTCTGTACTCACTGACAGCCTTCGTGACAAATAGTTTTTGCAATCGCGATTGAATTCGCATATATCTGACAGGGTTGGATAATGGTGCCGATGGCTGCTCTTCTGAATACCTTCACAATCCTGAGCGTGGAATTCATGGAAATGAAACGTGCGTCATTTCGTCTCATGTTAGTTTCGGTCTCATTGACGACCTGTTCTGACGCGTCCCCTACTCTGCATTACAGCCTATGTCAACTCGGTCACGTATATGTGAACACTTATGAGGCTCAATGAATGACACATTCATACTGACTGCGCATTGTCTCAGGTTCAACACCAGAAACAGCATCAGAACAAATGGCACCATGAGCTACCGCAGCGTAGATGTGCTCCTTTGCTTCATTAATACTGCACGGCCTCTATCTTGTGCTGAATGAAGAGTCAATTCCATTACATCCAGTATCGTGGACATCCTAGCAGAGATCATGCATGACGGAAAGCCTCCACAGAACGTGAAAAAGATCTCTTGTATGCGACACATGGACTGAGGCTTCGATAAGTCACATTTCTCTCAGTTTTCTTGGATGCCTAGTGGCTCATGGTAGGGGACTCCTGCGCAAAGTGATGTGACTGTCCTCTGCAGTGGGTGTAGAGTTGTGAAGATGCAGCGATGCACACTGTAACTTGTAAACTACCCCAGACAATAGGATGGCATATGCACCGCTTCACTATAAGACTAACGCTAGCGCAACCTTGCGTGATCACATTCATCAAAATATGAATAGTCCGCAACGCGACATGTCGAGCACAAGTACATACATAGCAACACGAGGGAATGCAGCAGCGAGAAAGCGAATGACACAATAAAATGATCGTACAGAGCAGATACAGAACAGATACATAGCATGGAAAAATTAAAAAGCGTACGCGGGCACTGGAACAAAAATAGACGGAAAGACTTACAAGGTAACAGTGTCATAAAAGACAAACCAAGATTACGTGAACAGCGAGTCCTCAAAATTCAGCCTCACATAGTGAGGCGATGCATGTCGCTCATCAGCAATTCCACCATTTCCTGCATCGCCTTGTTGAACCGATGAACTCCACACTGCTCGCTTTCCACATGTTGGCAGAGCACACTGAGCATGCAGAACTCAGTGCTGCAGCCTTGCCAACCACGTGGGCATTTGTAGATTTCCTTCATGCGCTGGACTATCGAGATGACGAGTTGCATTCGTGATGATATTATGAGAATCCAGCTCGACCGCAAGATGGTTGACACCGTGTAGATCTATGCCAGAGAAGCAAGCCCCAGACAGTGACCCCATCATTTCCTGCATCGCGTTATTGAACTGATGAACTCCACACCACTCGCTTTCCACGTGTTGGCAGAGTGCACTGAGTGTGCGGAACTCAGTGCCACAGCCCTGCCAACCTCGTGGACATTTATAGATTTCCTCATCGTGTACTGGACTGTTGAGATGCTGATTTCAGCATTCAAGATTACTGAACTCCTTGTGACAAAAGACACATTCAAATTTGGAACTGTTCCACGATAGGCTTGTAGCTCGAGAAGGAGCGACGATAAGCGGAGGAACTCGTGAGTCAGCGATGATAAGCAGAGAAACTCATGAGCCACCAGGACCGGTGAGAAAACGACTTGCGTTCATGATGATTTTATCAGAATCCAGCTTGACGGCCAGACGGTTGACTTAGTGTCGATCCATGCCAGAGCAGCAAGCCCCAGATTCTAGATGACTGATGAGCCCAGCACCTGACAGGGATGATTTCTTGCAGCAATGGCCCGGACAGTTCACTGTGCAAGCATTATGATAGGATGACCGCAGATGTGCATGCAGGGTGATCTTGCTTTTGAAGACGCATTTGCAGTCACCACAGTACGCATGTTTGTCAGCATAATGGTTATGCAACCCCTCGTTCAAGCTGAATACCTACAACAAATGAACACATGAGAGTCAAAGATATCTCAAGGATGCAAATACTCCTACCGTTGAGCAGAGATCACAGTAAAAGATATGAACAACACATGTCTTCAGATGCTCCTTCAAAACCTTCTTGCCTATGAAGACACATTTGCAGTCACCACAGTATGCATGTTTGGTGGCATAATGGTTATGAAACCCTTCTTTCGAGCTGAATACCTACAATAAATGAACACATGAGAGTCGAAGATATCTCAAGTCATGCAAATATTCCTACCATCGAGAAGAGATCACAGTAGATATGCCCAACAGATGTCTTCAGATGCTTCTTTTGTTAGAAGTGGCCGACCGACGGCACTTCTGGTGAAACACGCTCATCGCGTCAGGAGAAACAAGCACCAAGTGATGGCTGAAACGTGTCACAGGGCGGTACCTGGAAACAGAGCGGACGAGTACAGAAGGGCAGAAAATGTGTAAGTATGCACCTGTACTACTGTACTCCCCAGTCATTTGTGGCCTCACCAGCCTCTCACTCCCTTTGCGCCCATGAGATGGGAAGATGCCGGCTGGCTAACACCCTTGTCGCACCAGGATTTCCTAGATCTTTAAAGCCTTCTTGCTTCCAAACATGACTTTGCAGTCACTGCAATACACGTGCTTCATGTGATTGTGCTCATGTAAGTCTACTTCCGAGTTGAAGCTCTACCACATATACATTTAGAAAGTCTGTCCTATGGTGCATTATAATTCAACTCACAGTAACACACATCTGGCAATGCCACTGATGCACCTAAGATTGCAGGTGCATGTTCAGGGCATCTTGGCTCTCAAACATGCATCTGCAACCAGTACAATAAGGATGATCCTTGCTGCAATAGTCATCGTGCAACCATGACTCCGAGCTGAAGACCTGAGATGTGACCAAACATTGATCGTAGCTCCCACGAGGAAGGTACCAAGTTACTTACATCACCGTGAAGAGACTGCAAGTGCATGTTGAAATCTTTCTCGCTCTCGAACATGTGTTTGCAGCTCAAACAATACCAATCATATGCTGAATAATACTGTCACAGATTTTTACCACAAAAGTCTACACGTGACTTTGCTCACACCACAAATCACGTGCTTCACCAATATCTCATGCCACTCAGCCACAGACATGACGCGTAGAGATCAGGTGATAGTCCACATCACATGTTATGGTCCAGACCCGTGGATGATACGGTCGGACCTGTCTATTCCAGGACACAATAGAGGCACCCATTTGGGAACAAAGGGAACAAGGACTATTGTTATACATCAGCCTTCCGCTTCCTATTAGTTTAGCCAGAAGCCTAGATAGGCATGATGTTCACACCAGAGAACAAAAGGGAAACCAAGATAGGCACGATGTGCACACGCATTAC